CACTATAATAGTAAAAAGAATAATAGTTAAGAAAACTAATAAGATAGTACTAAATAAGATTCATTACTTAAAAATATAGATTAGTAGAATTATTTATAAAAAATAATAGCTTACTTATTATATACATAATATTAAAATATATATTAATTATAATTTAAATAAATACACCATTACATTTCTAATATATTTTAATATTATTAAAATCTATTATTCCATTATACTTTAATAAAGAATTTTTAAAATTATATAATATAAGAGAAGTCTTACAAGTAAAAAGACTAAAATATTTTAAATAATTTTATATATATAATTTCTACAAGAAATAAATACTTTTATTTACTTATATAATATTAATACCTAGAAAATGGATACAGGAACTATTATTAGTAAATTTAATAAATTTAATAAATAATATTTTAAAAATATTAACTACAGTACCATCCAGTATAAATAGAAAAATATTATTAATATAAATAAATATAAAAAAATTTTTTCCTACAAACATGGAATAATCTATATATAAATATTTAAAATTATTAGCTATTAAAAAATTATAAAATATATTATACTACTCGCGTAGCGCTTATTTTAAGTTATATAATAATTTAAAAAGTTTACTGTATATATTATTTTTCTAAAAGCTATTTAATAACTTAATATATATTAATTTATATAATTTAATATTAAGAAATACTATAATAATATTAAAATAATATAAAATCTAATAAAACTTAGTAACTAGAGTAATAAAAATTTTAAAACTAATATTTTTAGTAATAACTATATATATTTTTTTAATCTAATAATCTTTACTAGTATACTGTTAGAAGCTTTTAATAATAAAATAAATCTTATAGATATTATTATACTTAATTTTAAATATTTATTTAAGTAGAAGAAAACGTGTATTATAGAAATATAGAATTATATAAAAAATATCTTATTTAATTTATTCCTATATTTTATAATATACTATTTCATACTATTTAAATATTTTAATATAGACTATAATATTAGTATATAAAATAAAAGTATAACTAGTATTTTAAAATATTAATTTTTTAATAAAGATAATCCCCCTAGCCTATAAATTAATAAAATATTATATAACTATAATTTCCAGGAATAAGACACTAGTAAGATAATTATTAATAAATAATTTATAAAAAATATTAATATTTATATTTAAATTATTATTTATATTAATAATATAAATCTTTAAAAATTTGAGGAATACGCGTAAAAGTTTACAAGTATATATAAAATAATATAATAATTATTTAACTATTAATAATAATTTTATATTAAAAATAATAAATTTTATATAGAAAATATTAATAGTTAGAAAATCTACAAGAACTAGCTAGTCTTTAGATTTATTATCTTTAATAATAACTACTAGTTCAGGTGTAGTATTATAAATAATATTATTAATTATAAATAAAAATAAGAATATACTAATTTATTTATATTTTAATAATTAGTCTAATTTTTTATTATTATTTTACTTATCTACAGTAGAATAGCTAGAAAAAATAATAAAAATAAGTTATTAATATTAAGAAGATATATTAAATAATAACTAGTAATAAGAATCTTTTTAAACTAAAATTTTTATATTAGCTTCACTATAGTATATAGAATTAAGATTATATATAAATATTATTAATAATAATTATAAAATAAATTTTTTATTAAAGATAATATCACAAGTATACATAATCTAATAAATTCAAATATTATAGATCTTATAGACTAACTTAGAATATCTAATAAAATAGTTTTTCTATATATAATTCTTAAGTTTATCGCGAGTCTTTTTAAAAGTAAGATACTAGTAGTAATAGCTAAGGGCTTTTTATTATAAGATATTTAGTTATATATTATATAAAGCTTTATAGAGAGTTTTCCCAATAATACTATATATGAGTCTGTTCTATATGTAGTTAATTATAAAAATAATATAATTTTATAAAAAATAAAATAACTAGTTATCCACTATAACTAATATATAAGATTTAACTAAATAATAGTTTTTAATTTTAATAATAGGATTAAGATTCAAGTAGTAATATAGAGCAGAATTCTAGATAATATTTTATTTTTAATAATAAATTATAAATAATTAATATTCAGGCGCATTATTACTATAAATATATTTAATATTAATATTTAGCTAGTATTTAAGATAGTTTTATAAAGTAATAAATTTATTATATATTTTACTATGTTCTTTAAGCAGGAACATCCAGTAGTATTAAAAAATATAATTAATAAAAATAATAAAATAATATATATTAATTTAGCTGTATATAAATAGCAGTCTATAAATATCTATATAAATAAAATCTCTAATATATAGACTAAGATTATAAAATTTAATATAAAAGATAAATAATATTTAATTCTTTCTATGGAGGTAGGATTTGTAAAATACTAATAAAATATTTTTTTTAATATTAAAACTAATAATATGAGACGGCCGTTCAACACAGTAAAATGAGGTCGTATTGGTGCTAACTACTCTAGAACTTTAAGCGTAAGGAGGAAAAAAGGAAAACAAGAAGTGTTGTGGGCGCTCGCTTGAAGAAAACGACAGTAAAGCAAACGAAACAAACGTGGTCACATGATCCTGAACGAGGCCCTGAACGAGGCTGCCGTCACATAATATACTTAATAAAATTATAAATTTTTTATTTAAAAATATAAGCCGTACAGCAGTACATAAGATAAATTAAAATTAATAAAGAAACTATTTTTTTAATAGTATTAATAATAAAATTAAAAAATAATAAATATATTAAAATATTATAAAAATATAGATCCTGAATTATCTTACAACTTATAATACTAGTTATATATAAAAAATATTAAATATCTTTAATAATAACAAAATTAATCTAGTTACTATATTAAATAAGAATAGTAGTCTCTTTAATTTTAATATATATATAAATACCCTAGCGCGCTAACTACTTATATAAAATAAGATTATATAAGAATATTAATATATATTAAACGTAGTTAATCTCTAAAAATTTATAAGATTTATTTTATTTATTTACTAATTTAATTAAAACAATACCATAGTTAATAGTCTAGAAAATTTTATTAATAGTAATTTTAACCATGCATATATAAGAAGTAAAGAATATAAAATAATATTTTAAATAAATTATTATTTTAATAATTTTAAAATTGAGCATCCAATCATACAAGTAATTTAAATATTAATTTTTTTAAATTATAGTAGTAATATTAAAGTAAACTAATATAATATAAGTATTAAGAAAGTTAAAATTAATATTAATTATATTAATTAATAGTATTCTTAACAGTAGTATAAATAGAATAAATATAATAATTATATTTATCTAAGTATTTATAATTATTTTTTTATTCAGGTTTAATAAATATTTACTTAGAAAGTAATTTCTATAGTATTTATAAAAGATATATTATATAATATTTTTATTAACAGTATTAAGTTACTTTCTTTTATATTATATAAAAATATTTATTTAATCTCTATCACGACTATAGATATTATTATATCTATAATTATATTTATATCTATAGTTATAACCACCGCGATCACTACTTTAGATATTATTATTAGTATTTTTAATATTATTTTAAAACTTATTATTAACCACGTGTATAGTCAGCTAGGAGAACTAATTCTTATATATATATTTAAACTATATAAATTAAATATATATAAATAATAAAATTACATTTTTTATCAGTATTATATACTAATTTATAATAAATAATTATAAAATAGATATATTTTAAATAACTATAAAAAACTACAGAAATTTAATATAATTATTAATAATTTTAATATTATAAAACTTATTAAAAGTATCCACGTAGTGTATAAGAAAGGTCTTTTAATTACTTGTATTATTATAGTAAATAAATATTTATTTATTATATAAATAAATAATTATAATAAAATTAAAAATTTTATATATTTTTTAGAGAAAAACATATATTTCTAGTATAGAGTTATAGTTCTAGAAATACGCTGCGGGACCAGCTTCACATATAATATTAAAAATTATAAATATAAAGTAATTTAATTATTTCTATTTCTTATAATTAAAGTTATATATAGTAAGTAAAATATAATTATATTATTTAGTCTATTTAATATTATTTTATAAATCTATTTTAATAGATAAAGTGCTACTATTACTAATATAAATAACTAGTATATATATATTTTCATTTTTATCTTTAGAATAAAGAACTAGTTTTTTTAGAAAAATATATTTACCCTAGAACAGCTCCTATGTATCTAGATTATACGAGTATAAATAGTTTCATAGGTTTCTTTACTATAATAACTAATTAGTCTGGTCTTTAAGCTTAGAAATAGTTTTAGAAATATTAATATTAAATAAGTCTTTAGATAGTATTATTATAAGTATTCAACTATACCGCTTATGTGGTGGGAGATCTAGTTAATTAATAAGTATTAAATCTAGATATTAAGCTGATTAGATTACTATAAAGACTTTCTTACCCGCGAAACTACGTATAATAGCGATTTAAGGCATAAAAAACTTTGAAGAGAACGCTATTTAATAAATAATATATAAAAATAATAAAAAAAAAATAGAAAAAATAAATATTTAATAATTCATTGCTATAAGGGCTCATAACTTGTGACAGTAATATTAATAATATTAAGTATATGTTGCCTAGCTAACTACGCGAGAAGGAGATGACTAGGTGGCTAGGTCCGAGATCACGTGATCTCCTTTCACAGCTTACAGTGGTCTAACAGAACTAAGGTGGCATACGTGATGCTCACAATATCATAGAATACAGCGCTTATACCCTAGTCCGGTACACTTGCTCCCGAACACCCCGGACAGCGAACCGTTCAATAGTATCTGCAATGTCATTTTGAAAACACTACCATCACGACTTATATCTGTGCCATGCTATTGCTTTACTCGTAAGAATCAGATTCTCTGTTCCAGACGCAATCTCAACACCCGTATTTCAATGAAACAGCAATGTTTGGGAGTAAGAATCAATCATGCACGTAAGTATCACTGGTTTCTTCGCCAAACTACACACAACTGGGTTTGGCGTAGAGTAGGCAATATAGGAGCCTCGGTAATTCGGAAGCGCAGGTATCATACATTTCTTCATCATCATGAAAATAATTCGGGCCGAAAAAAATAAAATAAAAAGAACCAAGAAAAAGTAGACGAGGAAATAAGTGTGGATATATAAGTAGCAAAAAGGGAGGCCATCACCCCAATTTCCTTTCCATCTGTCGACTCCACAGTTTGCGGTCAAATCGTTGCTCCAATAGCGCTTGAGCATCGCCCGCATACATGAAGACTTTCCCACCGGTCTCCTTGGGCTCCTTCTCGTCTTTGAAGTAGATCCAGCAGTCTGCAACTTCATACGCATTTGTTTCATAATACGACAGCTTTTGGGCCTCTTCTTCCGACTTTACGAGATACGCAGCTCCCATCACCGTCTGACCTTGCTTCCCATTGATCAGTGCGGGATAGTCACCCCATTTCGCAATGGCGTAACCGAATACCTCCGCCTGGCGAAGTTGCGGCTCCTCCGGCAGGTCGAGAATCCTTTGCACCTGAGCTGGGGCGGTTAGGGTTCCGTAGAAGAAGTGATACACGGGAAAGGCAGGCGGGAAGTCGACTGGCTCGTCGCGCTGCACAAGGTAGTCTGGCGTTGCTGACTGGAGCATCGTATAGAAAGGTGATGGCGGCTCCTCTTTGGCCGGAAAAAGGCCCGGAAACCGTGATAATACTCCGGAGTCCTCTGACTCCTGGGGTATTTGGCTGGGCATGAAGACCGTACGTTGTGGGAGTTTGACAAGATGTTGATGGCAGAACGCTGGAGGAGTGGGTGATGAGGTTTGGGAGAGAAACCGGGCAGAGGCAACAATGATAGTGACCAAGGCGGTGAAGGGGTCATTCGGTGGCCAATACGCGGTACACCGCAGAACCGACATCCAGCCTCACGTGTAGGCATGTGTATGGGTAAGAACATCTTGTTACATTGGCGCGTGCGAACCTCGAACACAAGGACAGAGCAATACATCCGGGTAGAGTCTATTACTTGTCGGGTCAGCCTGGAGTTACGGCGGCAGGCTGCTGCACAACCTGACTTACTGGCAATTATGACAGATGCCTAGTATGAAGCGCGCTCTGCCGTCCAATAGAAAGATGAAGCTATTTTCGGATACTCTGAGCGGTGGTTAATCGATTGACGGCACGGTTCGCCGACAGAAGTGCTGGTTGTTTATCTTTGATTGATTGGGCTGAGTTGTGTTTCGCATTCTTAACGTTTTGGAGCATAGTATATAGTTTAGTGTAGAGTAAGTTTGCTGGATTCCACAACGGCTCATGGACCAGTATTATATAAGATGAGTCTTACTATGTGTCAATATGCACACCATCAATTCACTGGCAGAATTTCTCCCGTCGGAGAGATTTGCCTAGTAGATACTAAAGATTCACAGAGGACCAAATATGTCACCAACACAAATGCAATACGAACACCCTCTAGCTTGCTTTTGCAGAAGTGAGCACACTACCCTTCTGCACTCTTGTTGTTGCCAAGATATTTAATACAAAGACTTGCATTCGAAATTGGCCGCATCATTAATGTCCCCCGACCCTACGTATTGAGCGATCTTCGGGTACGCGCAGATCGGCCGTTGCTTGTTGATGGTGCTGGCGCTAAAGTCCACGGTACTGTTGAAGTTGGATCCGATGATGTATTCGGGTGCGACACCGTTCTCGACCCAGTTGATCAAGGCGAGAAAGATGTCGTGCTTTGCGTCATTGTAACCTGGGACGCTGTGGAGGGATGAGCTGAGGGTACTGGCCTGCGTGGGGCCGGCGATGTACCATGGCGCGTTCATCGTCGATGGTGTGTGGTAGCAGTGCCTGAAAGGTCAGTCAATTTGATGGTTTTTTTTTTTTTTGTATGAAAAGAGGGGTACACTCACTCCATTCCAGGGATCAAAAAAAGGCGGTAGAAATCATCAATGTCAATTCCCTGAGGGGCCACCGTCGCTGCCAGGTGATCGCGGTAATACAGGCCGATACCAGGGGGCACAATGGCATCAGAGTGACCATGGTATTGGATCAACTTGCCCCCGTGTTGATAGAACTCGGACAGATCATAGCTATCGGCGGATGAGTTCCCTGGGTCGGTCGCCTCGGCATACTGCACCAAACCATAATCGAGATCCTCTGCGGTAAAGTTGGACAAGCCGAGGATGTGCTGGGGATACCACAGCTGCGTATCCTCATTGCCCACACTGCCGTTGCCAAACAGACCGCTTTCATTCCACATCACCTCGCTGCCATACAGCGAATGGGCGTAGACGAACGTCTGATTTGTCTCTACCCAGTCATTGTAGAACTTGTGCAGGGTCTCTATCTGGGGTCCCGTCAAGCAGCTGGTATTTTTCGTTTCAGTGCAGAGCAAAGGAAGGTAGTCAAAATTACAGCCCAGCGGATCGGAGATGATGTTGTCGACCAACCCGTCTTGGGGATCGCACTGGCGGATCGTTTCCGCCCCGATGACAGCAAACATCTCCATCGGGATCGTGTGCGGCGAACCCTCGGGAGCTTGAAAGGTCGTTTGCTTGAGATTATACAGCTGTTGGTGAGTGGTCCACCAGGCTGGACAGGCTGCGATGACGCCGTCATAATCCAGTGGGAACTTTTGCGTCTCCTTCATGGCCTGACGACCGCCAGTGGAACAGCCAGCAAAGTAGCTGTATTTGGGCTTTTTGCCGTAGAATCTCTCGACCAGAAACTTGCCCAATACGCTGGTGAGGTGGTTGGCGCGCCAGGCCCAATCATTGATCGATTCGGGATTTTTCCACCAGACGCCATTCATGTCCGAGCCAGTGTGGCCGGTGTCGGTGGCCACGGCGGCGAAGCCATAACGTAGTCCGATGGCCTAGTAACTTAGTGAGTGTGGATAATCAACAGGAGGTAAGCATACCATATCAACCCAATTGATGTCTTCTCCTTCCTGCGCGGCGTGGCTGTGGTTCAATCAGCATTTCTATTTCTTAGCTTGAGTACGATACACCTACAAGAACCGCTCATTCCATGCATCCGGGAAGAAGACCCCGAAACTGAAATGGGTGTTGACATCGGTTGTCGCATTGACCTGGATGGCACAGGTTGCGGGCAATTCCGTGGGATTAACGCCAGAGGTGATGTTTGGGTTCACAAACGTCGAATTTTCCGCATAGTGGTGGGCATAAACGACTTGTGCATTGGTCCCATTGGCATCCAGAAAGGCTTGAAAGGTCTCAATGGAGCAGTTGCTCACGGCCGACACGACCGGAGAGGCAGCCAGCAACAGCGCCGCCAGTGAGGGCATACGTGGCACCATGATGACAATTGAGCTGACACCCTACAGCGAGTGCAATGAATTGATTCGCGTCAATCTACGCTACTTATATACCCAGTTTTGTGCTGTCGCAAGTTGCGAATCCGTCGGACACCTCATCATCGTCAACCGGGCGGTTGAAATGCGGGGCTGCGGGGAAATCTGCAGCGGCAAACAAAGTTGCATGACACGCTGCTGGGGGATCTACACGACGGAGGCCTTTGCGTCCGCTAACCTGCGGAGACTTGCCCACTTTCGGACCGAACATCTCAATGCTGCGGGGGCTGGGAAGATATAAGATGTCGAGACGGTCGAGCGAGATATTTGCACTACAGGGCTACCCACTTAGTACAGATCCACGACCGTCTGCAGGATGGCACGACTCGCGCGGGGAATCAGCGCTCTGGCGTCACTGCTTCTGGCTCTGCCGGCCGGGGCAAAAGTTTCATCCGCTTCCACTACTCTTTTGTTTGAGAACAACGGGAACTGGACGGCTCATGCGGAGCGGCCCAGCGCGCTACTGGTGCATCAAACGGCCCATCGCAGCCAAGCAGCAGACATCTGTGCTGACTATGGCGAGCAATTGTTGGACTGTGATGACGTGGACGCCTTTCGCCGGGCCTTCCAGTACCAGGAGTACTTGGGGACCTTCCCTAATGGCACGCTGCTTTGGACTGGCTGCAGTGCGCCTGTCACGCTATCCGGTGTTTCCGCGAGTGGGAATTCCTCGTCCGACGATGGGTGGCCCATTGTCTGCACAAACTCGGCGCCCCTGGTCGACCGGGTGGACACGGATTACTCGTCCCTCCCCCGGGTCAATGCCACGGCAGGCAACATCACCTTTGAGGGTCTGCGCGACCACCTGACCTTTCGCTTTGCTGGTATCCCGTTCGCCCAGCCCCCAGTGGGCGCCCGGCGCTTCCAGTATGCTGAACCCTGGGATGCAACCAACGTGAGCTATGTGAATGCCACCCAATACAGCCCCGCATGTCTGCAACAGGGGTACTTTGAGGGGAACAGTTACGGATTGAATCCATAGGGGAATGATGAGGACTGCCTCTACCTGAACATATACACCCCATTCCTCCCGGGTCCTGATGTGCCCGACGATCAGCTGAAACCCGTGCTCTTCTGGATCCATGGCGGGGGCTTCGCTCAAGGCACCGGCTCCGATCTCACCTTTGATGGCGGAAGTCTGACATCGCGGTCGGACGTGGTCATCGTCACCTCGAACTACCGATTGAACATCTTCGGCTATCTCTCGCTTGATGACGGAATCATCCCCGGAAACTACTGGATGTCCGACAACATTGCGGCCCTAGAGTGGGTGCAGCAGTATATCCGGGGCTTTGGGGGAAATCCGAACAACGTCACCATTTTCGGCCAGTCAGCTGGCGGAGCCAATTGCATCGAGCTTGCCGCTTCCCCACAGGCCGCTGGATTGTTCCAGGGCGTCATCCAGCAGTCCTCGGGCAACGGTCGTTTTAGTACTCAAGAGGCAATTGCCGAGCTGGCGGAGCCCTATCTCACCCCGTACTGCAACGACACTGGGGTGTCTCGGCTGGCCTGTCTACAGGAGCTGCCCGCGTCGGTGTTGTTGAACGCCAGTACGGATATCTTCTTTGCGCCCGTCATTGACCCAGTGTATTTGCCAGATGCGCCCATGGCGCTCATTGCTCAGGGCAGTTCATACATTAACTCGGTACGGGTGATGTCCACCATGATGCCGGAGGAGACTCAATCCCTGACCACCACGACGCTCGCACCCAATATGACCGACTTTTAGGCTGCCCTGGACTTGCTCATCCCTGGAGGCTGGATCGACCAAAAACAGGCGGACCACATCATCTCTTCGGGTCTGTGGCTAATCAGTAATGAGACCTTCCAGAACGGGTCAGTCTCGTATCCGAGCGTGTACAACGCCAGCGTCAAGATCTCGACGGAGAACAATCAGGAGTGTCCAAACGGTGCCTACGCCATGGTCGGTGCCTCCACGGTCGCCTTTCCTAGTATGCACGTTGCTTACCACCAACGAGGTTATGCGCTATCCTACTACGATTTCTACAACTTGTGCACGTTCCCCGTTGGCCAACCGGATACCCCTTATTATCGGTGTCACTCGAGCGACCTATATGAGGTGTTTGGAACCTACTACATCTACGACCAGCCGATCCGTGTCCCGGAGGATATCTACTACACCAACGCGGTACAAGACATCTGGGGATCCTTTGCGCGCACCGGTAACCCTAATGTGCCGGCAGATTACTTGGCCGCGCGTGGGTACGAGTCGACGATCGAATTCTTCGCAGATTGGCACTGGCCCGAGTTTACGGCCTCGCAGATGGTACTAGCGGATCTGCAATACCCTAAACCAGGTTATAGGAATGTGCCGGATCTGGAACATTGTCGGTATCTAGCCAAGACGCAGTATTAGTCCTCTGCCGGAAGTGCGGGTGTGAGGGTACTGCGGAGGACCACTTCACAGCGGATTCTTATATAATGAATCTCACTCTCATCTCGGACAGCATGTTAATTTATTTTCCGGGTCCATTGATCCTGCAACTTCGTAACTTCAATACCTAAACCTGCTCAGCATCCTTCGCCGCTCAGTCTAGCCTTTCCCCCGCTTTCCCCCGGCTTATCCGCCACCAACCCCGCCGGCAACCCAGCGTCGATATCCGCTACTCCACCATCCCACACTGCTGCGGAACATGTACTGCCGCATCTCTAATCTCTTGGATTATTTCGATAGCGACGATCGAATTTCCGAACATGAAGCGATGGATCTGGTGGTTGTGATTGGGGAGACTCATGGTGTTATTGATTCCAGGTTGAGTCTGGTGGCAGAAAAATAGGAAGAGAGTTGAATAGGTGGTCAATTTAGCATAAGGGTTAGTGGAAGTAAGGGTTCCTCTATTAATTTCAAGACATGTGCTGAAGTATGGAGAACGGCGCTTGCTTCGGGATGCGGGATCAATCTTCATCTAGGATATATCATCCCAAGTTCTTAAGATTATCTTCGCCCCTTTTAGCAGCATATAGGTGGGTACTAGGCAGCTAACATGGTATCGTACCTATTCTTTGTATACCACTAGCCCTAAGAGACTGTTTCTGTGATCACCTTTCCAGCCATATCATTCTCTCTTTATATTAGCAATATTCACAGCACCTGAGCAGCTATCACATGACAAACTACCTTGTTACCGATCTTTCCCATTGAAGCCTGTGATAGGTCTGTAGGCGGTATCACGTGCCCATAAGTCACGTTGACCACCGGGGTGCGGTTTCCGCGTCTCAGGGGTGGCACTCCTTAGCAACTAGTATTATCTCTAGGCTACAGTATCTAATATCATTTGCCTTCCCGTCTCCGACCATTCCTAACTGGGATCGGCCAGCCCCTGCCTAAACCAAGGCCACGTGGTTCTCTCCTTTATTCCCCCGCACAAAACCCTAATTCTGCTAACGTTCTCCAACCCCAAGTCATCCCGTCAATACGCCAGTTGCCCCCTAGCTACCTCGACATGATAACGTGGAACATCAATTTCTCCTACTATGGGGTCCAGGCAGTACGTCCGTGTCCTCGTTGTCCCCCGCAAAGCATCGATTTCGTCTCGATGGAACGCCCATCCTGTTCAAGGAGGAGAAGCTGGCGGAACGCATCCGCCAGGGTTATCCAATCCGACGACCCCATGTGAGATCGAAAATGGGATGTCTCCGGTGCAAACAAAGAAAAGTCAAATGTGATGAGGCAAGGCCGAGGTGTCGCCGCTGTCTGATCAACACATGTTCCTGTGTCTATCCTACCGAAAATATTCGTCACCACGTGGTAAAAGTGGGCTATCTTGAAAAGCCGTCCACGGGTCTCCGGTCCACCTACTTGTCTCTGACGCCGGTCAACCCACAGGGAATGAATTGCGACTTCAAGGAGGGTCTATTACATCATTTTGCTCATCACACGTGTACCTCGCTGCTCGCCGGGGGCGCTTGCTCTCCCATGGCTGACATCTGTCTCCCTTTTGCCCTTGCGCAGCCATCACTTCTGCATGGCATTCTGGCCCTCTCCTCCCGACACATGATGACTCTGCAGCCGGAGGACCGCCGGTACTCCCTTGCCTATCACCATCACAGCCAACAATTCTTCTCCCTCTTCCCGAACGACCTCCAGAAACCGCCATCGCTAGAAATGACCAATCTAGCCCATTCCAATATCTTCTTGGCAAATGTCCTGTCCGCAGCGGATCCGATGGTGCACTCCTGGGTGATGGCGGAGGATCCGGAACAGATCGACCAGGCGTTCAGCTGGATCAGACTCCAAGCACGCCATCAATGGATCCTTCGTCCGTCCGCTCCATGGCTCTCTGCTTGCTATCTGCAGCCTTTGTTTCAGCAAGCTCCATATAGCCTTCAGCTCCATCCCGCGACCGCGCGCGGGATCACGGAACCGCTGCCGGTAGAGTCTCTCCGGGATCTCATCGCTCATGGTTCGTCTCAACAAGATCTCATGACGCGAGCTCTGCAGCTTCTGGTCGACAGCTACGATCCCGATCCCGTGCATCCCTATCTGAACCTGTTCGAACGGTCGTTGAGGTTTATCTGTAACATGGAAGACGAGCTTTTGCACCTCCTACACCAGAAGGATGAGATCGCCCTCGTTTTGTTTGCATACTGGCTCTGTCATCTGGTCGGTCTGAATCTGTGGTGTTTTTCTAAAGCAAGCGACGAGTGTCGTGCCATATGCTGCTTCTTGTCCAAAAGCAATGATCACTGTGTACAAGCGCTGGTAGAATATCCGGTGCGCATTTGTGATCTCATGAGTGACTTTCGTGGGATCCCAGGTCATGAGGGATAATTCCATCTTCCGACGCTGTTCATCAAGGCTGTCCCTCAACTGTGAGCCAACAATCCGTTCTGAGGGAATATTACGAAGCTCACCTACGACAATACATATTCAAATACACCAAGTCTCACTGTCTGACCACTCACTGAGACAAAGACAACAAACATAAAGACTTTGAATTTGGTTTTCTCCGAAGAAGGTAATTTACGCATAGGGGCATTCTGCCATTCGACGTTCTAATACTTTTCGGCACTCTGCTTCTCTGATTTGTACACTATTTCTCCCGCCCATCGGAGACGGTATATCTGTGATTTAATTGGGCCTCAAGGGATACTTGGAAATACAATCATCTTAACCGGTCGGTTGGAAGACATGAGTGAAGACGGAACAGAAGGTTGATCGGTTGGTAGGGTGGGGCTTGACCGCAGCTCTCTTCCATCCTATTCCTATGAACTGTGGTACTGTTGCCCGAGAGTGATATCAATACTCGTAACGACTGTAAAAGAACCACTAAACACTTAGATCTCTGGAGTGTTGCCTATATCTATTCGTACCTCCTTCCCAACACTTGCGCCACCTAGCCAGACAACCAACATCCCAACCCACCACCAACCCAACCAAACCTCCAATACCCAAAATACCCCCCCTAATCCCTCCAAACCGACCTCATCCCCGGTCCACTCAAATACAACATAACCTGCTGCCCCTGCAACACGCCATCATAAAGCTGCAACACCTGCAACGTCTCCCCCGTGGCATTCCCCGTCCTCACCAACCCCCCTCCTCCCCCCTCCAGTTTTCCCCTCAACCACTCCTCCTACTCCCCCTACGCGGTGGTCATAATATCCGGAATAAACGCCGACACCCCCCCCCATACGGAAACACCTTCCCCTCCCCCACCGCGCCCGTTACCACAATCCCCAGTTCCTCGTCAATAACCAGATTCAATCTCGCATTAAGATCCGTAGGTCGGATATCAGGCCAACTACACCACAGCGGAACATAGAATCCATTCCCGTCCGGCCCGGGATCAACCACTCTCCAGCCTTCTTCGGTGAGCTGGCAGGTTGAAGCCACCGTGACGGTCAGATTGTAATTGGGATTGGATGTCGCGGCGCTGAGAGATTCCAGGTCCCTTCGAGTGGCCTTGGTGCGGCTACTAGGCGGAGACATCCACCGATGGTAGTTATGGGGTAATTCGGCAGGCGAGAATGAGAACCCGTGGTCGCCTCGTGAGCGGTTTATGTAGATTTCGAGTTCGGTGATTTGTTGGTTTTGGACTTTTATGCGTGTCCAGAGGACGGATTGTGTTTGGGAGGTGGGGTTGCTGGGGGTGGGGGTACTGCCTTCGGTGATGTCTAGGGCGAAGTAGGCTGAGCCCGTCGTGGTGTCGATGGCGAGGAGGTTTGGGGGGGGGGGGGCGTGGGTCACGGTGCGCCAGAGGGTCATCATGCTTAGGGCTGCCGGGTGGGAGTTTTCGGTGGCGCGGTATTGTTGGGCGAGGGGGAGGGTGGATGGGTCGTGGGTGAGGATCGAGTCCAGGATTTGGTTGACGATGGTGGTCATGCAGGATCGGGTGCAGTTGGGGGTGGAGGTGGTGCGGAGGGCGGAGGTTAGGGTTGTGAGGAGGGGGAGTAGGGTGGGTAGGTGGGATAGCTTCATTGTTGATGTGTAGGGTGCGTGGAATGGCTTCTTGTCACCCTGGAGAACTGAGGAGGGGGTGAGGACTGGACTAGGTCAACGGAGGGAGGTAGATATAGATATAGTATCTTAGAAGCTATATCAGGGCCTTCCCCAGATTCTCCCCACATACCGCGATCCCCACTTTCCCCGATTTTCCCTTCATTCCGAGCTTCTCCACGTCTACCGATAGATGGTTCTGATATCAAGGGCCCAATTATGGGTGGGGTATACTGGCGAGGTAGCATTGGGAACTTGGTATAAGATCGGCAAGCTCAAAAAGGAAATTCGGGATATACGAGCCAGCAACATGCAGCTACGCCATCTTAGAAAAGTGTCAAGCTCGGCAGTTGGGGCGTGGATGATTGATTGGTGATTATCTCACGCTAATGAGCTATAGCGGGAATGTGCTGCAGGGATTAATATCATTTTCTTGGCAGTTGATCACTGAATGATCGCTAGGGAAAGATCGAGTCGATGCAGTACGTTCTCAAGATTGTATATTGGATCTTCTTCACATGATACCCTCGCTTACGCCGTATCAGAACCATCATGTTTCAGCAGCCTACCCTCCCGGGAGCACCACTATGAAATTAGATACATCACGGATAATATGCCCCCTGATCAAGTGGATGTGGCGTCTGGTCCGGCCACAACTTCCGAATCCCATCTTTCGCAGCATCAACCTGGAAGCCATTTGTGAAGACTCCCAACTGATACAGTAGATTTATCTGATCCGTAACCCAGCACCTGCATCCAACCCCATTCGAATCGAACTCGTACTTGTGCCGTCCATGTGCCGTAAGATGATCCAGAATCTGAGCAACTGTCAACCCCGGGGCAACATCCAGTCGGAACTCCGTTTCGGCATCATGGGGGAGTAGACGATCCAACTCCGAAATGATAAGATATGCTTTGGACCCGCCGGTGATCTGAGTGCTTGGGACGCTGTGACTTGGTTGGCAGTCGAATTGGATGCACGTCAATGGGGAGGTCTCGAGGTAGAAACACCAGTGGTTGGTCCCGCCTTCTTGGGTATGGCCCACTGCGCGCGCGGAGATGATGGGGGTGGCGAGGATCTGGCTCTGGCGGCTGCTGGGGATGAAGTGGATGGGTTGGTAGGTAGTCATGGCTTTTGTATCGTGTTGGTGTGATTTGTTGGCTTTTTTTCTGGCCTGGATAGGAGAAGCTATAGCTGAAGTCTCCTTGTTGTAGGATGAAGAGGTATCAGCATAAAACAGATGTCTGTCTTATCTGGGTGCTATCGCTGGATATACCACCTCGTAAGGGTGGAAACCAGAGAGATGAGCCTGCCCCGCACCAAAGGTCCACTGGGGTGGATTATCCGCCAAGCTTCACTAGTATGTATATGGCTAGACTGTTATTCAGCCAATCACAAGTCGTATTGTTCTTTAAATTACTTAGCAGTGGATCCATGGTCTCTGGTGGACTCATGTCAAATTTGCCAGTATTCTAGTGAAAGGATTCGTTTGATGCAATACTGCCAAAAATAGAGAGTCGGAATAAAAGATGGTACCAGCTTGGACCAGGGCTTTCAGGCCGACATTTAGCAACTTCAGGCCTAGCTGATGCCTAGCTTATGCGCTAATCTGTCTCCACCGTGCCTAGTCGAAGACCATCTCATTCTACCTTGGAAGGCATTTTATATCAACTCATACGCGCTAGGGAACGAAAGGACTGCCTACTCCGGACGCGTTATTACTATTTCAAGGTCAGCGATGCCTTAAGGCAGCGACATATTGGCAACCCTTGCTCCTGGAAATTTCTTCTCTGACTGGGTCCCCTACTTGCTTACTACTTTGCTTGCCTGAACATTTTGTACAGCCTTTCACCTGCTGGAGATACAAGAGAAGTATCATTGTGGTCTCACGTCAGCCTTGAGCCCTCCACAGGGAATGCAAGGCTTATCAGACTGGTCTTTTCCCGGCTATAAGCACTCCTTGCATCTAGGGAATGCAAACCCAGTTTATGGATCATGACCTAAGCCTTTTATATCAGAAGCTGCCAGTAATGAATCTTTGGCGCCAATTTCATCCTTGTTCCACAGCACAGCATCGTGATTTGTATACGATACCCCCGTACCCCGAAGAATCCTTCTTTTTCGTACATGGATCTTGATGGCTTTCTCAAACGTCTCAGATGATTCAGTACTGTCCCCTTCACCAGAAATCGAATCCAATTTCAGCAACCCGCCATCCCAAGAGACTCTGATAATTGGCATGGGCACAGCACTTGTGGCTCTTATGGTCCTGGCAGTGACAATACGCATATGGGTTCGGATACGAATTTTGAAGATATGGGGTGCTGACGATAGTAGGTTGCTTAGCAGTCTATAAGTCCGTTTCCTGATCTCTTACAATAAATTTTTAGCAACTATACTTCCAGCCGCCGTATGAAAATACGATATACTTCCAGATGCCTCTATACTAACTGGCGATAGTGTGGCGCAATCTCGTTTATAGTGATTTATACCCAAGGTGATTAAAGATTCGTCAGACTCGACTATGATGCCGCTCACCAATCCAACCCCACTTAGGGTTTCAGTACGGACTTGGGCGACATGTATGGGATGTACCCAAGAGTATGCTTAGCCCTCGTTTGACACTTCTCGTAAGCCTCTGCAGTAACGAAACACCCATCAGGCAGACCATTAATGAACGGGAGGTCTTGATCGCCAACACGACATATCCGTTCACGGCCTGCTTCACCAAATTGTCTATCCTCCTGCTTTACAGGCGCCTGTTCCCCGTCCATCGGGAACGCTATGCAATCTGGACGGGCATTTGGTTGTTTACCATCCTCTACTCGGTCTTGACAATCTTATCTGCTATTCGAGCAGCCAAGTGCGACAACAATATACCATGGACCAACCCCCAACCATACTGTACATTCGCAGCCACCACACTAGCCAAATGGACTTCCGTGTTGAATGTCCTAAGCGATTTCTATGTCCTCCTTCTCCCGATTCCGGCCATCGTCGCTCTTAAACTGTCCGTGAGAAGAAAGGTTGGCGTACTGGTCGTCTTTGCGAGCGGGCTTTGGTATTGCAACCCATCCTCGACTTCTCGAATTCTACACACAATTTTTTCTGACGCGATTTCTCAGCGTCTGTGCCGCCAGTTTGGCTCGATTGATCCATCTCTTCATCGATTCGGAAAATCATGATTTCTTCTGGAATGAGGCAACCATTGCACTTTCTGGGTACATTTTCCTGGTTTTTCTATCTGCACTCGAGGGAAATTTTTTTGTTAATCTGACAGTAGGATGAACGAAATCAATATCGGTATTATCGTAGCCTGTGCTAACACCTTCCCTGCGTTCATCGGGTGCGTGCGGTCCTGGGGATGTTCGATGGCAGAACCTTTTCGAACTCGTCGTGCTCGCCAACTGTTTCTTTATTTATAAGTGACTTCATTGGAATTTATCCGCATCGAGGATAACAATAGGTGGGATTGATGAGTATGTGGGTATAGATGTTGCATTTCCGGTTTTTCTTTCAGGCGCAAGGCTTACACAAATTGTACATGGCGTCTTCACGAGGTAGCCTGGGTCTTCACGACTTGAAGTGGTCAGAGCCTAGCTATATTTGACCTTCCTGTTATTTATCCAATGTGGAGGCAGACTAATCTGACATGACCAGAGGACTTCGAGCCAGGTACTGCTGAAGAGCAGCAATACGTGAATATAAGCGCCTTCATTGCGCGCGTTGCAACAGCTGGTGTGACAAGTAGCATGGGATGGGCTATCTGGACGATGAAAGATAATCTCGAAGATGAACCCAGCGACGATATGTACAGCGCTTGTGTCTCTGCTGCCGCCATGTGGATCCTATGTGCTGGTCAGTGGTTGTTCGTGCGGGCTGTCCAGGCTCCTGAGGAGGATGAGGACGCTCCTCGGTTGTGGAACACTGGGTCCAGATACCATGGTCCGATCTTTGGGATGGAGAGATGGAATTTCTGGCAGAAGGCATTTGAGGCTGCAGCGGAGCGAGAAATTGCGGCTGCTGAGTGTAGAAGCTTGGCTAGTAAGGCCAAGGATCTTATGTCTGCTATTGCGAAAGGGATGACTTGGTAAATCATGTCCTAGCTACTGTCATCGCATGTTTCTAGATAAAGCTTCTTGATCACGTATGGTCTATCACTGTGTACATTGTTCTAATTATCAGAAATTTTCATTCTTCACCAAAAGTGGGTCGAATAAAGTGAGGCTTGTTGAGCATTCGGTCCATTAGCTAAAAATGGTGCGCATTCTGACCCCGGTGCTCATAATCATAGCGTGTTGCCAGTATACGAGTTATAACTCGTGTCCTTTCACGGGTACGGTTCACTCTCGAAGCGCATCTAGAGCAGGTCCTGATATGATTAACTCTCTCATTTCCAACTATGTTTATAGCACTATCTAATAAGAACACAGCAGGACACACGACCCGCGTTAATGAAAGTAACAAGATTAGCAACACCCGATCCGATAATAAGCAACAAGGCTATTCGAGACTCATCGGAAATGGTTTCTCCCACCCTGGTGCTACACATGTACTGCAGGAAGACTTCTCTTGAGTGGCTTGCTGCATCCTCGGTCGAGAAATCGTACAGCTCGCTCTTTCGGATGACCAGCCCTCCCCTTTCGAGGTGAGCCTGCAGGATCCTACCCTTTCTCCCTTCTATAAACGAGAATAAAAGCACCGGTATCATGTAATGTCTTTTAAACTTGCCGCTACATATCTGCGAGATCATCACCCCAGCGATTGCGAGGATCTCCCCTCGTTGGATATTCTCGTTGTCCCCTAAACCGTGATGGACGCATGAGATCATGATATGTGGGCTTTCATTGACGTCCCAGCCAGCATCGCAGTTCCATTTTCGAGAGTGGAGTATGCTTGTCTCGAGACCAGCAAGGAATATGTTGGGAATGATCTTCCTATAAGTTTGTTTCATCACTAGCTGCCCTCCACAGAAGGTATCATCAAACCATCTTACCTTTTCTTCCGCCCAGAGAGTTCGCATAATGACGGTTTCCCGTTTCCTATGTTCGTCTCACACCCCTCAAAGGCGCGTCTGACCATGGAGCTAATCTCCTTAGAGCTATCCATCGCACAATAAGACCAAACACCGTCACCCCACATGAACCGCTCAGTGGTCATCTCAACTCCACACATAGGATGTTTGCCTATATGTGCCTTCGAGACAGGTAAGACGTACTCCGGATACAGGGCCTCCACACAGAATCCATCAGTCTTGATATGAAGCTCCTGTAGTTGGATGGAAATCTTAGCCAGGTTCTGTTTGTCGATGCAGTGGCCTTTCAATCGTTTCGTTGCGTTCCATATCTGGCCCAGGCCCGCCAGATACATGTCCAACTCCCACGTTAGTGTCTTCATCATATGGCTTTCTGCCTCCTCCTCGGTATCATTGTTGCGCGTGGAGAACGCCGAGCGACGAAAAAAGCTGACAATGAGATCCATGGTGCTGCTCGAGGAATGATCGGACCCGACAAGGCGACAGGGTTCGGCAAAGACAGATTACTTGACTCGGTGAGGAAAGAACCTCCCCGACCAATACATGAACTGGATATCATGTAGTTGCGGTTATTAGTGTAGTTGGTAAGAGAAAATTATTTTTTCTCGGTCCTGATGTCAACATGATTCTAATTTGTGATGCAATTTCTCGCTCAATAAGGGATCGGAACTACGTGAAGCACAACCATGACACAATCAGTGGCCTGTGTCAGTGTCTGCTACTTCATGTAAGTAATTCTAGGTTCATATCATCGAGCTTCCTCGTGGAAAGTCATCCATGATGGACACCGTGGGTAGATTTCGATCACGTGATTCTCTGGGCAGGTGCTCAAATCCCTCGACGCCTTCGCTTTCCTCCCAACATCTTCTCCCCGGCAAACTCGGTGGTCATCAGCTGAGTACCCAACAATCGAAATTCATCGAGTTCTCATCAGACCCCGCTTTTCCCATCACTTTCGGTGACTGAAATGGGAACAAGCTGGCTACCTGTTCGATTACACGTGGACATCGAACGATAGCATTCGGTCATGGGACGGATCGAGTGTGAATAATATTGCGCATGGTAGGCGTCCAGAATCCAGCCCAGACCAATGTAATCCCCACAAGGGAATGCTTGCAGCAAAAGGGGAGGCCCCAGTCGCTAGCTCGCTTCGTGGGGTGGGCTATGCATGTTTGTACGACATGGCGCTGGACCGGCACAACCCCTTCAGCAACATGCCGGGCTCATTTTTTGCACTCAGGCTCCCTCGAAAGAGGCCTGTGAGCAAACAAACTCCCCCGACTGGTGCAGTCTCTTCAAAGTTTGCAGGTGGATGGCCTACAACCTGAGGAAATTATCTCTGCTCATCCGTCACATCGCCTATCGATCCTTCGATCGTGAAAATGAGCGGGGCATCGGTAGTATTGGGGGTGGAGCAGATCTGCAACCGGAGTATCTACGATTCGACATATCCTCCCCCTTGCCTTACATTTCCGTGTCAGATGGTCTCCCCTTTGGCCTGATCAGCAGGCCAGCATTCTTGGAGAAATGTACGGTCGATGGTCTCTCATTCTTCAAACATTTGAACATAGTGCTTCACTCATCTGCTACTGCACATGCAGAGGTTCCACGCAACAATGGATGCGTCCGCAAGTGAGAAAGTCACCCCCGATGTCAAAGCTGCCCATGAAGCTGCAGTGAGTCCGGCCTCACCAGAGGTGACCGACCATACCCAGTGGAAGCCGGAGAAAGGGCAATGGATTATCCTCGGCTGCTTGGCTCTACTGTCTTTTATCATCGCCTTGGACACCACGATTGTTACGCCCGCCATCCCGGTAAGCTCTTCTCGAGTCTCGCATTCCCACTCTTCAAGACTCATGCAATTAGGTCCTGGAAAATTCTTTGCATGGTGACTTGGTGAGCGCCTTTTGGACTGGAACATCCTACCTTCTCGCCAGCGCGGTGTGTCAACCCTTCATAGTCGACCTGTCGGATGTTTTTGGTCGTCGAATCATCCTCGCTTTGGTGACCTCCCTCTTCACCCTCGGAACGATCCTGTGCTCCGTATCACATGGGTTTAAGCTCTTTCTTGCCGGACGAGGCTTGCAGGGACTGGGAGGAGGGGGCATCATGGCTACTTGCATCGTTATCACCACCGACATTGTGCCTTTGCGCCAACGGCCTACATATTACGCTATCGTGCAGATGGCATGGGCTGCTGGGAGTCTTGCCGGGCCAGTCATTGGAGGGGCGATAGCGCAAAGTATTACCTGGCGCTGGATCTTTTACATTAATCTCCCTTTCTGTGGAATCGGTCTCATCCTTGTCCCTCTGACGGTCCGCTTGAAGGCTGAAAGACCGAGCATCATGCAGCGCTTGGCGTCCATGGACTGGATTGGCGGTATCCTTTTCATTGGGAGCCTGTGCAGCTTTCTGATTGGCATAAGTTGGGGCGGGAATCAGTTCGCTTGGAACAGTTGGCGGACGATCGTGCCAATTGTTGTGGGAGGCCTGGGTGTGATTGTTGCACTGCTCTGGGAAGGTTTTCTTGCCACTCGGCCATTCATCCATATATCCCTCTTTGCCACCTATTCGGCACTGATCGCATATGTTTGCACATGCCTGCAGGGAGCAATCGTAGGTGCATCTTCCTGTACATGTGTTCCGAGCTGACTTTAAATGGCATAGATGGCTCTCCTCTATTTCATCCCGTTGTTCATGCAGATCGTCAAGGGCTTTGATGCCGTCGGAAGTGGATTGGCCTTGATGGTGGTTCTTGGGGTGATGCTACCCGGTAGTATGGCCGCCGGCATCATGATGACGCGTCTAGGACGCTATCGTTGGGCAATATGGATCGGCTGGATATTGTCTACGTTAGCGACGGGCTTAATGGCGCTGTTACAACAGCACACATCCGCCCCTCGTTGGGTGTTTATCTTCCTCACCCTAGGGGTTGGCCAAGGCCTGTCACTGACGTCCCTTAACTTTGCAGTCCAAGCGCTAGCCAGAGATAACCGGGATGCGTCCGCGGCTGGGATGTACACCTTTATGCGGTCCTTAGGGATGTGTATCGCAGTGGCAATGGGAGGCACATTCTTCGAAAACCGAGCGGCCTATCAACTCGGTCAGAATCAGCTGCCGGTGAGTGTAGCGAAAACAGCGGCCCAATTTGCCCTCGAGCTTAGAAAGCCCGGATTCCCATCGACCCTCAAAAGTCGCTACATTCTTGCTTTTACGGAAGCATTCAAACAGCTGTGGTTCTTCTTTATGGCGATATCGGCTCTTGCACTCCTCTTATCACTCGTTATCCAGCATTCAAGCGTGGATCGGGCCTTAGAATCCGAGCATACACTCCATAATCAGGTCCTCCCAACCAGGCGACGAGACGGCAACGGTTGACTGCTAGTGTTGCTTGACTACATCTACATTCAGCATTGCAGCCATATATATGTCCCCAATTACAATATCTGCTTTCTCCCCTGATGCATTTGCCTAGTGGCAAGAACTGTGCTGTTCGTGCACAGAGATCCCCATCATGAGTTGCACATATCGCGCATTAGGTATACTGAGCAAGTCTTGTTTACGAGGGTATACTCACTCTGAAAGCATCACAGTAAAGTGTGGATCTAGCTGGTATCCTCGGATCATCCCGTATCAGAGGACCAGGAAGACGGTTACGTCAATTCACGAAATTAACCTTGCGGATGTAACGGGGCTTTATGGGATACAAGCACAAGAATGGGGACACAGCCTCCTTGTCAATCATATGTTTCACACAATATCCGGATAGGGCTACCCGGTGGGGACACATGCATTTAACTCAGTGACACCGTCGACGAGGGGTTCTCTAAGCCGGCCTCATGACCAGCGGCATTTTTATGTATGAGAAAAAGCAACAAACCCAGCAACCTTTGTAATTGCCTGTGATTGCCATGAGAGGCTTGGTCCGATTGCTCAGGATACCAGTCATTCTTGATGCATCGTACATGCCGGTCTGCTCATAGGCAGCCACTGCCCCGCAGCAAATTCAACCCGCAGGCAGGAGATGTTACATTCAAAAAACAAAGTGCCGGAATTCACTCTGATTGGCGAAAAATCCATTTGATCGACAACCCCTCCTCTTGTGTCACCAATACCTGCAACTTGAGGGGACAGTGTTGTCAGCATCCATGAATTGGACTCGATAGTATCTGCATGGCCAAGTGGCAGCCAAGGCTGGCTCACGTGTGCTGACAGGCTACAGGGATGGGCCTGCACAAGCTTTGAGTTCCTCATGTTGTGCAAACTACGTCAGGCGTCACGCATGCAGGCGCTTTGGGCCATGCCGAATGTCTCCCCGGTGGCCCGCAATGTCTGACCGGAATGGGCTGGCCCTATATCTACCCTGGTGTCACCACTCACTCTCACCAACCAGCACTGTCTCCTCCAAATCAACACAGCAAAATGGGAGAGATAGCAACAGTTCCAGAAATTACCAGGCCCCTGGCCATCATTGGTCTGGCTGCCAAATACTCTCAGGAAGCGACGGATGCCGAGAAGTTTTGGAAGTTTCTTCTTGAAGCTCGGCAATCATGGACAAGCATTCCCAAAGATCGATTGAATCTTGACGGATACTTTCATCCGGATCCAGAACGTGCTGGCACGGTCAGTTCCCAAATAATGCTCGGTGAGATGATAAATGACTGGTGATGCAGATTCATGCGAAGGGAGCTCACTTCCTCCGGGAAGACCCCAATGCCTTTGATGCCGCCTTCTTCAATGTCAACAAGACCGAGATAATGAGCCTTGATCCTCAACAACGTCTTGTAATGGAAAATGTATATCATGCGCTGGAGAATGGTAGGCTATTATAGCTCCGTTTCTGTTGTGGTCACTTGCTAACATATTGTGACCAGCTGGAATTCCCATGGACAAGGTCGTGTCATCAAACACGTCCGTTTTTGTGAGCGGGTTCAATCATGATCACAGAGACCGGCTTAATACAGACCCCGATATTTCATTTAAGCATAGACCGACCGGGTCAGAAGGCTCGATGATTTCGGGGCGAGTAAGCTGGTTTTATGACCTGAAGGGGGCAAGTTTGACGGTTGATACTGCGTGTTCGAGCTCAATGGTGGCATTTCACCTCGCAACGCAAAGCCTGAAGGCTGGAGAGAGCGATATGGTATGTCCTTCATAGTCCTTCCGGAAACAACACTTGACTCATAATTTATAGGCCATAGTCAGCGGAGTGAACGTTTTCGGTGGTCTCAACCATATCCTTGGAATGAGCTACTCAGGATTCCTAGGGCCAGAAGGAAAGTGCTTCACATTTGATCACCGTGCCAATGGCTATTCAAGAGGAGAAGGCGTTGGCACCGTGATTGTCAAACCACTTGATAAAGCGCTCGCAGACGGCAACACTATCCGTGCAGTTGTTCGTGCAACAGTGCTAAACCACGATGGTCGGACACCAGGCCTTACCTACCCCAGTGGCGATGCACAGGTGCGCCTCATTAGAAGCGCCTATGAGTCTGCTGGACTTGACCCTGCCGAGACACATTATGTCGAGTCCCATGGTACGGGAACGCCGGCGGGTGATCCTATTGAGGTACAATCCATTGCCAAAGCATTCGATTCCACTCAGCGAGAAGAGCCTCTTTATATCGGAGCCTTGAAAACCAACATTGGCCACATCGAAGGTGGCTCTGGCATATCAGGTATCATAAAAGCGGTTCTAGTGCTCGAGGCTGGACTCATCCCCCGGAATGTCAATTTTGAAAGGGTGAACCCACAGATCCACAGCGATGATTGGAACGTTCGCTTCCCACTGGAGGTTACTCCTTGGCCTGGAACTGGGCCACGGCGTGCTTCGGTTAATTGCTTTGGCCTTAGTGGGACCAACGCTCATTGCATCTTAGAAGATGCTCAAAATTATCTCTCTCACAGGGGGCTTGTTGGTCGTCATAACACACGGTCAATCGGTCTATTGTCTTGTAGAGAGGATAGGCATCCTTCACAAGAGAATACGGTGGCTCCTAAGCTACTCCTATTCTCTGGATTTGACCAGGGTGCGCCGGAACGAAGTGCAAAAGAAATTGCCTCGTATCTGCAGAGGAGACAGGAATCAAGTCCGAACGCATCTCCAGGTGACATTAACGACCTTGCATACACTCTATCAGAGAAACGGTCGCGATTTCGCTGGAATAGTTACATACTTGCCGACTCTATCGACGAACTCGTGACGCAGATCGAGGGCGGAACTGGCCTATCCCAACCGATCAATAGCCAAAAGCTCCCCAGAATCGGATTTGTCTTCACCGGGCAGGGCGCGCAATATCCCCGGATGGGCCAACAGCTTCTGCAGTTTCCAGTCTTTCGCAAGTCAATTGAGGCTGCATCTGAATATATGATGCACCTGGGATATGCATTCTCATTACTGGGTAAGATAATCGCGTCTATTCATGATGGTAGCTAATGCCTATTGCAGATGAGATCCTCAAGGATCGAGCGGAATCAGGGATTGACATTGCAGAGATCTCCCATCCAGCCTGTACCGCTATTCAAATCGCAATGGTTGATCTTCTTCAAAGCTGGAACATCTCCCCCGTTGGCGTCACCGGGCATTCTTCCGGTGAGATCGCGGCAGCGTATTGCGCCGGAAAGATCTCTCGTGAGGCTGCATGGAATATTGCGTATCACCGCGGACGGTTGACATCCAATCCTTCTCGAAAGACCAAGGGTGCCATGCTGGCGGTCAGCCTCGACATCGAAACATTGCAACCGCTTGTGGATGCGGCTCACAGGAACATGTCTGGGGATCTTGTGATCGCGTGCTTCAATAGCCCGAAAAACAATACTGTCTCTGGTGATGAGGAAATGATCGCAGCGCTGCAGCAGATGCTTGGAGCAAATGGCGTGTTCGCGCGTCGGCTAAGGACGCCGAATGCCTATCACTCGCCCCATATGAACGATATTGCGGATGAGTATTTGGAGGCTATGGGCAAAGCCCCAGCGGGTCATAGAATCAGTTCCGCCGAGCCAGTGCGCATGTTCTCTACTTCTACCGGAGAAGAGGTGACACAAAAGTCGCTCGAAAATGAGTTCTGGGTCAACAATCTTGTTTCGACTGTCAAGTTCACCACGGCCCTGGAAATAATGTGCAGTGGTGGTGATAGCTGCGCTCCTGATGTTGTCATTGAGATCGGGCCACATGGCGCTCTGCAGAGTGCAGTGAAAGAGACACTTTCAGGGCAGGCCGGTGTCCCATACCGAATGACGCTTAACCGCAACGACGACACTATCAAGACTTTGCTGGACACGGTCGGGTACCTCGCTACTCGGGGGACTCGTGTTAACCTGCTCGAGGTAAACTGTAGCTCAGAAGCGGAAAGAAACCCCGAATTCCTCGTTGATTTGCCACCATACCCGTTTAACCACGCCGAAAATGGCCTGTACGAGAGCCGACTGAGTCGCGCTATACGATTCCGTCAGTTCCCCCGTCATGATCTTCTGGGAGCCCCCAGCCCGGACTCGAACTTTCTGCGTTGGAGCTGGAAGCATTACCTTCGCGTTAGCGAGAATCCATGGCTGAAGGACCATGTGGTAGGTAACCTTTATCCATATTCGAAATGATTCTAACAACCTTGTAGATTGCGGATAACATTGTCTTCCCCGGAGCAGGATACCTCGTAATGGCCATTGAGGCCACCCGGCAGGTCATGAGCGGCCCTCTCGTTGGGTTTCGCATCCGAGACGTCAATCTAAAGGCGATGTTGATCGTCCCAGACAATAAAGAAGGAATCGAAACGTGTTTCTCCCTGGTTCCTGTTGAAGAGTCGAATGTCTCCACTTCCGCTACATGGAACAGGTTCTCGGTGAGCTCATACGACTTTGATCACGACGAATGGACGGAGAACTGCACTGGGTATATTGCTGCGGATACTTCGGCTGCTCCGAACCCAGTCACCGGTGGTCGTGAGGAGGCTATGCGCCAGGAGGAATGGAGTGAAGCACAGGTCCAGTGGAATGCATGTCAAAGACCGATGAACTTTAGCAGGGTGTGCGACAACCTGGACTCGGTGGGGATCAGGTTTGGTCCGCTCTTTCGCAATGTATCGGATGTGAAAACTGGTGGCAACAAGGTGGGGGTCATGGCTGGCACAATCACCATCCCTGATGTCGCTGCTGCCATGCCAAAGGGATACATGCATCCGCATCTAATCCACCCCGCCACATTGGATGCCGCACTGCAAGCTGGGGTTGCTGCCATTTGCGACTACAAAGGGACTGGGGTGCTGAAGCGGGGCAACGTCCCCAATTTTATCAAAGAGATGTGGATATCAGCTAATGTCCCCGGCCGAGGAAGCTTTGAATGCTATGGGAAGGCCTCCCTCTTGGCACATGATACATACATTTTTGATGCTCATGTCTGGGATGTGGACAGTAAAGCGGGCCTTCTCTCATTGAGTGGGGTTCGTCTGGCACCATTCCAAGCCAAGGTTGGTGAGACTGAGGAGAAACAATTGTTTCACTCGATTGAGTGGGGATTGGATGCAAACTTTGTGTCTGATTCATCATTTTCACCTGCGAAAATCCCGAGTAACTACAGCACAGAGAAGGAATGGTTCGATGAGCTCCAACTCGCCGCTATACTGCTGGCTAGTGATGCCCTGTCCGACTTGAGTCTCCAGCTCCTGCGAATCCCCTTGCCGGACCACTACCAGCGCTTCTATGACCTGCTCAACAAATCTGTCGCTGACGTGGCCTCTGACTCGATACCCGGTGTCCGTTCAGAAGAATGGCAGAAATACTCGGCCGATCCTGGACTCAAGGGCGGTCTCTACGAGCGTGTCGCTAATCGAGACGATAATGGAGCGGTACTAATCCGCATGGGTTCCAGCATTGCCTCTTTCCTAAGGCAGGAGGCGGACCCGCTCTACCTCATGTTTGGCCAGGACGATCTCATGACTAGATATTACGACTCCGACATGGAACTGGGGCCTATTCCAGAGCGATTCGAGGAGTTGATGTCTTCCATTCGCTATACGTACTCCAATCTCAAAATTCTCGAAGTCGGCGCCGGAACTGGAGGTTTCACAGTCCGACTCTTGCAATCCCTGTGCCCTGTGACTGAAGACAGCGAATCCAACTCCATTGCAAACTACGAGTTCACCGATGTATCCCCAAGTTTCTTCGAAAAAGCCAAAACTCGTCTCGCTGATTGGAGTCACCTGCTCGATTACAAAAAGCTGGATCTTGGTGACGATCCGATCTCCCAGGGGTTCCTGGCAGAGTCATACGACATGATCGTTGCCAGTAATGTTCTTCATGCGACGCCAGATCTCCTTCAGACCATGAAAAATATGCGCTCGCTGCTGAAGCCGAATGGAAGGATTTTGTTCCTGGAAGGCGTCCGACAGGACACGTTGTACAGCAATATTTCGTTCAGTGCCCTTCCTGGATGGTGGCTTGGGAAGGAGGCGTTCCGGCAATGGTGCCCGTATGTGTCGACGGATAAATGGCAGGAGTTGCTGTGTGAATCTGGGTTTTCCGGCCTGGATGTGAATATTCGGAGCTCGGAGTATCCGGAGTTTAACAAGATCAGCATTATGCTTTCTACTGCCGTTCAGGCTTCAAGTGGAGGGACTGGTCGGAAGGTTGTTATTATTTCCCCTGACTCACATACAACGACTGTGGACAAGATGTTGCTAGACGTCCTCATGACCATGGGTATCCGAAAGTGCGCCATTGTTCATCCTTCGGATCTTGAGGAGTCGGATCTTGGGGATGCCATTTGCATATGCCTACTGGAACTGCATACCCCCATTCTCGACAGCCTGGATGAGGTCGCCTTCTTTCAGGTGAAACACATGCTCACTACGTGCAATCGCATGCTCTGGGTTACCGGCTCAAATGACCCGAGGTACCAGATGGCAACCGGTCTTATCCGGACAATCAGATGGGAGCGTGACTCTGACGATTTGAATCTCATCACGCTTGCTGTTGACACAGAAACTACTCCGGCCGAGGTAGTTCAAGGTATATCGAGGATCCTCTCACACCAGTTCCTGAACGAAGGGACGCCACATGGAAACTCAGAGTACCGGCTTCAAAATGGTCAGATCCAGACTAACCGGGTCGTGTCTAACACCCATGCGTGCGATACAGTCAACTCGCAATTTATAGAACCGGATGCGGAGCCCATCGGATGGAACGCGATTGACCGGCCCGTGAAGCTCCCAATCGGACAGCCCGGGACACTCGATAGCTTGCACTGGGTGACCGATACCGACGCAGCGCAGCCCTTGAAGCCGACGGAGCTGGAAATTGAAGTTCGGGCCGTCGGGATGAATTTTCGGGACCTTCTGACTGTCATGGGAGAGCTGCCTCAAGCCACAATTGGCGGAGAGGCTGCAGGTGTGGTTACACGACTAGGGTCGGGTGTCACCAAGTATCAGGTCGGAGACCGGGTTGCATATTTTGGTGACCCTGGCCACGTGGGAACGTTCCGAACTCTGGGAAGAGCAGATCAAGATCTGGTAGTACAGGTCCCGGATCAATTCTCCTTTGAGCAAGCGGCCAGCATGCCAGTCATTCATACGACCGTTATTTACTCCCTGAAAACGATCGCTCGGTTAGCTGAGGGTGAGACTATTCTCATCCATGCCGCAGCGGGTGGCGTTGGACAGGCAGCAATTCAATACGCCCAGCTAGTCGGAGCAGAGATTTTCGCAACGGTTTCTACGGTTGAGAAGAAGCAGCTCCTGATGACCAGATATGGAATCAAAGAAGACCATATCTTCTCCAGTCGGGATCTATCGTTTGTGGCTGGCGTTAGGAACATGGTCCCGGATGGGGTGGACGTGATTCTCAACTCCCTGGCCGGGGAAGCACTGCGCCAGTCATGGGAATGCATCGCACCGTTTGGGCGATTCATTGAAATTGGCAAGCGGGATATTCAGACCGGAGGGAAGCTCGATATGACCACCTTTTTGAAGAACGCCATGTTTGCCAGCGTGGACCTGCTTACTGTGGCTAAGCACCGGCCCAAAATGGTTGGTGAACTTCTCCAGGACATGGTGCAGCTGTGGCAGGACAGCAAGATCAGCGAACCCCATCCCACCACCGTCCTTTCCTACGGCAAGTTACAAACTGGTCTGCGCTGCCTTCAAATGGGCCAAACCATGGGAAAGATTATCTGCACCCCACAAGACGACGAAGTTCCTGTCCTTCCCGACCCACCCTCTCCCCACCATCTCGACCCCAATGCCTCCTACATCCTTGCGGGCGGCCTCGGCGGCATCGGCCGCAGCATTGCCCACTGGATGGCATCAAGGGGCGCTAAGCACCTCATCTTCCTCACCCGCTCTGACCAACTCACCTCCTCCGCCGAAGCCACACTCTCCACCCTCTCCACTGCCGGCTGCCAAACCACCATCTTCCGCTGCGACATCTCCAACGCCACCCAACTCGGCGCCATAATCCACGAAATCCAAACCACTCACCCCCCAATCCGCGGGTGCATCAACTGCTCCGTCGCCTGGGCCGACAGCATCTTCGAAAACATGACCCACACCCAATGGCAAGCCTCTTTGGGCCCTAAAGTTCACGGCTCCTGGAACCTACACACCCTGCTCCAATCCCACGACCTCGACTTCTTCACCATGCTCTCCTCCGTCGCCGGCGTCGTCGGAAACCGCAGCCAAGCCAACTACAACGCCGGCAACACCTTCGAGGACGCCTTAGCCCGTCATCGCACCGCCCAAGGCCTCCCAGGCACAAGCATCGATCTCGGTGCCGTGGTCTCCGTTGGCTTCATGGCCGAGAATCGGGAATATGTTCGCCATTCCCTGAAAATCGCGACTCATCACCGCGAAGACCAAATGCTGGCCATCTTGGACTATGTTCTTGACCCGCGCCATCAGGTGACAGAGCAAGCTGCTCAATTAATCTGCGGCCTGTCCACCCCCGCTGCGTATGAGAAACGGCGGATCCCGCCCCCGAAGCATCTCCAATATCCCATGTTTATGCACTTGCGTGGAAGTACTTCCCAATCTGGTCCTCAAGGTGAAAAGACAGAGGATTACCACGTGCAGGCTTTATTAGCCGCATCCCGAACGGAAGATGAAGCAGTGAGTGTGGTGTTGAATGGGATCAGGAAGAAGCTGTCCTCGATCTTGAGTGTTGCGGAGGAAGATATTGATCCGGAGCGGTCGATTCGGGATAATGGGGTGGATTCGTTGATTGAGATGGAGTTTCGGACGTGGGTGGGCAAGGAGTTGGGGTGTAGTCTGGGTAAGGGAGATGTGGGGGACAGGAGTGTGAGGGAGTTGAGTGCGAAGGTGATCAAGGGGAGTGCGTTTGTTCGGTTGGGGAAGTGAGGGTCTGTGCGTGCTTGGAGGGTGCAGTTTGGCTGTTTTCTAAGCTGATATGGTTGAAGTAGTGGAATGAGAGCATTAAAGGATGAATTTGTGAGTGGCTTGGATTATTTTTTCATGGAGAAATGTGAGTTAGGGTACGGGGTAGACCTGTTACTTTGAGATGAGTTGAACGTCGCTAGGGATGTGATAAATACTAGACAAGATCTACCTTCTAAACTATCATCAGATGGTTGCTGTACATTTCAAGTACACCAAATGAAGATAAAGAAATATCTCCGTCGATCACAACATGTGAGGGTGGGTGTTCATTCTCCTTCACAAGCCATTCTTGAGGTTTCAAACATCCATACTAGCCATCATCTAATTCTAAGAATGTCTCTATGAATATAACCCGAACACAACACACCTCTTCCTAGTACCATATCCATCCACCTCGGGCTCGAATCTCTCAACAATCTCACTCTTTTCACGTCCCACACTCCCTTAGAATCTACTCTTCAGATCCGTTCATCTCACCCCTCAAACCTCCCAGTTCTCAGCCCTGATCAAGTGACTTACTTCCTCTTCTCATTCCCATCAATCCCATCCCCCAACACCCTCCCGACAACCGGCAACGGCCACGCCAACTTCTCCACCGAATCCCGCGCCACTTCCCCCGAGCTAATCAAGTCGATGATCGCGACGGCAATGTAGCCCCCGATGGCGGTGAAGACATGCCACCTGTATATCATCAGTCACTACCACATTTCATCATAGTAAAGGAGGAAAAGGGGCGGTATGATATAGGAAAAAGAGGAAGAAGGGAGGGAACATACCACCCATGCAACTCGAACAAAAACCCAACGGGCAAGCCCACGACCCCCCTCACCCCAGTCAATACCCCACAGGCGAATTCATCAATCAGCCAGACGAAGTACCCGAAGGCGAAACTTGCTATCGTTTTCACCATTATTAGTACCCATCCACCAGTCATCCAAAAACCTCCACACAACCTCCACATAAAGACTAAACAAGGGGGGAAAGGGGGTACATACCAACCCCAAAAAGCGCAACCCTACTAACCCTCCCCCTCGCCCTCTGATCCTTAATCTCCCGGGGAATAATCCTCAACGTCCGAATAGTAATTACCAACACGGCTGCACCAAAACTCACCGCGTGGAGCAGGAACTCGTCCATGACCATGTGCACGACCATGACGATGGTGAAGAGGATGGAGAGGATGATTCCTGTGATTTTGGTGTATTGGGGGGTGGATTGGAAGGTGAGGATGCGGTAGAGGAGGGGGGTGGTGAGGAGGTGCATTGAGAGTTCGTCCGCTTGGTATTTTGTTAATATGTGTTTATGTTGGGTGTAGTGGATGGGGGAGTTTGATAGGGGTATGTGATGGGGGAGGCGTACACATCTGCGTATGATATTTCAAGGTCATGTGATAGCCCGCAGAACACACCCCCACGCCAATGAGGCCGCAGTAAGGGATGGAGCGCGGGCCGGATTGTTGTCGTTGATGGAGTTGGTGCAGGCCGTAGAGGCCGTAGAGGACTGGCTCGTTAACTCGTATCATGGTTGGGGGTAGGGATGGACGTACTGTAGACAAAACTACTCAGCGTGTTGATAAACTCGGCCACGTAGCGGGTGATCGCGTAGTCCTGCATTGATTAGCTAGGCCGGGTGAGGGATCATGTTATGTACTTCTTCGCAAAAGCTAAATCGGTGAGGTTAGTGCGTGCCCGTAGTATGGGGCAATAGGGACACACTTTAGGTACGAGGTCGGGGCACCCCAGAAGGGCGCGTGGGATCCCATGGTGGCTGTTCAACTTCCTGTTCCTGAGATCGGGGAGTTGGGTAAGACAGATGGCCGGCCCGGACGGAACTTGGCGCGGGTTTAAATAGAAACACAAATAGCAACGGCCACCCGGACAGGGCTCCACTGGACCCACTGGGCGGTGCGGTGGCTGCCATTCCAGTGCACGTGGGAGGAGGCTTGACCAGGGATGGACATTGATAGAGGCACTTATTCTGTGGAGATTATTCATGAATTTTGAGTTAATATGTAGTGGGCTTTACAATCAGAAGAGAAGTGCACCGTGATTCATTATCCGAGGGTTCCGGATCGCACGGATAGTGTGATATATCCGATGTTCCGAGACCAGTGCTCGGAACTGACTACGAGAACCTAAATATTGATACCGATGAAATCGAGTATACCACTAGTCAACTGTTCCATAGTAAACACAGCAATCACGAGCATAGAGAACGTACCTGCAGCCATGGTAATCACCAATTCCACTCAATCTCAGCGCAGCACATAGAAACAAAGCATCCCTTACCACAAGCAAGGTATAAGCTCACCATCTCAGTCGAAGTGTCGGCATCGTAGCAACCCGCCGAGTCGTCCCTCCATACCACGAGTCTTTCTGCGCCCGCTTGCGATGCGCCTGCTCCCACAATTCCTCCGCCGTATATCCATACCAATTCCTCCATTCCATCCATGTTACCTCACCATCTGGCTGCGCGCGCAAAAGCGCAATTGCCTCCTCGTTAATGACCCGCGCGCTGGCGAGATAATGCAACGGGGTGTTCAAATCGGTATCGTACGCGGTGACCGACTGCACGCCAGATGCTAACAGGTATTGTATTAGTTCCAGTTGAGGGGAAAGGTCGGCCTCACATTGAGCCTTGGTTTTAGGAGCGGAGTCCCACGGACATCGCATGCTGCGGACAGATTCGCGAACTTTGTGTGCAAATCTTTGGATGAGCTTTGGCAGACAGGCAATGTGTAGGAGCGTGTGGCCGTAAGCCGTGGTATCGGCATGAGAAAGCGGAACATCACGCTCGACGCGTCGGAGAGCGGCGAGGGAATACGTCGTGGCAATGTGAAGAATATGCACCAGCATGAATGGCGCGCGGAGATCAAAGTCGATCCGAGGATCCTGAGCAAGGATGTCGTATGCCGCTTCATTCCAGGATTCGTTGTTCCTGTGCAGGAAGGTTGACATGAGTGGTGTAAAACTCTTACGCACGTCGCCAAGGGGGAGAGTATTTGGACTGAACCCCCGAGCAAGAAGATGGCTCAACATGGCGGTATTTCCGCTCGCAATGGCCTCGTGGATAGGCGACAAGAAAGCCAGGGCTGACGGTGTAGGCGGTTCCGGTATTTCTCTCATCGGGGGCTCAGGAGTCCAAAAGGAACAATCAGAGTGGCTTGCGAGAAGTCGGTCGACAATGGCTGTCGAGTCGTGCCGGGCTGCAACAATCAAGGGATGAATGAATCGTAATTCCTGAAATATATGATTGGGCGAGTATTCGGTCCAGAATGCCTCTTTCGACCTCTCTTCAACCTCCTCCTCCGTGATGTGAACTGTCTGGGCAGGATACCCATTAGCATGTATGGTAGCAAGGAGTTCGGTCCGGGAAAGGGGGTGAATTGTCGTGTTTGAGTCCGGCTTAGGAAGAAATCGCAGAAAATAGCTCTGCACCATTTCATAGCTAGAGAGACGAAATCCATCGGGGTCAGCCCCTCTTGTCAGAAGAAAATCCACATCCCCGAGGTATTGGCCGCGGATAGCTTCCAGCAGCTGTGGCCCGATTCCAATTTCCATGAGATGCTCTTTAGCTCACGCAAGGTGAAGACGCACGACGGGGCAATGGCAGGCCGAAACGACGGCCTCCTTATATAGCGCGGTGACAACTTCCACGCTAACCCCGCTAGCAAGGATTCTCAACACCACCGCTTAGCGCGGATCCTGGATGGTCATGTTTCGCAAGGACACTGCCTGGGCAGTGTTAGCGTTGTGCCAGAATCTTGTCGATTGTCCTTTGTTGTCGGGTGACTCATGCAAGGTGCCTAGGGATTCGTGACTTGCCTTTCCCGCTAATATATCGAGGAAATGAACTCAGATGAGCACAGACCTCCGACATTGGCAGTCTTATTCCAGATCACTTGCAGTTGGAGACTGGTAGGATGGGATAGGTGTCAAGGGTTACTCTAGAGCATACGAGGGACCTGGTCCATGTACAACACCACACTTCAGCAATTATGTCCAAGTTATACACCCCATCCACCGCGATATAAACACACTAACAACACCCTTTACACAAACACTACATGCCGACTCCTACCCCATCAAACCCACGCATCCCACGCCAACCCATCCCGCACAAACCCATTCCCTCCATTTCCATCCGGTAAATCAAACTGCGGTCCCTCCGCCTCAAGCGAATACCCACGCACGCACTCCTCGAATCGAACCCTCGTCGTCTGCTCCACCTCATAAAAGTGATCATAGCGCGCATGTAAAGCGTCTTTTAGTGTGCTGACCTCTCCGCCTGGATGCAGGGCCCTCCAAGGCTTGATGCATACTTGGCCTTTGCAGGATTTTAAAACGAAAAGGAGGGAGTCGATGCGAGAGATGAGTTTGGGGAGGGGGATGTTTAGGATTGTGCAGAGGTCTGGGTTGGTGTCTGGGTTGGTGTCTGGTGAGAGGAGGTTGTGGAGTTGGTGGGGATCAGTCTGCAGTTGTTAGGCCATGGATACATAGAAGGAAGGGGGCATAGGTACGATCATATCGTAGAGCTCATGCTCATTGTTGCACCATACTGAGTAGTACAGGTTATATCCTTTGCCTTTGATGCGGAGGGCTTTGTAAGTGTTGTTGTATGCGGATAGGTCGACTGTTGGGTATCTTTTGTTAGAGTGATAAGGAAGAGGATGAAAGAGGGGATGTACAGTCATATATTCCCTCCCCTGCTGCAAATCCCCAGTATTCGACTGTTACATGTTCCTGTCTCTCGTCCTGTGCAGCCTCGATTTGCCCCTGCGTCAGAGGAATAGGATCCCCATCGAAGTCATCTCGGAGTGGAATGCCCAGTAACTGGAGGAATGTGGGTGCCAGATCGGTATGGGTAGTGACTATATCAGTAGATGCATTTTCAGCAATACCAGGCCCGCGAACAATCAGAGGGACGTTGATATCCTCCTCATATCCGCAGGACTTGCCCGGTTGAAGTCGACGTTGACCGATATGGTAGCCATTATCGCTGCTGTAGACAATATATGTGTTGTCTAGGAGGTTATACTCGTGCAACCGGGTGAAAAGGCCATCGACGAGCTCATCAACAGCTTGGAGCGCTCGCAGACGCATGCGGTAGAAGTGGTCGTTGTATTCGACGTTCGTGTCGTTTTGGCGCTTCAGCGTCTTGATCCAGTTCGCTCCGGATGGGTGCTCCGGGTTAAAAGATGGAGTGCGAGGAATTCGGATATCCGGAAATAGGTGCTCGTGTCGCTTGGCTGGAATGGGCGCACTGAAGCTGAAGACAGGATTGTCGTCGAGCCCGGTGCCGTTCATAAAGACGTTGCAGTGAGGCGCCATGGGCGCGACGGTGAGGAAGAAGGGTTTCTGGGCGGAAACGGCTTCATCAAGAAGGCGATATGCCTTTTGTGCGAGCACGTCGGTGCTGTACTCTCCTTCATAGCTCTCGGGTGGTTCGCGGTCTCGTTGAAAGGTGCTGTTGAGGTAGTCATATGTGAATGGGTCAAGGAGGAAGTCCTGCACCGATAGGTTAGAACACTTGTTTTGAAATGCTATAGCCAACTTACGTGGCCTGTAAATCCGGCTGGAAATGGGGCATTATAGTTCTCGACTGTGTGCACATTGAATAGCTTGCCAGTGTAGTATGTGTTGTACTGCGCTTCCTGCAGCCAGACGGGGAGGTAGTTCTCGTTGAACCCCTGCGAAATGAACTTGGGATATCCGCCTCACCATTATTAGCATACACCTGATATGCTATTGGCTGTTTATACCCACCATATGGAGGATTGACATCGGTGACATTGGTGTTGTGTGCAAGCTTCCCCGTCCACAGCGTCACCCGCGATGGACAACAGACGCTTGTCGTACAATAGTGGCTGCGATAATGAGTTCCCTTATCGAGAAGGTGTTTTTTGACATAGGGCATATAGTCCAGAGAATTGAGGTGAGCGTCCTGATCGTCGGTCAGGATAAAGATAACATTGGGTCTGCGGGGTGCAGCAAGTAGCTGCTGCGGCACCAGTGATTTGGTAGCCACAAGACCAGCCAGCATGAACAGCCACGCCAAGCTACGCATATTGACAGTATCATCTAATATTGAGAACTGATATCACATCATGGCTGATGTTGGCAGGCAGGAGTCTCGGGTGCTGGAGAGGGTTGCTTATTAACCCCGCATATAACGCAATTGTATTTAGCCGAAAGCATACGTCAGCTTGCAGGTTCAGAGGACCTATAATGGTGAAGCCCGCGAAGGATCAACAAGCGCAACAGGAAGATGCACCCCTAGCTGGAATATTGTGGGCAAGGTCGTCAATCAAATTCAGGGATAGCCACCCAGCTAATTCTGGGGCCCCACCCCTCTTTCGTTGGTAGATAAGTGATGCTTGCTAAGGTCAGTATAAATAGTGCGAATCTATCCAAATGTTTACGAAGATAGCAACGAAATCCAATCTTTTCGCGAGAAAAACTAAGCTTAGCTCGTGTAACCTTTTGTCATAGATGAATAACCAGAAATTCTCCTATATGGTGTTTAGAAACTTCGGTGAATATAAGAGACTTCATCTAGCTCTGCAAAGGAGATTTTATGAAGATGAAAAATTACATTAAGGAATTCGTACAGAGTGAAAAAGAAAATCACAAGTCTATCGCTGAAGTTAGCATGTCCCTCTTGCTTCCGAGCTATCAAACTATACCTTTAATATGTCTTTTCAGTTCGGTTCATAAACAATACGTGCGCTCGCTCAAGCGTACTGTTCTCTCGCCAGACCAGGAGTTGAGACCAAATAATTATACAGCTGAGAAAGCTCCTCCAACAATCGGTCCTGTTCGTGAGCTACCCTATCGATGTCTTTTAGGGCCGGAAGCAGGGTGAACTCGTTTCGGCATTCCCCCTCCTTGTAGGTGGATATCTGCTGGGATGTTCGGTCTATCAAAAGCATGATGCTATCGCAGATATTTGCAATCTATTTCCTTTTAGCAGCGCCTCAAAGAGATGTCAGGTTTATACCTTAACGAGGGAGGAACTTATATTGTGATCTTGGGTTGCTGAACGGCCGGATATAGCCGAGAAATGTTGCAAATGCATGGCTCGCGTATATTGACAGTCTAATGAGCAATGGTGGCCTCGAGGATAAAACAAAGACAGACAATAATGAAAGCCTTTCTGGTATGGTCAAATCCAGGGGAACTCTCGTTGTTATACAGTGTGATTTAACACCCAAACCCCTTCGGGGTCTGCTTCCGGCCGAAGTGAGGGATTTCTTCGGCCGACTGATCCCACGTTGTGACGCCAAGCTATGTGATAGACCACTGGAATATGCCGTATGTAGGAGTGGAGAACATATTTGGACTGCCTGTTGCAAAGACCTCTGGTGTTTGGAGGGCTGGCTGAAGAGGCAACTATGTATGCCCAGCGCTGGGGCCCTATATCTAACGAACTATATTCTTGATGTATGCATCTACCTGCTAGGCCGTTGTAGCCAAGCTTTCTGGCTCGTAAATTAAGTTGATCGCCGTTGTCTAGTGTCGAGTGCCCGGAGTACATACAGTTGCGATACATCAGGGAATAAGACAATCAGCTCAGGGGAAGAAAATGATCGGCCATTACAAAGTACTTACGGACAGAGTCTAGACTTCTGAGTTATTTGTGCTGCTGAATCCACTTTATGCAGTTATGTGAGTGATCATATAATTGATCGGCTTGGCAGAGAGCGCAGGCTGCTGTCCTATTGGCGGAAGATGCTATCCGTCCAATGATGCCTCCTGCCGATGATAAGCGTTCAGCAGTGTTTCTGGAACAGTTATCGATAACTGCTCTATCATATCACCGGTTCCTTCTGTTAAGCTTATGACCCTGAAAATCTTCCCGGCGTGACCAGCGAGGAAATGCGGACCGGGTTAAGTACCTTATTTGACCCTTGTCTCGCGCGGCTTGGCCATGATGTGGACCGCATCTCGAGCCCTATCCCTGATCGAGTGTCGCGTTTCTAGACTTCAGAAGCTGACCCTACAATGGCGACAAGTGCTAGATTTCTTTCTTTTTTGCTCTTTCGACTGTATCTTCATATATATATCTCACAGTTGCAGACAGATATGTTCGAAGTATCTGCCTCGCATTCAGCTCTAACAACGACTATTCTAAATAGGTGCGACTGTCCTAGATTCGCACCATTGTGTTGCCTTCGCGACCCTACACACTAAGGTATCAATTACAACCCTTGTGCCCTTGATGTAGGCGGAATTGGGGGTCTTATTAACCTATGTCCGTGCAAGCAGTTGACCTTCGGGATCCAATGGGTCTGGTTGGAATTTGGCGGCTGTGACAAGGCGACAACGCTCTGCAGAGTGCAGCGTCTCCAAGTCCCACTTGCCGTGTGCCAGGGCGCTTTTCCCAATAGTCTTGCTCTCGGGCTTTGACCAAGCCCAGCAGTGAGCTTTTTACTGATCTAGACGAAATACATCAGTTAAGGATTATCTCTCTTTCGGCCATTGATTGCGTCGGGAAAGCTAAAGTGCAATGGTCACTTGACCTGACGCCTTGGTGTGCACACCGATTGACTGACGTCTGTCCAACTACTTAGAGTCTTGATCCCCGCCACTGCTTTCGCAGCATCTGTGGCACAACACTGGTTTTCGCAGATACCCGTTTCGGGTAAAGATACAGCCGCGGCAGGATGTACATTCTCGACTCTGAGATGCATGGGGAATCATTGCCTGTCCCGGATCATTTTTGCGCTTCTCAGAGAATCCATCCGGTATGATATCGGACCATGAGAAGAGCAGTGGTAAATTCCGTAGCACCAGCACACATAGTGGTATTAAGACGCTTAGCAGCCGGAGATGTCGACAAAGGAACAGCACATGCCACGGCATTGCAAATTGCCGAACCACTGGTCTTGTCCAAAGATCACTGCTATCTTCTGCCGCGGATGGAGATCGTCGAACTGGTAATCCTGTTTTTCCTTTGTTGGGTAGGAAAGAACGGAGCATGTTATGAAAAATGGAAGGGATTCGACTGCTTGGTTTCGACGAAGAATCCACATATAACAGCGAACTAAAAGCAAGCAGGAAGTGATGTCAGCCGACGTAGATCAACATAGCGTTACGAGACAGGTCATTTGGAGGTTGTTAAACAGGTAATGCAACGAGATTGATGGGAGTTACCTGGAACCAAGCCCACCCTTTCATGATGATTGATTCTTTCGAGACATAGGGTCTAAAAACTCCTTGTTAAAGTTCAAATGGCACTGCAGAGACACCGTCGCGTCAAGTGTGATGGTGGAACACGCTGGTGGAATAAGATATGGGTGTGCAATGGCAGTATGCAAAGAGGTATCCGACATGAGAAGCCTCGGAGGCGTAGGCTCATGTGGTCATCATCGGTTTTGACTCTGGCTCATGTCGATACAGCTTCGCGGCTTTGCTTCTCTTTTATTCTGACGGTGTGTGCTGCTGAAACTTGCCAGATGGCTAATGCTGTCATAAAGGGGATAGTTGGAGCGATGGTTAGGAGGCCGTGAGTGTAAATTATTGCAGAGGAGGCATATGGAGAAATTATAATTACGTAGAGAAGCGCTGGTGTCTTGGTCGCTGGTCTTTCTCGTGGATTTGAATCACCTGTGTGGGATTAAGCGAGCTATTCCAGGTCAGTAGAAAGCAATGAGTCAGGTCACAGCAAGAGACATTGCGGAGAAACTCGTTTCATCAGGGTTGACAGCCCTTTCGGGCGCATAAGATGACGATGACAGAGCGCAGATGGGCCCTCTTGGAGGCTGATGTGGCTTTTGCAATGTCTCCAGTCTGAAACTACGGCCTCATCAACATCCCAGGATGAGTCATCGTAGTCACATGTTTAAGATGCCTCGGAGGAAATTAGTTGCCATCACTTGGTCACTCTGCATTAGAAAATGAAGGCTCGGTATTGTAACGGTAGCATTCTGGATGGAAAGTTCAGTATGCTCTGGAACTTTCAGCGTACCGAGATCCATTTGTTCGGATTGAACCCTGTGGCCACAGTGTGAAAATTCCCCGATTATTATCTGCAGCCACCACCCAAAGTATCCACATTCTATTGTGGTAATGCATAGACGACGGACCCAATCAGCACTGCATTTACAGCTAAACATAGTGAATAAGCCGTCAATTACTGTAGAACTGTAGGGCCAGAAGCGCAGTACAAAGTAGAGAAGGGGCTATCACTTACTGGGCGTTGAAGATGGGAAATTTTGTGACCACTGGCTAGCGGGGGAACTATCTTCGGTACCTAAAACCAAAGCAATTTTCGGGGGATAGGGGTCACAATGCCACGTAGGCACCAAGCGTACACATATTCCGGATACTGCATATGTGGCTATATCCGGTTGCAGTGGCCTTTCCCACGCAGACATGTGCATATGCAGACCCTCCTTCCGACGGAAGGCCACGGCCACTCACCTAAGAGCTTGGCTAGAGGAAATACTGTAGTATAGTACTCCGTGCTTAGTAGGCCCTCGTTGGTGGCTGCCAGTCCACCCTCTCGGCCGGCGGTCGGACTTCATTGCGAATGCACCAGACCCACTGCTGAGGATGTGGCAAATTCGAGGCTGATACCGAGTACTCCGTATGGAATACAGCGGAATGACTTGAAGCCCTACCAGAACCCTATCCCCAGGGCATGGGTTCATTGTTAGATACCTCTCTCCATGGCAAGTGTGACTGTGCGTACGGTGGTCTGGGTAAACAATTGCAGTGTTAGAATCTAACAATCAAGAGCAAGCATCACGGATGTCTTTCTCCGTATTTCCTCGGAGATGCCGAGTAAGACACAGTGAATTGCAGATCCTTTCCAGATTACTAACTGTGGCGGCCCCTTGGGGCAGCTGATGATGCAAGGTTCGAGAATGAATAACCACTCACTCGATTGTGCTAGTTTCTGGGCAAGGCTAGACCTTTGGTCTTCAATACCAGCAGCAAGCTACATCTCTCCCTAATAAAAGTTGGCTATTTTTGCAGAACTCCTCAGAGGGATCATTTGTGATAAAGATCGTCTCGGCAAAGCATTACCTGGCCTTAATGTACATCTGAGTTACAGCATTTGCTCTTTCGAAAAACAAACCGAGTGATCGAGCCTCAAGTTGAAGAGACGAATGCTCTGGGTGAATTATAGTATAAGCTGGGTTGTATTGCCTAGCCTGAGAAGCCGCCGGAAATCCGCTGTATCTGAAGCTAGTGGATAAGATTTCGAGCCACTACCCAATCAGGACCCAGTATCATGTAGCCACATTGCGCCATGCGGCGTACGGAGTTTCGTGGGCGGGTGTCGATTAAGAAAAAAAATAAATGTGTATACTCTAGAGAAGTACCACGAGAATCAATTGCTTCTATACAGTGAAGTGACAATATTCTGTGATCCAATCCAGTCATCCGGTTCATATGATGAGAAGATACACGCAAAAGCCCCTCGCAGCGAAACAGGCGTCAGCGGGAAAGCCAAAACTAGCATCATTTAGAGGCCAAGAAAAAAGAAACTGTGGTGGTGTGGCCCTTCGGTCTACCCAGCCCGTCTAAATCAAAGCGCTGTGCATCTTCCCCCGATCCAGTATATGCTTACTCCTTACTCCGTACTCCAGGCCCCTGTATTTTTGAATTTGAGTTCAATCACCATGAACTATTATCATCAACCCATGTGATCGCGGTGACAGCTTGAAGGTTGTGTGGGAAATAGACTTTTACTACATAGTATGACGCCTTCGGCCAGCTCTATCCGAACAGCCCTATGTAGAAGCCACCAGAGTCCACTCGCTCGTTAGACTGCCATCTATTCACTTCAAAGTGTGGAGTGAGTATCTACCAGCACGTATACATCCGGTGCCCCGGGTCGCTCCTGCAGCTACTAATGCTAAGGTAGCGTGGGTCTAGAATAAAATTCCGGTCACCTTTACGAAGCTCGCGGGGTAATTTTCAAGGGCTGATAAAAGGCAATACACTCGCCACTGATAGTCCTTTACCACCAAGTCTCTCCTCAACACTAATGGAAGACATACAGACTAATATTTGATGAATACCTTCAAACACCCTAATAACCCTATGTTATGTGATATCGGGGAAACGGGTAATGGTAATACCATGCAAAGATGGCGCGAGCGTCCGTGCCACCTGTCCGGGGCATTGACACCCTGCGCCGGATTCCGCATCGCCCCCCTTCCATCCTGATCAGTTGGCAGCTTGTCCAACGCCAAGATGCGTTGCCTGGCCGGTATAGAGTTACTGTAAATGGCAGTACTACTAGTAGATACCGGGTAACCTCAGCCCGCAGGTCCTGGGACCGTGCTTGTGCGGACCAATCCGTGTTCAAATATAATAAGCATCCAAAAAAGCCTAAGTAAGGTGTCGGGAATGAGGCACCTGCCCAAGTTGTGGGGAGGCAACTACGACCGGGTCACTCAGGCTAGCGCCGGTCAGCCCTACCTGCTCGCGGTGGATGTTTAAGAATGGACAACAATGACAGCAACAGGTCAACATGAGCCGTTTCGCTACCCCGAGCCCTCGACTTAAACTTTGGCCCTTTACCCATAACAATGCGTCCCGCTAAAATGATGATCCCCCGAGCGCAACCCCGAGCCACACGTTCGAGCTCTCGGTCCCGAACAATCCAAGCCTGTGATCCGTGTCGAAAACGCAAGGCCAAGTGCAATGGAGCCAAGCCGTGTCTCTATTGTGACGGGCTGGAAATCGCGTGTACGTATACGCAGCTGAGACAGCCCCGGGAGGTAGACCAACTACGGAGCAAAACGCAACGGCTTGAGCGCATGGTCAAGCTCATCTTGTCCCGAGCATCAGCATCCCAATCAGCCGCAGTTGCAGGATATACAGATGTGAGTCGACGTTGCAAGTGGAAACACAACCTCGCCGTCACCGGCGGCATTTTGCTTGCTAAATCCAACCAATTAATAGAGCCTCTCACGGAATACACAGGGACCCAGTACCCTCGCGCAGCAAAGTTTGCCGGGAAACTTAGATAGCGCTCTGGGACTCGTACAACGTCAGCTAGGCGAGCTGCATCAAATCTACCAGACGATCCAGGAATGTGACTTGGAGATACTGCCACGGGTGATAAGCACGATCCGCTACAGCGCATCAGTTCATGATGCCGCCAACCGATTGGGAAGACAGATTAAAATACAGCAAGCTCAGATGACCCTCGAAAGAATGCAGCAGGTCTGGATGACTCGACTGTCAGGCCAAGCGGAGATGATCGAACAAGAAGCGCCATACAGCGTCCATACAACTAAGTTATGGTCGGCCTTTGTCACTGACAGGACCGCCTCGCATCTATTCTCATTGTTTTTCGTGTGGGATAATCCTATCTGGCGAGTTATTGAACCGAGCCTGTTTCTCAGGAGCTTCGCTACCGGGGATACCCGTTTCTGCTCCTCTCTGCTAGTCCACACCATCCTATTTTACGCTTGTGTAAGTACTTCACTTCGCTGTATAGACTTTTACTAAGAAGCAAGCACTTCTCATATAACCTGGAGAAGCCGTGGGACCGTCACGAAGAGATCGCTACCGCAAAACAGCTGTTCCAGGTGATCGAGAGACTGTGGCATCGCGATAAGGCCAGAATATGCGTCCCGACCATGCAATCAAGCTTACTACTTGGACTCTTTTTCTGTGGAACTGGAAAAGACAGGATTGGCGCTCGTTATATCCAGTATGGCGCGTTGATGGCATTGCGGCTGGGCCTGCATACTTCATCAACCGATGCCTTTCGCGATAACCCGCGGGCACATAAAATCATCGCCTGTGCGGTGTACGATGTGGAGTCGTGAGTTGCCTCTTCAATAATCTGGCGAAAATGGCTAAGTGGGAAGAATATCGGTCCAAGTATCAGCAAGGTCATCCGTTTGGCCAGGCCCACCGCAAGTATTCCTAAATGAAGCCGAAGCATCCGCGGCCGATCTCAACGAACAGTGGGCACCATACCCGTTTAGACATCCTGTGTACCGGCCATATACGAACACCGGTACATGGGCTCGTCGATGTCTTCTTATTCTCGTGAATGATGTGGCCCAGCTATCCTGCAATTTGGGCAACCTGATCGACCTGGACACCTGGTATAGGGGGGCCGCTCTGTACAAGAAGCTCGATGCTTTCAAGCGGACCCTACCGTCTGTACTGGATGTGGAAAGAAACAAATCACCGCATAATTTATGTCTATAGTGCGTTGATCTCTTGTCTCGTTGGATTACACTCATACTAACGGCTCTAGCCTGTATTACTACACGACCGTCGTCAACCTCTGCGGAATATTTATATCTCGCCGAGGTAGCTCAACGACCGATTCCCTAGTTGCCTTGACAGCATTTGACCCACACAGCATCCTAGAAAAAGCGATGGACTCGATGGGGACGCTTATACTGTTGTACCGCGCTTCCCATGGATGGAAATCCACTCCACTGGTCATGCTTCATTATTTTCTCATAGTGGGCATCCATGCGGCCTCGCATTTAGAACTTCCCAAGTGGCGTGAGATTCTGGTGACTTGCGTGGCAGGCCTCTGGCATATGAGCCTGTCGTGGAGACTGTCTCGGGCTTTCCTGCGCACAATAGAGTTGGTGCTCAACTCGAATGCCAATAGCGCACATATCCCAATAGAAGTGCTGTCTATCTTGAGAGAGCATCACGAGAAGATCTGGACTTCAGTTGAAGTCAACCAGCTTGCAGCCAATTATGTTGTCCATCATTATCCCAACTTGACCCCTGAGGCGGGTAGCGGCAACAACGGCAGTGGGCGTTTCCATGGACAGGGCCTGGAAAGGCTTATTCGGGCGTTCGACCGATTGAGTACATGAGAGTGCAGCTGTTAGACTTAAATGTCAATGGCTATCTCGGCGCTTCACACGAAATCGCCGACTTGTAAGGAAGGCTGCCCACGAGGGCCGTCAGTACAGACGCCTTGGAATATACTCAGTTATCCACCACTCACCCTTACGCTTAGCTTAAGTGGTACAAACATCAAGAAGAAGCGGGCCATGTCTCTAAGATTACCAAGGTCCATGGTGAAGGAATCTCTAAAAAATACAACATCTCCAATAGCTGCATATTATTGAAGCTTTTGTTGCTGCCACTCTCCCCAACTAGCGATTACTGCTAGAGACGTTGCTGCTTCTCTATCGAACGAGAAGGCCCGCATTCAACAAGCGGGTCCCATAGCTCAGTTGGTTAGAGCGTAACGCTAATAACGTTAAAGTCGAGGGTTCGAGCCCCTCTGGGACCATCTTTTTGTTGTTTTGATTCCCGCTCGGAGGTCCACTTTGCTGGAAGTACGAGTACGTAGGAGTACTCCGTACCTGATTCGTTTTTCTGCTAATGGGCGATTGCTGAGGGATTGTGCCCGAGGAATAGTTCCTGTGTGATCCTATACATCTCTCTCGTTCATCAATGCTGCTTTCAAAGTGGCTGATATGGTTCAGTCATCCCCCTTCACTTGTCGGTCTCGCACAGTGGAAAGCGCCATAACTAGCTGTTCCTTGAGATTGTACTAGAACTTTAAAGACTATTTATTTATTCAGTGCTATGCTACGATATACCATGATACGACCAATAAAGCGGGTCGAACAGGCCTACCGGAGATTAGAATCTGCACTATTCAATGGTTGTCTACTCCGTAGTGTGTGTGCACTGTCAGATCTAGTGGCCCGTGGTTCTGTTGCGGCCAAATCCCCTGTGTGTGTTGGTCCCCGACCTTCACCCAGGATCTACCCAGACGGCTAAGCTGCCATGGCCCATGGAATTATACAATTAAGTGTATTCGCGCCACCATGCACTAGACCGTCGCCTATTTCGAGCAAAACAGTAGGGGGGAAATAGGGGCATGATCGCGCGGTTGCCGCCTGCATATGCCTGAGACAATTCAACCAGGGTCCAGTCTCCTGCTGGTGAAGCCCACAGCTTCGAGGAGATATGATAAAAATCATGTAGATCTTTCCCACACAACTATGCTGTTGGTATCAAAGCAGCTAAAAAGAATGCTCAACCTCGGGATCGAACCGAGGACCTTCTGTGTGTAAGACAGACGCCTTAACCGCTGGGCCAGTCGAGCTTTCTATCACTAGGCGGTGAATGTTTAAAATAACTATACAAAAGGAGTCCATCGAAAAGACTTTTGAAGATGTCAATCTCAGGGTTTTATTTTGCATCGTGAGGAGCTACCCATATTACCAACTACCTTGTCATACTTGTAGCTCAGCCCATGAGCATCTGTTCAGGCAATCAGACGATGTTGTTGCGGCCCATGCGGAACCGTCCGGGGACGGGTAAAGCACAGACCACTCCATAAAGGTCTTGGATCAAGAAACCCAAGAAAAGTGCTCGCTAGCATAGCAGCTCTGTTCTCTCGTATCTGACCCATTAGGCGCTTCACTTTATCTAAAGCTACCACCGATCCGCAATATTCAGTCCATGAATCTTGCCGTCGCTACAGAAAGGGTCCACATTCGCCGATATCTTGTCGATGTGAAGAAGCTTTTGTGGAATGAACGACTTGTAATAAGCCGATGTCCGAAGGGGAGCTTAAGGGTGGTTTTTCGAAGATTTTTGCTCGATCGGGCTCAGTGTCCATGGGGTTCAATGGGCTGAGCTTGATATTCAGATCGTTTCTCAAGAGTGAGGCAATCCATACATGGATTTCATGCTTCCTAAGACGTTCCAAAAAAGAGCGGGGCTATCAAAAAAGGGGGTCAAAAGGCACATGATTTGATGATTACGAAGCATCAAGCAGAAGGATGTACGGTTGAACCCCTAATTCTATTTCCTGAACCCTTCCAGGTACACAGTACAGCATAATTAGAGTTTGCAGCAAACTGATTGGCGGCAGTGGCGTCTATCTAAGCTCGGGGTTGAGCTCAATCCCGCGAGTGGAGCGATTACCAATAACCTACTCCACACCGTAAGGTTAATCTGGTGGCAGGCCTTGCTATTGGTATATTTCTTTCATCGGGGGTTTGGAATAGCATTCGATAGCATGCACGAATTTTCTGCGACTGTTGGTTGATAAGCTAATTAATGATCTGGTCATCTCGGGTGGCGAAGGCCCCCGAATCGTCCTATATAATGAGCGTAACACCTCGACGGAAGTGATCCATGCCACTTTCTCAATTCCATTTCGTTGCCACATAATCAAGATGTCCAAAGCCATTCTAGTCGTCGGGGCCACCGGCAAGCAGGGTGGCAGCGTTGTTGATGCCCTGCTCAGCCAAGACGCCGATGTTGAGATTCTCGCCTTGACTCGCGACCCCAGCTCCAACAGCGCACAACGACTCGTGAAGAAATCACCGAAAATTAAGGTTGTCGGCGGAAACTTGGATGACGCCGATGCCATCTTCCGCAATGCTCAGAAAGCCACTTCGCATGCCATTTGGGGAGTATTCAGCGTGACGGTATGACATTTAGCACCTTGCTTAGCACCTGACTAACTTACATTCAGACCTTGGTCCCCGGTGGTTCCACGCATGATGCCGAAGAGAGACAAGGCAAGAACCTAATTGATGCTGCTTTGAAGAACAATGTCAAGTACTTTGTCTACACCTCCGTTGATCGCGGCGGCGATGCCTCCTTTGACCAACCGACCCGCATTCCTCATTTCATCACCAAACACAACGTGGAACATTACCTAGTCAACAAGACCAAAGGCACCGACATGGCCTGGACCATTCTCCGTCCCACCGCCTTCTTCGACAACTTCACCCCCGACTTCATCGGCAAGGTTGTCAATACATGCTGGAAGATCTCCCTCCGGGGTAAGCCATTGCAACTGATTGCTGTTTCGGATATTGGGTTCTTTGGTGCACAAGCATTCCTAAAGCCAGAAGAGTATAGTGGAAAGTGTGTCTCGCTGGCTGGGGAGAGTCTGACGTTTGATGAAATGGCGGCCATCTTTAAGCAAAAAACAGGAAAGAATCTCCCCATGACGTTTGGCTTTCTCGGCCGCCTTTTCATGTGGATGGTGAAGGATCTGGGATATATGTTTCAGTGGTTTCATGATTCCGGGTATAATGCTGACATTCCGGCGCTGAAGCGAGTTCATCCAGAGCTCAAGGATTTTGCTGCTTGGTTGGAGACGGACAGTGCGTTTATGAAGGCGTGATGCGTTTCTCTTCCATTTTCTCTTTTGACTTGTACATTATGTGTCTTTCCTACAAGGCTACTTTATCTAATACTTCAATACTACCAGACTTCGACACCGTCTTTTCGGCAACTCAGTATTTACATAGATTGGGGCCTGAGGCCTCAATGAACACCTCAGGCAGAGATTGGCTCAAAGGCGGTGGAACTTCTGCCGTCACAATAGTCCCCTCCCTAGAACGGCAGGCGGATGCCGTGGCCTTAGGCGAATCTCCTGTGGCTGTAGCGCCTTCCTTCCTACCATCCGCAAGTTGCAATCTCTCATAACGGAACTCAAAGTGCCCATACTCCAAGTTCCAGGAGATGGAGGAGATCAACGGACAGACTGGCCTGATCTGCAGAGCAGAATGCCAAAAGCCTATCAGGCTTCGCCTCGGAGAGATGCCAGTGAACCGACAGCTGAACCGCCCATCTCCGCCCACATCTGGCAGCTTGAATGTTGCTATTGCTGACCTTCTATAACAGTCACCTTGTGATCATCCCTTTCCTCCGCAGGTGTCAGCATTGGCGGATTTTCTGCGTGACCCCACTTCTTTTACTTTCTTTCTCATCTGCTGCGCGTAACTGACAGGGAGCAGGAGTGCAGATTACAGCTTTCCCCGATTCAGTAAGCGTGCACGGGCGGTATCATGATCGGCCCGACTATCTGGAGGGGAAGTCAGGCTGATGACATTCCTAATCTGGCTCGACTCCAACCCCGGGGATACTTCTTATCTATCCAGATCAACAAATTATCTTTATTATGCTCTGTAAAATATGTAAAGAAGGGTTGGAGGGCATCTGGGACCCGAACAAGACCAAGCGGCTGAAACTCGATGACGAAGCTGATCAGGATGGCTCTGGTACTCTCTACGCTTGAGGCACCATTGCTCTCCATGTTAACTGTTGCACAGGCCAAGATGAGCGACTTGAGCCAGAAAAGTACTTGTTCGCACATCACCCCACTTTGGAGTCGTTTCTGGCATCTATCCAGCAAGGCTGCGTCATGTGTTGCAGATTCAGACCATCTCGTGATACAGAAGACATGGATCCACTATGGCAGGATGCGGAATATTTCTCGGTCTTTAAAGTCCATTTGAAACCACGCAGGGTGATTATGGTTGTGTATTATGGAAGGACACAGGGAGGATTTGACTTGATTCCCCAAGAAGGTTGGCTAGTCTTCTGCTCTACAGAGTGAAATGGTGACTAAATCGCTCGCATTAGGACCGGACGAAGATTTGAATTTTGAGTTGGGGCCTTCCACTGCAGATGAAACAACGTGGGCATTGGTCGACCGATGGCTCAATCGATGTGTCCAAACACATCCGGCCTGCAGTAATCAATATACAGAGAATTTCATTCCAAGTCGTCTTCTTGAGCTGAAAGCTACAGACAATGAGAAGGTGTTCCGCCTCGTTGAAAGGCATCAGGTCGATCCCGGGGAGCGCTACATGACCCTCAGCCACTGCTGGGGCGGGAGTCCATCGAATCCCGCGCTAATCTTACTTAAGAGTACTTTTCAGACTCTGACAGAGTATCAACCGCTCTCAGTCCTTCCCAAAACATTCCATGATGCTTTCGTCGTCATCGAGAGGCTCAATATCCGGTACCTTTGGATCGACCGTCTGTGCATCTTCCAGGACTCAACGCAAGACTGGCAGAGAGAATCAGCTTCCATGGGCGAGGTCTACTTGAACAGCTGGCTCGGGATCTCGGCACTAGGCTCTAGCAATGATACCGGCGGGTGCTTCTTTTCCCGCGATCCGGCCGCAGTTGCCCCCACCATTGTCAACATGTGCGTCGACAGCCCAAGCAATCCCCAGCCGTATCGCTTCTCCCTGGAGAAAGGTTGGGCTTGGAGACTAACTTTCGACCGGGAACCTTTGCGAAAGAGAGGATGGACTTTGCAGGAACGCCTCCTATCCCCGCGGGTTCTGCACTTTGGCCGGAAGCAAGTCTTCTGGGAGTGCAGGGAGTGTGCATGTTGCGAAATACACCCAAACAACGTATACGTTTATGGTCAGGATGATTTTGACAGCGATGGAGATGATACGGAAGATTCTGAGGTTGGGTCGCCGCCGTCTCCAACGATTAAATACCATCATATCTGGAAGCAACTCCTCGATGCGCCCGATCGACGGCATGTCGATGACCCCGTAAAACAGGCCTACCTGGATTGGCAGGCAATCATCGAGCTTTACTCTGGCTGTCAGCTCACTGTTCCCACAGATAAGCTTGTCGCGATTTCCGGGTTGACGAAGGGCATTCGTAAACATCTCAAGGGCCTTGGTTGCGCGTCGGATACTTACCTTGCTGGACTGTGGCGTCGTGAGCTTCCCCGAGCTTTGGCTTGGAACGTACTAGGGGTCGGCCGAAGACCTCCTTCGTATCGCGCCCCTTCCTGGTCGTGGGCATCCGTGGACTGTCGAGTAAACATACCATTGTCATACTCCCAGTACTCCCGGGATATTATCACATATGTGGTTGTCGTCGATGCCGAATGTACTATATGCACTGAGGATGAGACGGGTCAAGTCAGTGGTGGCACCATCACATTGAAGGGGCCTCTTGCGAATGCGACACTTCTTCCGCCTCCCCACGACTACCCCCACTACAAAACCATCATGTCTATACAAAGCCTGAAGAGCCTTGAAGTAGCAGGTCACGAGCCCCTAGTGCAGACACCCAAAGAGACAAGTTATGGAAGAAGTTGGGAAGTGATATTCGATGTGAGGAGTGAGATGTGTGACGACGTCTATTGCTTGCCAATCGACGCTCAGCATTTCTCCGAAAATACCTGGGTGGTTATTGGGTTGGCCCTGTCTCGAACTAGTCGAGACACTTATGTTCGCGTCGGTTGCGTCTTCATGTATCTTGAGAACGAGGAGGCCGCCAAGAACCTGTTTTCTGGGTTTCCAGAGGCAACGTGCGTTCTTGAGTAGCCATTTTGATAAGGGCCAGGTTATAGTCACCCTATGACAGGGATTTGGCCATTATATGCATTCTTGCCCTTGTCACCCCAATCATACATCGTCATTTTTCCCAAGCAAAAGTACCATACCAGGAGTGGGAAATCAGCCCGAGATCGGCGGATATGACAGGCTCAGCACAGTTTGATGGGGATCATCCTGAGATCACCCGTGGTTGGCGCAATCCTTTATCCCATGCTATCGTGTCCTAGCTGACATATCCCACTACCTTGTCTTTCACCGTGGTATCTCAACCGTTGAGATAACATATCAGCAATATGGTATCTCTCCACCAGACAGATCCTTCAGCCGAGCTGGTGTGCGTTGTCATAATCGTCAGCCGGTTTGATCAAGTGCCATCAAGTGGCTGGCTAGCTGAGACATCGGTAGTTTTCACCGACCAGCCATGGACGATATAGAAGGGACGTTAAATTCATGACCTTGCAAATATCAATTTTTCGGAAGGCCCCTGCAATGCACCCGGACATCACCGTATGCATTTGGTGGCTCGTGTTTGACGCGGATGACGGGCTGGAAGTAACAGGGGTTATTATACCCGACGGACACCTGACAGGGATGGGTTTAAATTTTCCAGCTAAGGGCCCAAGACCATGTTTCCCGAATTCTTAGTTACGAATATCGGAGATCATTGGCTATCGCCGGGATTCCTTACGGAGGCTGGCTGAAGGATGCGGGGTGGAGGATCTGGAGCCAAGAATGTGGCTGGCTCAGCTACGCCACCTGCGCCACTTGTGAAGAAAGCCTGCGTGGGATGAGGCACCTGAAGCACGAGACTCATGGCCGTGGGGGATGAAAGCTGGCTGGAGGCGAGGAAGATATGGCATGACCTACTAGGCAGCCACTGCCGACACCACAGGATTGCTGCAGCCGAATCGTGCCACTGCAAGGCAACCGAGGTGTCTGGACTGATGTTGATCGCCAGGAGAGCTACTGATTGGAGAAGGTGGAGAGGAGATCAGCTCTGGCCCTCGATCGATCGGGATCGTGCAAGGCAACTAAAGAGGGGTTCCGGGGGTACATAAAGGCAGAGCATGGCCCACTTCGTAGGGTATGGGGATTAGCAGATCACAACAATGGCGATCCACGATAAGTATGTTTTGGGGAGAGATAAGGTGGAGTCGAAACGGTACTGCCAATCCTATTTGGATTATCGGATTCTTACTAATTGTGGCAGTCTCGATTCTCAGCACCGGCTGCTGGTCAAAGTATCCGGAAATACACTCATCCATCCCACCCTACCAACAGAACAGATCCGGTCTGTTGCGGACATAGCTACCGGGACTGGGTAATACCTTTCTGTCCCAAGCCAGTCCGTCAATGCTAATGCCAATCATCGTCCAGAATCTGGCTAGAAGACGTAACACAATTCTTGGAAAGACCTCACATCGAGCGCTACTATCAAGGGTTTGATATCTCGTCGGAACAATTCCCTAGCAATCCGGGACCAATCCAGCTGTCCGTTCACGATGTGACGACACCGTTTCCCAAAGAGCACTGGAACCGGTACGATTTGGTACATGTGCGGTTACTGGTTGCTGCGCTCGAGGAGTCCGATTACCGTGCCGCAATCACCAATATCTACAATATCTTAAGTGATTCTTCCATCTACCCACACTCATCCTCTTACTAAGACATCCCAGAACCCGGCGGATACCTCCAATGGGAAGAAATCGACGAAGAAACATACCTGTCAGCCAACCCCGTGATCCAGGAACTCCGCCGATGTTTCGACTACGGGTTCCGAGCCGAAGGAAAATGTTTCCAGGCATCTGCCAAGGTGTACAAGGAAAGCCAAATCGTGGGATTCGTGGACGTCGAGAGACTCGCGTACGAGTCGCATCAGAATCCGGACCTTCGTCTCGGCACGGATAAACGACTCGCTGCAATTATTCGGACGCTGTATCCGCGTCTTTTGTGGAGGAGTGGGCAGGTGATTGGGGAGGAGGCTGCGATGCAGAGGGCGGAGGCGCTCGTTGAGGAGCATTTCGCTCTTTGTGAGAAGGGTCAGTCGCCGTCGTTGACGTTGATGAGGGTTGTGGGGAGGAAGCCGGATGGGGTGGATTTGTGATGTGCCCTTGGATTCCTTGGACTGTCAATGGAAGTTGCGCTGGAGGTTTTGATATCTTTACTCAGTGAGTGTCCTTCAGCAACTGACCTCATGCGGGCTTCCATACCGCGTTCACTACGGAATACTCCGTAGCTTAACCGTAGGCACGGTCAATGGTTAGATCGGGCGGAGGGTGTTCCTTGCACATGGTCCTATATCTCAACCAATAACACTCCTCGGGCAGTCATCATGCTATCAGTACCTAACCACAACCCACGACTCCTTGTCGGATTCTTTCAGACAGCTTCCCTACCAATCGGAACTCGGCCAGCTTCGAAGTACTATTGAATTGCCAGTGACAGTCAAGTTAGCCTTACGCCAACCCTAAGTCTCAAGTAGGTCGGGATATATTATACATTATGGATGCAGGGGTACTGGCATTCCTGTCATTGCGGATTCTCGATCAATTGGCGGTGAAAATTTGAGCTTGGGGTGGGAATGGTTCCATTGTAGTGTCGGGATCATTTCGATGAGATTAGTCAATGTATGGATAAGAGTGGGTCTAACGAGATGGCCAGTGATTATGAGGGTTTACTCTCGATTTGGGGGGAAGCGAGGTTAGGATTTCAAAACGATGTGTCACTGTGTGATATGGGTCATTGGGTTAAGATACTAGAGTGATGTAGGGGTATTACGGGTCTTGTATGGTCATAGTGGAAATCTCTCTAGGCTTTGTGAGTATACTATTGTGTCAATATCGTTCTTGTCCTATCACAACTAGATTGGTTTTAGGCATTGTAGATCACAGCCAAATTTCATCTCACATCAGACATTCATTCTTCACAGCTTCCCATGACCTCCATGCTCGGCCAGGAAATGCAGGAAACTTGAGACTTTCATTTTCAAAATAAAAAATAAAAGAGCTCTCTAGCCCAATTGCTAGGGATTGATTATGAGAAGTACCCGGGAGGGAAAAAAAAAGAAACGAAAAAGAAATGCTCCCACGCGGATTTGAACCGCGGACCTCATGATTACTAGTCATGCGCTCTACCAACTGAGCCATAGGAGCTGATTGGATGATAGTCTTTAGTCTTGTAAATATATAAGCATCATTCCTAAGTTTGGGTTGAGTTTTTCGTTGTGGGTTGTCTGCCGTGAGAGAGAAAATATGAAAATAAACATGATGGGTATTCTCTAGCTTAAGGGTAGGTGAGCTTCGAATTTGCTCTTTTACTATCCTTTATATGTATTATCAGAGGATTGGGGGTTACCTTGAGTATTGGTATGTTTGTTTGTGGTCATGTTGGTCAATATATATTTCTGCGCTGACTTTTCTTTTCTCTCCCGGGAAGGGACGGATAGGGTCAGGGAAATAGCAAAATTTTAATAAAAACAAAAATGACTATCACCTAGCTATGATCAAACAGCATTGTCAGTGTTACTGAATAGAGACTATCTTTGTCAGAGTAGAGCTTAATGCCTATACCCCATGAGCCCGTGGTTGTGGGCAAGCTTACTGCTGCCGTTTTTGAGCATTCCACTGCAGATAGGACAGATCAAAGGACAAGGACCATACTCGTTACCCACACCCCGTCGGAACAATTGAGGAGCTTTTGCAGAGGGCAAGACCGCGGTGTCTGCAAAGCACTATTACAAGGGTAGGAAGTCACTTCCACAATGCTGAGAGCACATTACCCGACTCACTTTAAGATTCTAGACAAAGTGGCCGCCAAGTTTCATGTGCATGATAGTGAATGCCACCCGAGTCACCATGCTAGAGCTAGCCCAAATGGCACTCTACCAAATAATACCAGCCCATCACAAGGATTGGCCCGCGGGATCCCGGCGGTCATAGTTCTATATTTACTCTCCCAATAACATACCCCGTGCATCCCACAACGTGTGGCACTCATTAGGTGGACCAACTGAATCAGGGCTCAATGAAGCAGGATTGCATTGCATTATGCTGCCAACTGTACAGCAGCTTGCAGACCCCACAAGTCCGAAGAATGCAACTGACCCTGAACGTTGATGCTGATCATTGTCAAAGTCGATCTTCAACCCGTTTGATGTCAACACGGCTCGGTATATACTCCACCATGCACCAGACATACATGTTTTTGATGGATCAACCGTTCATCATCTCGTTCGAACATGGCAATCTAATTAAGGGATCTCGGCAGACGAGCCGCTTGGTTCATTGTCTCCGAAATAGTGTCTTCATGCTAAATTGGGATATGGTGAGCACCCTAATCATCTTCAGGGGACACCTAGCGACCCATCAACCACTCATATCTAGCTGATACTTGCTGATTAGGGGTCAAGTCAGGAACCCGGTCCAGCCGAGGCATAGGCATAGCAGCCGAATCCAGAACAATGCATTGTGCGCCCCACTAGAACCTGACAGAAAGCTTTGTACAAACAGCCAAGAAGCAGCAAGATTAAGGTCCGGTATCCTCACAGCCACCCTCGGACCATTGCCCGGATTGGCCAACCATCACACCATCAAAGCGTCTCGGAGTAAGACTAGCCAGGCCAAGACCACCACGACGACCCCGTGTCTCTGATTAGGGCATTTCCCTGCCGGGGGGCAAATGAAGCCAAGGCGCCGCTGTAGCAGTGGGGCTTGGCAGGCGCGGGCAATACCCTCCGCCAGGGTCCAGTTGGCGGTTCGTAGTGGAGCGGCATCGCAGCCGGATCGCATTAAGATGAAACGTCTTGCTTGGCAGGCCCGCTTCCTAGCCCTCATCACAACCCTCGTTCCAGTCTCCTCCCGTATAAAACACTCCCTCCAACCCTGCTTCCATTCATCCATTCTGCATCAGCCCGGATAGCTGTCCCTTCTTTCTTTCCTTCCACCAATCCATTCTTTCTTTTCTTTCACCACATTCACTCATTCACTCATTCATTCATTCACCCACCATGAAGACTTCCACCTACGGCATGCTCGCTCTGGCAGCAGCAACCAAGCTCGCCACCGCCCACACCACCGTCCAAGCCGTCTGGATCAACGGCGAAGACCAAGGCCTCGGCAACACCGACGACGGCTACATCCGGTCCCCTCCCAGCAACAGCCCCGTCAAGGACGTCACCTCCACCGACATCACCTGCAACGTCAACGGTGACCAAGCCGCCGCCAAGACCCTCTCCGTCAAGGCCGGCGACGTCGTCACCTTCGAATGGCACCACGACAGCCGTTCCGACTCCGACGACATCATCGCCTCCTCCCACCTCGGTCCCGTCATGGTCTACATGGCCCCCACCATCAAGGGCTCTGCCGGTTCCAACTGGGTCAAGATCGCCGAGGACGGTTACGATGATGGTACCTGGGCCGTCACTAAACTGATCAACAACCGCGGCAAGCACAACATTACCGTTCCCGATGTCCCGGCCGGTGACTACCTCTTCCGTCCGGAGATCATTGCCCTCCACGAGGCCGATCGTCAGGGTGGTGCCCAGTTCTATATGGAGTGTGTTCAGTTCAAGGTCACCTCTGAGGGTTCTGTCGACCTGCCCACTGGTGTTTCTCTTCCGGGTGCTTACTCCGCCACCGACCCCGGTATTCTTTTCAACCTGTACGGTTCTTTCGATAGCTACCCTATCCCCGGCCCGGATGTCTGGGATGGAACTAGCTCTGGCTCCTCTTCTTCCTCCTCCTCCTCCTCCTCCTCCTCCTCCTCTTCTTCCGCTGCTGCCTCCGTCGCCGCCACCTCCGTGAGCACCAAGGCCGCCGTCGCCACCTCCTCTTCCTCCACCGTCGCCGCGGTCGAGCCCACCACCGTCGTTGCTGCTCAATCCACCAGCAGCAGCACCACCCAAGCCGCCCCCACCACCTTCGCCACGAGCGTCAAGTCCACCGCCAAGGCATCCGCCACTGCCTGCCGCGCCAAGTCCAAGTCCAAGTCTAAGACTTCCAGCGCTGCCGCTACTACTGCCGCTGCTACCACCGCTGCTGCTGTTACTTCCGATGTTGTGGCTACTTCCAGCGTTGCTTCTGCCTCTGCTGCTTCCAGCGCCAGCTCTACTGGTGGCGTGGCCAAGTTGTATGAGCGCTGCGGTGGCATTGGATACACGGGTCCGACGGCCTGTGAGAGTGGGGCTGTTTGCACGGTGCAGAACCCTTATTATTCGCAGTGTGTGGCTTCTCAGTGAGTACTGGTCTAGTATAGACTGAGACTGAGAGGGGTGTAGATGGGTTGGGAGGGTTTAGGTTGTAGGGTTAGAGGTGGGGGGTTGATGTTGGTTAGCTTGGATAGATGGTACAAGCTAGAAGATATCTTAAGATAACAATTTAATTGTTCAATTGTGAAATGGGGGTTTTTACTTCTCTCGGATATAATCGCTTAACGACAGCAGTACCATCCAAGTAAAGTAGTGTAAAGAATAGTAGCAAAGTCAACCCCCATTAACACCAATACTATCCAACCCCTAAGCCACAATAGATACCCTCAGAATATATATACTCCACCAGCATCAGAACCCCAAATCCCATCACACTAAACTTTTTTTTCCACCCCAATACCCCCCCAAAAACCCACACATGGCATAAAACGCCTCAAAAAACTCCTCCCGATCCTCCCTCCACAGCAAATTATACTTCACCGTGCGCAGCACGATCAATTTCTCCCTCGTGAGCCGTCCATGCCGCAGATCCTCAAAGTAAGTGTGTGAGGCGTCGGCGCGCGTGATGCGGTATTCGGTGCCGTGGGCGGAAATGCTGAAGCCGGTGTATTTGGGCCGGGTGAGGCCGTGGTCGTATTCGGTGGTCATGGGGAGGAGGGTCGATGCGAGTTCGTGGTTTGTAGGGTGGGGGAGGCGGTGGTGGGTTTTTGTGGTGTGCTGGATTTATTGTATGGTTAGTGGTGGGGTGGATGGGTGGGAGGTGTTGGGGACATACGGCAAATACAACCAAGGGAAACCTTCTCTTTCTGTCCGTGTGGTGATAGATTCCCCCGTTGCAGTGGAGGGTCCCTCTCATGTTGAATTTGAGGAGATGGAAGGGGATATCTTCTCGGTCGACGATGCTGCAGTTGTTAGAAGTTAATACGAGTATTCGAGGGAGGGAGGGTTACAAATTATCCCTAAACAATGCGAACGGCATCCCCAGCTGCGATATGAGCATATCGACCGTACACGGAAGTGGCTCATTCTTGAAGATGATATCAAAAATCATCCCTAACAGCTGGAACGTGTGCCGTAGTTGGTTGTTCCTCATCATGGTCGACGCGGGGTCGTATCCGACAATGTCGAACTCGCTGGGCTCGGTGAAGGCTCGCAGCAGGTTGGTGTAAACTGCGTCTAATTTGTTAGCTGGTATGCTGATGTTGGGATAGTACGTACCTCTGTCTCTTCTGGTGGGGATGTACTCCTCCCCAATGAGCACCCTGGGAGTGATCATGTCGTGCTGGCTGATGTTGAGAGCGTCGAGTTGCTCGGTGGACCATCTGCTGATGCGTTGGAAGAAGAGCCAGCTGGGGTAGGTTCGTCTGATGGCTGGCTGAGGGGTTTGGATCGGCTGCATTGGATGAATGGTAGATGGGTGAATAGCGGATGGGTTAATAGCGGATGTCTGGGTAGCCTCGACGGATGGCTGCTTGGATGTCTCGAGGTTCGTCTGAACAGATGGCTGCATTGTACCCCCCCTGGCAGAAAGGTGCACTGGCTCACACACCTGCACGGTGGTTGTGGCAGCCTGTGCAGCGAAGATCTGCAGGAAATCCATATCTGAAGCCTGCATTGTCGGGCTTTCGAAGATGCTAACCAAAGGGATTAAAACGATACGCTGGAGCTGGTGTAGATGTGGATATCTGTGAGCAAGTTGTTCGATCTGGTGCGTAGAGAGGAAGAATGTTGTTGAACGAGGGTGGGAGCCCAGCAGCACGATGATAAGCTCCCCTGGGGACCCTATGACTCGTCTCTGCCGTCGATGCTAGGATAGCGTCATGAAGTCAATATACCTGTGCGATGATTCAGAGCACCACGTCAGGTTTACGACCACGGTTGGGGCCAGTAAACCGTGCTGGATTGCAGCGTGTAAGTGTTCAACATCGTCGAGAGTTTAGTAAAGTTTGTTCTGTTACGGCTTATCATTGGGATTATATCTCAGTTTTATAGAAGCAGCATTGATAGGAGAGCTCAGCTACGGCGATGGTGTCTCAGGCGAGTCGCAGACAAAGGGCAGCGGGATAATGGAACTTGTATTGGAACAAAGGGTTGGTTGGTTGAAAGCGACATGGTCTGAAAGACCTGTACAGGACTAGCTGGCCCATTTTAAGGCTCTTGACGCAGAACTAGATGCTTGCGCGGGGATTGGTCTGCTTAAATCAGAACCACGGGGCATGTCTGTTGCCCGAACTTTAATGCACCGGATGAGTCGGCGGAAAGTACAAAATCAACAAGGCTGGCGATGGCGTACATTTGAGTAGCTCCGTCATTCCATGGGCTGCTGCGTAATGATGCTAGTATTGTGTGCAGTACGACGAGAAGATGTATACTTGTATTGACGCGGTCCTGGACAGCAGGGGCGATAGACGGTGCAAGGAGGACATCGGATGGACAAACTATTGATAAAGACGGAGATGGAGTGAGGCTACGGCGATTGTATATATACTGTTTAGGAGGAGTTTCCCTACTGCAACAATGGATTTATCTATAGTAGAGGGGCATGGTGCGGTATGACACCGAGGTGGTGGTGCATCGGAGAAACCCGTCATGCTTGGACACTCGGAAGGCGATGGTCAGTGAGGGGGGGGAAGAAAAAGAAAAAGAGAAGAAGATGGGGAGAGCTACCCAAGTGGAGATAAGAAGGGTAAAAGAATTCATCATGGTATGATGAAAAAAGTGACAAGGGTGGGATTCGAACCCACGCCATCTTACGATGATCAGGAAGCTCGGAAGCTGTCCATTAAGGTGTGACCTTAACCTGACGCCTTAGACCGCTCGGCCACCTTGCCTTTGATGGAATACTGCTCCTTTCTTTGTTATATGACGGCCATATGGGTACTTCATGCGGTTCACCAGTTCGACTCGTGGGATGGGATTGTTACCAGTCGGTGCAGGATTTGGTCACTTCTGAATAATCTGTCGGTAGTATAGCCACATGCCTGAATAAATTTTCTTCAAGGAGTTGTACAGCATTGTAGTTGGTACTACTCTTTGTGTCTACCCGGTGTATCTCTTACCGCACCATGACGACCGATATATACTTGGTTTCAAAGTGGAAAACTCCTGCATCCCATCGAGACACTCCTACGACTTATGTTGATACAAACCACATTCCGTTCCTACCAAGGAGCCTTACACCTTGCTTCCAAAGGTAGGAAGGTATTATTCATCCTACAATCTCCCACAGGAAACAAATCTTGATCGATCTATTGTGTATGATGAAGAAGCAGGAAGATTCATGACGTCATATACATTTCCCCCCACGGGTTCCCCTGCCGAGAAAACTCGAACACCACAAGGAGCACCCCGAGAACAGAGAACCTGGTGAGAGTTACCCACATTATACTGTGTACAATCACAAGCAGTACAGTATGCTATCTGAATTAGTATTTGTATATAGATGAAGTTGCCTGGGGATTTGTCATGTAATCGGTAGCATTCATTAGGTATGATTTCACGAGGATGGATATTATCTACCGAACCATCACAAAGGAAACATCATAAAGAGAAAAAGAAGAATCAGTATCCGCAAACTCTCAAAACCGCATCTCTGAAGTCCCCACTGGGAAGATATCCCCTCACCCACTTGCCCAACTCCCCTCCCAGCATGGCCTTCACCCGATTGAAGTAGCCCGGCTCCCAATGCAACCGCACGACCCAGTACACCAATCTCGGCTCCTTCACCCCGTCTCCGAACAGACACTCCTTCAGCACTCTCGCATGATACGCTGCCGGATCCCTGGCTCGTGCGAGCATGGCGACAAGGGCATCCTCCAAATGTCCGGAAAACTCCTCCCGAATCACCTTCTCCAACTTGGTATGATAGACGCGCTCAAACTCGCCCTGCAGCACGGAGAGCCTCTCATCCGACGAGTTCAGGAAGATAGCAAAGGTTGAAATCTCGTCCGTGCCCATCTTTCCGACCGTGGCGCGGTGGAGTTCTCGCACGTCGTTGTCGATGCCTTGACGGTCGAAGTAACTGCCCGGTTCGGGACGGCGCGCGTCGAGGAGCATTTCGAAGAAGCGCTCTGTTTTGCCGCTCAACTCGCTCTTGATATTCTCGAGGAGCGAGGTGTGGTATTTCTGCGCATAGGCGTGTTTGATGGCGTTGAGATCGGCGTTGCTGCGCCCGAGAAGCACGTCGTTGAGGGCAGTTTCGTTGGTGCCAAGTCCGCTCATTGCGTCGTGGAGGTAGGTTATGTCCGAGTCCAAGGGCCCCGTGGCAAGGGAGACGAGGATGTCTTCGAAGGATCCGGATGTTTCGGACTTGAGGTCCTTCTCGAGGGATCGATTCAGTCGCGTGTGGTAGGTGTGCCGGATGATGGCCATTTGGTTGGGGTCTGGCGTGCTGGTGAGCACCCGGATGAGGGTCTTTTCGTCGGTGCCGAAGCCCTTCATAGCTTTTCGGAGGGCGTCGGCTTCATTGATGGCGGTAGATGGGGGAACGAAGTTGGCGTCGTAGCCAGGGGAGGGACGCGAGGGCATGGGTTGCTGAGTTGGAGGAGGGCCGTAGTTTTGGCCGGGGGGATAGGGAGCGTAGGGGCCTGGTGGTTGTTGGCCTGGAGGACCAGGTGGGTAGGGCTGGCATTGCTGTTGGGGTGGGTAGCCTTGCTGTGGATGTCCTTGCTGAGGATGTCCCTGTTGTGGAGGCAATCCGTGTCCTTGCTGTGGTCTTTGAGGAGGATATCCCTGCTGAGGCGGATATCCCATTCCCTGCTGGGGGGCCGAGTATGGAGGATAGGGACCAGGCTGCTGTGAATGCTGGCCCGGGTATGCACCTGGACCCTGTGGGGGTTGCTGCTGAGCATATGGTTGAGGTTGCTGTGGATGCTGGCCACTCATGGGCGGATACGAGCCCGGACCTTGCTGGTACGGACCCGGGCCCTGTGGATGCTGGCCCTGTCCATAAGGAGGGTTCTGTGGGTGCTGACCCTGTCCATAAGGGGGGTTCTGTGGATGCTGACCCTGTCCATAAGGAGGGTTCTGCGGGTACTGACCCTGACCCTGAGGGGGATAAGGTGGATACCCCTGAGGCGGGCCCTGACCGTATGGTTGCTGGTAGGACATGTTGCGCGATGTAGGTGATGAAACAGTGACGGGAGAGCGGGGGGGGTCCGACGTTAAATAGCGACAGCTGATGCTCGTAGCCTCGTCGGGCGTAAGTCCCAGCAGGGAAATTGCGATGCTGGCACAGCCACAGGATCCGAGGGAAGCGGATGTGATTGGACAAGCAGCCAGTTAGAGTTGCACGAAGGACGGGTCGGGTAATTGTCGTGGCTGAGTCGGAGGCTGCCTTGTCCCAGCATGCATTTTCTGAAGGATGCAGCACAGTCTCCGTGGATGATCTTATCAATCACATGCATCTACCACTGTCGCTTATCATCTCAGCTTACAGTCCCTGGCTGTGGCTAATATACAGAGATGCAATTACTATACAATCGCTACGGGTATATCACTAACTATCCTCAGTCGCATGGCCAAGGTCGGTTCGCTGCAACTCATGCCATTTCTGAATCACAGCGGATCGCTCCTGTGTCGTTGCTGCACACATCTCCTCGATGCCCTGCCTCATCCGTGAGGCAAGAATATCCCGCGTTTTGCTCTTCGAGAGCGAGTTGCGAAGACTCTTATGGATCCCGTCCAGCGGGTATCCTGCTAACCCCCAGATGCCTGCTGAATTAGTTTCCGTTGGACTGAGAGGGTCTGGCAGCTTACCAGCAGTCGGTTTGAGTAGCACACCCCCGATCCCCTTACCGATGCCTTTCAGGAGGCCTTTGCTGCCGGATTTCTCCATTCCGACCACAGGCTGCGTCACGAGGCCGGTGATGCCGTTGTAGAATCCGTGGGTAAATTCCTGTTCCGTCAGCACTGATCCAACCCGAGAAGGGAAGGGAGAATACCGTCCCAGCAGCCCGAAACCCACTCCGAAACCCAAGCACCTTGGGCGTATCCTCTACCAACCGATCATGGTACAGCTTCGGTGCGTTGTGGAATCCCTTGGACAGACTTAACGTCAAGTCGGTCGGAAGCATGATTGCCCAGTTCAGGATATGCTTGGCCGCACGCGCGCTATGGTATGACGTCTCCGCGAGGATTTCCTTCGTATGGGACATTTCCCTCGTTCGCAGTCGCGTGATCGTTCGCTCGAGGTCTAATTCTGCACCGCATTCAGTGTCGATGTCATCCAGCGTGTCGGAGCTGCTTGTCCGGGGGCTTGAAGACTGGGGGCTGTTCTCTTCGTCTTCGTGGTCGGAGACGCTATGATCGGACACATCAGGATCGGAGAGGACTTCTTCGGCCGAGTGGTATGCCTCGTCGGACTCTGTAGAGACTCCGGAATTATCATTGGAGGTAGATTGGTCGTGGGGACGGTCTTGCTCATACCGAATGTGTCCGTTTTCTGGCTGTTGGGTATTGGGAATCTCATCCGGGCCGACCCCCGAATCGAGGGATGACTTGGCCCGACGATGACGCCGGAAGGATGATCCATCAAGGTAAGACGGGCGACGCGCTTTCTTCCAGTCGTGTTTATGGTGGATGCGTCGTTCATGTTTGGTCGAAAACATGCCTGCCATTCCGCTGGGGACGTCAGCAATGCCGCTAACGAACCCTGAGACGATACCGTAGAGCACCTCTGCGCCTGCAGTCAGAGGACCCCTAGGGTCTCGATTTGTGTCATACTCGCGTGAACGGTACCTGGGAAATTAGCGCACGTCGAGCCAATGGCACTATTACAGGACGTACAGGACAACGTTTCGCGGGTTAATCAAGCCCGTCTCGACCAGCACTGCCGCCGCAAACGTACTCAGCTTGATATGGGAATGCCGAACCCACCACACAGCTGGCAGATGCGGACAAATCGAGCACCGCATACTCTCTAGATCAAGATGCTGGTAGAAGCTCGTAGTAGCATTTCGCACGCCCTGCTCTGTGCGCATCTGCTCGCCTATTTCCTTCGCCTTTTCCAACGTCGACGGCTCGAGGGCTTGATTGATCGCATCGGTCAGATTTTCCGCCGTCAGCTGCTTGTGTGGGATGGGCAGTGGGCCTGCGCCTGCGCGAGCCACAATCGATCCCCAGAAGGGCTGATCGCCAAAGAAGGGTATAATGATGGTCGGCCGACCGAGGACCAACCCTGCGGCAGTGGTACCCGCTCCACCGTGGTGAATGACACAAGAGACGTGCTGAAACAGCCAGTCGTGCGGACACTTGTTGATCATGAATATGTTCTCTGGAATCTCGTCCTCGCCTGCTCCAATATTCCCCCAGCCTTTGGAAACGATCGCCCGTTGCCCGCTTGCGCGGATGGCTTGGAAGATGATCTTCGTCAACGAGCCCGGATTGTCGACGACGATGGAACCAAATCCGACGTAGATCGGGGGTGGTCCTGCCTTGAGAAATGCAGCTAGGTCGTCGGGGGGTTTGTAGTCGGATGCCGCGGAGAGAAAAGCAAATCCGGCCACATCGATGTTGTCGCCCCAATCCCCGGGTTTGGGGAGGAGTGCTGGCGACCTATCTCGTCAGCTGGATCCAATGCAGTGCAGGCAGACATCTCACCAAAGGTACGTGTATGGGATTTGCAGCCGGTGCGCAATACTCGGTGCCCGAATGGCGTCCAACGGGTCGAGCCCCAGTTCTCGTTTGCGGAATGTATTGATCAGATCTCCTAATCCCTCCCACATGATGACTTCGACCACTGCATACGAGGCAAAATTGGCTGCCGACGGCTTTGTGTTCTTGGTGCGGATCGTCGCGAGCGGATGCGGAAATGACTGTGTGGCAGTCCAGGGCATTCTACATCGTCAGTATTCCACCGCCAATCGAAGAAGAATCACTCACGTAAACATCATATTCAACGGAATCCCCAGCTTCTCCGCACAGCTGAGATGGGCAAAACTCGGCGGATTGGCGATAATCGCATCCGCGACAAACGGCTGCGTCCGATAGTCCGCCGTTTCATTCCACGGATCCTCCGAGATATGATGCATGCCCGTTCCATCGCCCGTCTCGAAGCACGAGCGCCAACAGCCCGAGAAAATGGCCTTCATTTCGCGTCGTCGACGGGGAATCGCCCCACTGCGGAGGGTGCTCATATGCGGCATCAGACCGGGGTTCCGCACCATGAATGCCATCAGCTCGGCCGGATCCCCACCGATATTGAAGAATTCGAGACCCTCGCTTTCGATGGATTCGCGAAAAGCGAGATGCGTGGCGAGTCGGACGCGATGACCGTGGGATTTGAGGACCTTTCCGAGGGCGATGAAGGGTTGGACATCGCCGCGGGAACCGACGACTTGGATGACAATGTTGAGTTTGAGGGCACAGTGTGCGTCCTCGCCTTCTCCGAGGCAGACGGAGGGCTTGCGATCGTCGTGAACGGGCTCGGGTTGGTGTTGGAGATGCTTGATGATTTTTGCTACCCAGGGTTTCCGCTCGCGGATTTTGATGTCCAGACGGCCATCGTCTGACTTCTTAGCTGGCTGGGGTGAGTTTCAGAGGGGAAGGAATCACGCACCCATCACCCGAACCCCCGTGTTTAATCCTCTCTCCCGAATATGCGCTCGCCGATTAGGCCGGCCATGACCGGCGTGGGAGGAGACATTAGCGATCTGCTCGTCCGGCCAGTCGGCGGCCGTGAGGCCCTCGGGAGACGGCATGGCTGCGGGCACTGGCAGACACCGACCGGACCATGTGCGACCGACGGAAGACAATTGAGTTTGTTGATTCAGACACTGCCGAAGAGGATGATTGCGGAAGGGATACAGGGACAGGGGAATGGAAGAGAAAGACAGATGAAGTCCCAAGGGTCGGGTGGGTGCAACTGGTGACGCCATCGCATTGCACCGGAGCGGTGGACCCACGGATGATCGCATCCAAGAACCAGTGGAGTCGCGCCCGGCCTTCAAGCTTTCTTTGTTCCTTGACCAATCGTTCCTACTTCGGTAGGCCTGGCCTTGAGGTCTTACGTATCCTGCCTCGGCCTGCATGATGTTCTCGCCGCGAACCCGGAGACCCTTGCTGGTCATCCAATCAGCCCTACCTCGGCCATTGTGAATAATCAAGCTAGTTACATAGTACTATGTAGCAAGTTAGCTACAGACTACGATCAACTAACATCCCTGTCATACCATAACCATGACTTCACCGCCTCTGAGTACACCACCTAGACCGGACAATCAACAAGACCCTTATCCGCCGCGGTCCGAAACCCGCCATCCGGTTCCTGCCTCGGCTCCTATCGTGTACAAGCCTCATTTACTTCCCGCCTTCAAAGACTACACACATCCCCGCCACAGTCCATCCACAACTAAATCGCCATCCCATTTGAATCCCTCATAATTCCTAACCGACCGCCTTAACAAACCCCATCATTGCATTGCCCCCACCCTCGTCTAATTCCCCATACGGCCATTCCATTTCATGTGCGGACTAACTACATACCCGCCGGAACATAATCTCCGATAACCATCACTTTCTCCCTCCCTCCTGACCCTAAGTTCCACCGCGATTAAGAGTAATCTTGCCCGAAGAACTGACTGCTCCCGCAGTCTAATCCAGTCTAGTCTCCTGGACTCGTTGAGCGGCACATAACAATTTTTGATACTACCAATGAGATAAAACCGAGTCGCTTGGATAATGGGTATTGCGATCTGGAATCGCCATGGCGCTGATAGCGCCAGAGTGTGAGGTCGCTTAGGAGGAACCAAGGGTTGGACACCTGATACTGCATTCATATGTTTTGTCCAAACATTGTGAACCATTCTCATTGTTCCTTCTGACTTGTCAGTGAAGAAAGGGAGCACGCGTCTTTTACTGTGGAGGTAGGGTTCCGCAAGAGGAACAAAAGATAGGAGATACAAGTTTCATAAACAATCCGCTACTTAGGGCTGATGCAAAATACCAAAGATCATAGTCTTCGATCGTAGACTATAACAACATTATCGTTGAGCTCAGTGCCGCCTTTCGTTGTGTCTGTTGGTGGTTGTATACCGGCCAGTAGACCTTTCTTCTGGTATCCTTGCTAGCCAGATCGGACAAATCCTTTGTATTGGTCCAAACTGGGAGTGAGTTATACTCAGAGAATATCACGGACATTCGTAAAGGCCCCTCCGGAGCCCGTCTACGCCTTCGAGTGCGACAACTTCTTCTCGATCATAAGATGCATGCCGATGTAAATACACGAAATAGACAACCAGAAGAACAGTAGCTTGTGTTTTACGCTCTGCTTGGTATATCATTCGTCCGCAGAGGCATCGCGAAGCCCATCCTGGATCAGCCCAGTCTGATCGATAATCGACATCGATCGCCTATTCCGCTCGCGTAAAAAGACTTATAATTGCCAAGGTACCTCTCCAGCCCGACTTCACGAGGACTACACATCCTATAGTCAGCAACACTCGGGCATATGAGGGGATCGATCGAGCCAACTAATCGGCCTGGTAGACGACATGCACGACGATTGAGCGGGGGGCAATATTTCTCAAGTCCGAACCGAGTGTGAGGTGGCTTCAGGGTACCGGTCGTGGAATGGTGCCAGCCCTCTCTGCTCGCTTTTATGCGGACCCGAACATCTCGGCCTGACATACTACACCGCGCATGTCGCCGTTGTGTGGTGGTAAAAAACTACGGTCGGTGTTGGCGGTGGGTGAGTTGACGATGATTGTTAAACTGCGACATGGAAATCGCTGTAGGAGTACCTCCGCGACCACGCAGAAGGAACTGGGGGTCGCTGTTCCTTTTCGATCTCATCAATATGCCATTTAAGCCGCTTCCAGTACCTCAGCAGTGGTTAGAGGCGCGGATGGTTTCCTAATGCAGATGCACCAAATGCACCAAATCAAAGTGGTTTTCATGCCTATTTGATCCAGCGCACGAATGCCCCTTAATTCCGGCAGCAAGCGAGTGGCCCGCCAGACTAGGCAGGATGTCAAACTCTATTTGCTCCGGGTGATTCTAGCCGATCTGTGCCAGCTTAGCCACTGTGCAGTGATCCTGAGCGAGAATTGACGACGGTCGGAAATTCTATCAGTGTGGTGCGCCCATGCTTGGCAGGGATCTCCGGGACAGACCCGTAACACGCCTAATTTTAGGGGTAATCTCCTATACAGTGAGCACACGACACCAGCCACTACGTTGCCTAGCGCTCCTGATGGATCGGATGGTGCGCACAGAATTCAGGCGGTGCTACTGGTAGGCTGCAGCAGGTCATTCACGCATGCCTGGACATCTCGACTCGGTATTCTTCGGAAAACCGGAATGCCCGGGGACTGATTCCGAGGATCCAGAATCCGTCTGGCAGTGATCAGGGGCTGTCGGCAAAAATCCCTGAGTTGGAGACTGAAGATGCGGCTGAGACTGATACGAAGGGGCTTTTCACCGGACCCAGTCGGGCCGGCCTATCACCACTATGCAGACAGGGGGCCGGGAGGCTTAGTCCGGGAACGCTTCAATTGGGCCAGTCTGATAGGCTCTGGTGTCGGCTGGACCGGACTCCGGCCCTTGACCGGAGACGCGACACCCCCAGGGGACGAGAGGAGGGCCAGGAGAGATCAGCCCTACTGGGCCACTGACAAGGCTCCCCTCCTACATCGTAATTCCGCCCTTATCGGCCTATGAGCTGCGCCCGTCTAATCCTTGACCGGGATCTACGTATGCTCCGGAGCCAAGTGTTCCTCGCAGCCACTGATTCGTTCAATTATAAGAACAAGTCATCCCCCCGATCATGGCGCGATGCCGGTTATATTCCGGCCAGATGCCTGCCCACTGTCAACGTCATCCAGGCAGGCAGAAGCGATCCTTTGCCCGGGAGCTGTCAACCCTAAACCCGGCACCACCCATGCCCCCCCCAGACATCATTGCAACATGGCCTGGGATGAGGCCGGGCAGCTGCTCTCGCACAAAATGAACCAATTCGCTGCGATTCGCAGCCAACGAGGCATCCGAGTCCTCATCGCCGCGGTGGCCGCCATCTTCGTCTTGTCCATCTTTCTGCTGCTGCCATCAGCATCGACCACCAAGGTCCTCGGATTCGGTCAGGGCCACCAGACAGCCACCCAATCCTCCGCCGGCATCACCGCCGGCATCACCATCGACACCACCCTCATCACCGATCTCGCCCAATACTTCGCCGACTATCCCATCCAGAAACCCTTCAAAGAAAAATACGGCGAACTGGGCCGTCGCAACCGGGTTCTCCGCGACTGGCTCACCCAAGCCGAAGCCTCCTCCAACCCCACCACCAAATCCCTCCTCCTCAACGCCGTCGAAGAAGTCGCCATTTCCCAATACCCATTCCTCCAAAACCCCCAACAGCCCAAATCCCCTCACCCCGTGCAAGATCTCCGCGCCTCCTTCACCCCCAACTCCGCCGGCATCGTCATCCCCACCAGTGACAAAACCCTCCGCTACGCCGCCCACCTCATCGGCTCCCTCCGCTCCGTCCTCAACTCCACCCTCCCCATCCAAGTCATCTACGCCGGCGATGACGATCTCTCCCCTCCCAACCGAAACCACGTCTCCACCCTCGCCGCCGCCGGGCCCGCCATCACCTTCCTCGACATCCTCACCCTCTTCGACGACACCACCCTGAAACTCCAAACCGGCGGCTGGGCCATCAAAGCCTTTGCCGCTCTCGGCTCTCCCTTCGAAAAAGTCATTCTCGCCGACGCTGACGCCGTCTTCCTTCAACCCCCCGAGGTCCTCCTCCACCAGGAAGCCTTCCTCCACAAAGGCGCTCTCCTCTTCCACGATCGACTCCTCTGGAAACATGCCTTCGAGGGCCGTCATGACTGGTGGCGCGATCAGATCCGTCGACCCAGCGACGAGATGAATGCCTCGTTGGTCTGGACGGAAGATTACGCGGAGGAAGCGGACTCGGGTCTCGTGGTGCTGGATAAAAGTCGCCCCGATACTTTGATGGGTTTGTTGCATATCTGCTGGCAGAATTCGTACGAGGTGCGGGAGGAAACGACGTATAAGATTACGTATGGCGATAAGGAGAGTTGGTGGTTGGGGTTGGAGTTGGCGGGCGCGCAGTATGAGTTTTCGAAACATTATGGGGGGATTGTGGGGTGGGAGAATGTGGATGAGCAGGGACGGCGCGGCGTGTGTAGTTTTGTGATTGCGCATGTGGATGCCAAGAATCGGTTGCTCTGGTATAATGGGAGCTTGTTGAAGAATAAGGGGCAGGGGGGCATGGAGAATGTGTATCAGGTGCCGGAGAAGTGGATGATTGATGCCGAGTGGGTCAAGGGGGCCAGGAAACAGGATCATAGTTGTATGGTGAATGGGGAGGTGCGGAGTTTGACGGAGGAGGAGATGGGGGTTTTGGATCGGTCCATTGGCCTGGCGAAGATGGTGGATGCGATGGTGCAGTCTGCCTGACACATCGCAGTGGTATATTCAGCCAACACTGAAGGCAGTGTCCAGCGGCTTGAAGTACTGCCTGTGCTCTAACATGGGAATCTGCAGTACATCCCTCAGTGCAGTGTGGCTGTTCATGATTGACCAAGAGTTGGACGTGCACTACATGAAATGCTTATTGTACATAATGTTCCATTTCATCGATATAATTAATTACAAGTGATTTCACACGTGGCCATTGGACGATTCTCTTTCTGAGTAGTGTTTATGGTTAATGGCTAAAAGTAATCCGCTTCCACCATTCCATACAGCCATCCAAGTGGAATAGAAGCGGTCACTTCAAACACCACAGTGAATCGGCACAGTTACTACCGTCAATTCCATAACCCACATTCATCCATATGCGGTCACCAATTACTTCAAGTCTCTACAGCTCATAAAGCCTCCTAATCTTCCTCCTCTTGACCATTTTCTCTTGCAACTACTAGCCAGATGGAACCATACAACATCCCATATCCTCCCATGTTAAGCCATTATATTCCACAGAGCATTCAATCCACTCAATAACATACCGACCAGAGAATCCCAACATTTTACCGCCTTATCGTATCCAGCTTTATCGAACGAAGCACACCTAGACCTACGTTCTCGGATCCCTCAACCGAATGTTTCCTATTACTTATTTGGAAAATACCCGCACGAAGCCACGAGACTATATGGCTCATTAAATTATACTATCATATATTACCAATCTAGATATGCCCGAACACAAATCTACACCATCAACGGACAACTATGAAGGAACTGTGAATAGTACTTGGCCTAGAATCCATAAAATTGGAGAATTAAGCGTGCAACTAGCTTCTGCATGGACCGCTTTAAACACCATGGTTGCGTGGATCGGAGCAATAATCTGAGCCATATGATACCCATTTTAATTACCAGACTAATCCATGCTCAGAAGACTAAACAGGATTTCACAACTCATCTACTAGCATCCGGATAAGATATACGATATATTAACGACAATACAGCAACATCTGCTAGCTAAGCGAGTCGGAATTAACCTCTACCCTCTATTGAGATTCGAAATGTCTATCCAGGTATACCACATTTACCCGACTGATCAATAACCTAGACCAAGGCTGACAGCAACATGGTACGGTATGGCATTCCCAGCTTGAAAAGATGGAAAAGGAAACAGCTCTAGACCAAGCCATTTGGGCCCAATAGTGCCTCTCACCATGACAACAGCCCATAGCAATGGTGAAAAGTGTACGACAAACGGTTCATGTTCGAAGATAAAGCTGCACAGACATCGCCTCTGGCATGCTCCAGCATGAACTGGCACGGACAGCATCTGCAGGAAGATCTGCGAGAAGCTCAGGTGGATAATAAGGGTTCCTTGGCTGTATTGGCACACACCGCATGATACAGTGCGCATGATACTCACGCACGTCGCTGAGGGATAGTCTAAGTTGTGTGTGGCAGTCTACGTGCAGATACTGACGTCGTGCCGAGGGTGGAGGTATTCTGGCTTTCTTCTGTGTTGGACCTGGATCGAGACATCTTTCGCTGGGGTTTGACGAGAGGAGGGAAATACACACTTTGAGTTTATCCTTCTGCCTGATATCGTCTAGATCGGGATGCAGATTGTCTTCGTTGGTGTCTATCGAAGTCAGCGACCAGAGTTAGTAAGGTGACCTCGAATTTCTCAACTACAGTTCTCCAAAGTGGATGAAAGAAATAGTTCGCTGATACTATTTCTTAGAGGATTCCCTACGTCTACGGGATAATACTGGAGGAATCCAACTCAGCTAGTGGCGATCATGCCAAGTACTATTCAAATTTCACTCCGAGCCGAAATGTCCCACTTCACAGCTGAAACCCATCCCGTGAATGGACCGGACCAAAATCGCGAAGTAGGTCCGCGGTCGAAGACAAAAGACTATGACCACAAGTCCACTTATTTGAAGGTTGGGGTCCACTACACAAGGGTAATGCTTTTGCTTCCTACATCGGAACTACGGATCTACCTTTCCATTTGCGTTGGTCTTGGGTATGCCGTGAGATGGCGTGGTATCATAGTGACTATCCATGGCATGCTAGGAACATCAACTAAGGCGCAGATCTATGCAGCCACGGCAGAGACAGAGCTAATAGCCCATGAATGGGTTATTGCACCGGGATCACGTTGAGAAAAGCAAGCAATCAGCGCCACACGGTGATGCATCCCCATATCGAGCGCAAGGCTGCAATCAACTGCCTGCGACCATCAATCCTTGGGAACGAGTCTGTATCCTACGACAAAAATACTCATCTAACATGCTCCGGAACAAACTTACAACTTAGCAATCCCAACAGACACTGCGGTCTCCGGGTTAGACGAGTGGGGACAGGGGATCTCTCAAACTATTGTCAGAGCTTTGCACTCTCGGTGGATCTTACAGGTCTGTTGATGCCTTGCTGGCGGGGGGAAAGTCTCCGCCTTTCGGACATGAGAACAGCTAGCAGATAGCAGGCGCGGCATGGATGGTCAACCAGGAGCAGGGTCCCATAACCGACAGTGTGCTTGCGGACCCATACGGTAGCATCGAAACACAGCAATCGTTTCGAGGGAAACTTGGAGTCTGGGAAGAGGGTTAAAATTCCTGAATCCTGGAATAAACAGAGCTGTGACAAACACAATACAGGATAGAGTCCCACGATGCGGTGGGCGGAGATCAAAGCTCTTGAAGTCATGGCCTTTACCCTCATTCATGGTAGGGCAACTCAACAAAGGCAATCCAGCAACCAAGAAAGTCCAGAATATGGTGATGTGTACGAATTGCCTACACTCCATAACTCATATGACTTCATTAGCATTCGCCATCGAGTGATTCAAGATGGGGTTCCCAACCACATGAATGAACCCTATGAAGAAACAAGCCAATGGTTTTGATGATACATTTGCGGTTGCCAATCGGAACTGGGTAAAATTAAGTTACCTAAATCAGAAGTGATTAAAACTATCCCTTAATGACAGAACCCAACTGCACCCCACTGGGACGAATATCTTTTCCTGGCATCGTATCAAAGTCTGCTACTGGGAGCCACAGGACCAGTCGGCTGCTGATACCTTTGACATATTTGAAGATTGTGATGCATCCACACTATCAAAACAATCATGCAAATGCACAGACAGATACAGGCAAGTCTCGTCGGTACGGAAGATAATAGCAGATTGTTCTATCTCGGCCCATTCAAATTCCGCCTAGAACGACAAAGATTCAGCATATTCAGCACGGGCTGATTTCAACCTGCTGGCGGCAAAAAAGTTCAGCCAGACTATTGAGGAAGTGTCATCCCTCGATGCGTATTCGTGGTTGACACTAATTAATAGTCCTCTATTTGCACTGCGAGTGTATACCCCCCGTGCATGTGTCGTTCCCCGTCAGCAACTACAAAATAATCTCGTGAGATTGTCAAATGACATTCGACATCTTTTCTCCCCGTCCATTTCTCAACGTCGAAGCGGATTCCAATCATCCCGAATATTGTTATGTATCCATGGGTTGTTCCACTCGATTCTCTCTACCTGGATTTGGACACGCAGCTTATTATCATTTCGTCTATCTCATTATACGACGAAGAGTAACTATCCTGCACGGAACGATTAATAGACGGCAACGATGACTAACTCCATAGGTCCCCCAGTACAGAAAAGCGATATACACTCGTCCACGTCAACATCTGCATCTTCCGTTGGGCTTTGATAAGACCTTTGGCCACCAAAGGCCCGACATGACATTCGGAGACTTCAAATCTTGTATTTTGATGAATTCATGAAGTACCGGATCCTGTACTAGGATGTCGGCTAGATCCCAATCGGAGTAGTAGCTCGTCTGTTCGTTTTGTCAAGACCAATTTTGGGTCTCGGTAGACCTGGGAAGGTGTCGGGTTTGATCGTGAATTGATATTTCGATCCGGGCAGGACTGAAGCAGAAGGTATCGAGGAGATAGGGAGTTTCTCGAAATCAGTCCTGCTGGTACTAATCACATTGACGATGGCTGGGGGTTTGTTGAAGGGTGTTTGGATAAGAGTAGGAGATGGACATTACGGCTGGCTTGGTGCAGGCTGTTGTTCAGGTTCGAACCAATACGAGATGGTGTCGCGTGGACGAATAATAGCGATGCAGATAGTCTATCCTCTAAGATACATTCATAATACTCATGACAGCCAATACATCATAATGTCTAGTGATCCCTCACAAATGTTGCCGTCGTGTTGGCCCGGAAGTCCCGACTGCTGAACCCGGCCTTGAAAGTAAACTGCCCAGCCGGAATGCGCCAATCCTGCGCCACCACATCCCAGTAACTGACGTCCCGACGCATCAACTCAAAGGTCACCGTCTTCGTCTCACCCGCCTCAAGCCAGATCTTGTCGAAGCCGCGCAGCTGGCTGGGAGGAGTTCCCGCCGGCGCGGTGTCGGGGAATCCGACATACAGCTGTGGGATGGCATATCCATCCACACTGCCGCTGTTGCTCACCTCCGTGGTAAGCGTGTAGACCGTCTCCCAGAGGGCAGGGTTGCCACCCGGCTGAACGGGACGCTGCTCTGGAAGGGCCGTCAGGTTCGTAGCCACGGAACCGGTGGCCGCTAGTCTGCTCAGGTTGAAGGTGGTGTAGCTGAGACCGAAGCCGAACTCGTAGCGCACGGGAATGTCATGAGCATCAAAGTAGCGGTATCCGACTTCGAGCTCCTCGTCGAACCAGCTCTGCCAGTCGTAGGTGCCGTTGGTCTGCACGTCGGTCGTCAGCGGGGCATTGTAGTCCGACTCGTTGTAGGCGATCACGTAAGGGAGCTTCGCGGACGGGTTAACGTCGCCGTAAAGGATGTCCACAAGGGAGTTGCCGGCCTCTTCACCTGGGTAATGGGCGGCAAGAATGGCGGTAACGTTGGGGTGGTCTGCGAACGGGAGAACGTTGACACCGGCCGAGTGAGTCACCACCACGGTGTTGCTGCAGTACTTGGCGACAGCTTCAACGACTGCGTTGCCGTTCCAGTCAAGCTCCAGGAACCGGCGGTCGATGTTCTCTTCAGACCACCCCTTGAGGAAGACGAGACAGACATCAGGATGCTCAGGATTCCAGAGGTCGGGCATAGCTTTCTCCGTGATGAGGGTGTTGTTGAGCCAGGTCTGCACGAGAGCACCATCCTGACGAGCTCGGGCGGTGATAGCATCCAGCGGGGTGGACAAAAAGCTAAACCGGCACGTTCCGGAGCCGCCGGCGTTGGCGAGAGTGCCGTATTCAAAGTTGTTCTGGTTGTAGGCACCCTGGGTGACAGGACCGGCGTCGTTACCCACGATCACAATATTGCGGGGCTTGCGCAGGGGCAGGGCATTGCGCTCGTTCTTCAGCAAGACCGTCGAGGCGGCGCCGTGCTCGCGGATCATCTGGCTGTGGTTGCTGCGGACGTCGCGGTTGCTGGTACCGGTGAACTGCCAAGGGTATAACCAGGTATCTGGCGGCGAGTCCGTGTTCAACGCACCAACGGACGCGTCCACGCTAGGGTAGTCCTGGTCCTGGCCCAGCCAAAAGTAGGGGGTCATGATACGCACGATCATATCGTCAATGCGGTCAGTCGATACCGTGCCATTGTTGATGGCGTCCGTGAGATTCTGGCCGAAGTAAGACCCCTCGGTCCAGAGCTCTCCGTAGAGGGTGAAACCACCCGGCATGGTCATATCCATGCCACTCTCAATCGAGGCGACGCCGCTGTGAGTGGCACCCCAGTCAGACATGACGTAGCCTTGGAAACCGAGCTCGGTCTTGAGGAGATGGTTGAGGAGGTAGGAGTTCTGGCACGAGTGCGAGCCATTGAGACGGTTGTAGGAGCACATGAAGCTCGAGACGCGAGCGCGGGCCGCGTTGGCAAACGGCCACATGTAAATCTCGTGGAGGGTGCGGTCATTTACATTCGAGGAGACCGAATCTTGAATGTAGGTCGTTGCGTTTGCGTCGGCCGCGTAGGTGGGGTTCCGCTGGGTCTCTTGCTCGTTCGCGATAAAGTGCTTTGCATTGGCTTGGACACCGGCGTCTTGCATTCCAATGATCGTCTCCTCCATGCAGACGCCAGTCAGATAGGGATCAGCAGCGAAGCCCTCCCAAGTGCGCCCGTCGTAGGGACTGCGGCCAAGCGGACCGGCAATGGGCCCGAGGACAACGTGAGTGCCTTTGCCCTTGTGCTCTGTGGCCATGGCATAACCTCGATCGTAGAGCAGCTTACGATCCCAGCTGGCCGCTGCAGACACACCGCTGACAAATACGCTCGAGTAGTCACCCTGCTGCAGACACTGAGGGCCATTCTGAAGACAAAGGCCAGTGAAGTTGAGACGTGGAATGGGAAGAATGTTTCCGACGCAGGGACCGGGCTGACCGGTGGCCATCCAGGCCTTCTCTTCGACCGTGAGCTGCGAGAGCCAGTCCTTGGCCTGGGCCAAGGCCTTTTCCCAGCCGCCCGTGCCATTTGTTTTGGCTATATACGTTAGAAATGCTTAGACAATGGTTGAGCGGATGAGAACTTACGCGACGGATACACGGCCGGAGAATGACCATAGGGACTGAGGATGGTGGTGTTGAGGGGCTGGACGAAGCTGAAAGCCGGTCCCGGATGGTCGATGGGAGTCTGGCAAGTGCTGGCACCCACAGAAGGGGCCAGCAACAGCCCAGACAGGAGAAAACTATAGTCAGCCTGGAGCTTCATGGCGAGACACCTCTGCGTTGTAGTTTCAGCTCATAACCCTGGTCTGCCCGACGTGTTGGACCCTTAAATACCCCTGTCGGCTTTCCCCATTCCCGGGTCCGTTGCTGCGGAGAGTGCGGAGGCCCGCAATGACGGGTGTTGGAGAGGCTACCAAGCCGGGGTCGGCCTCGTGCCGAGCAAGACTCCACCGCCGGATAACGATGCCAATCGCGAGCGCTTGACGGCCCGTCTTTGCCGGGTTGGGGGAGATGTCTTCGTATGCTTCACTCAGTTGGGCAGGTCAGGCCACTGCCGGAGTTTTGCCGGGAAACTTGCTCGGACCTCATCGATGGAGTCATCTAGAGTGGTGGTCAAGTCGCGATTCTGCCGAAGGATTCATCATCCGGTTCTCGGAGGAACCCCGTCGTAGTGACGTCGAGTGGGATTCTTCTCTTTTTCTCTTTTCCGGATGGATACTGTGTATACGGGGGTACCGAGTATGGGGCCTGAGACCGGTAGTTGGATAGGTTGGCATGAGTGCCCGAGCATTCCAGTGGACGGTGAATGCCATTCCGGTCCGACTGCGGGGGCTGCCAAGCCTCTGCTCGGGATAGTCGAGGGTGCCCGGCCATTCTAGGCAGCTAAAGCGAGCTGCGAGTACGTGCGGAGTTCTGATAAATGTAGGGTTTCGGTGGGAAGCCGAGGGGGAGAGAATGGAGAGATGGAGAAGAAGAGAGAGAAGAGGGAGGGGAAGCCAGCGACGCTGTCACGTGCGATGGATTATGTAGCGAATCACGTGTGCGTTGGCCTGGCTGTAGCCTGACTGTGGCCTCAGGCAGAAAGAACGGGTACCGTGGAAGCACCTCGCAAGCATGCCCAGAAAGAATGGAACCCCCCAATGGGATGGATACCATCAAATTCGTGGAAAATGCAAGCTTGGTTAGGTCCATCACATGGAAATTTGACTGTGGTGGCACCTCTTGAGAACATTGTTCGACTGGGGCAGATAGTGGATGAAAGGCAAACAATGGCCGGTCACTCCCCTTGGGTAATGAATTACCATCTTATCTGAACTCAATCTCAGTAGAAGCTTTGTTGTCTTCCCCATGGCACTGTCCATCACTTACCGTGCACTGGCTGGAATCCGTCATCGGAACCTTCTGCCTCAGAGCATCATTGACCGGGATGGTTCTCCGACCGGAGACCATGCCGACGATAGCTGTCAGAGGTGACTATTGGCAGCAAGCAATCACGAGCGGCAGTCTGTTATCTCAGTGTTCGAAAAAGCCAACCGGCATTGTAGCATCCACGGGCCGACAAACTCTCCCAGTCATCCATGGCCATCGACACGCCTAGCCCGACTGATGAGGTATCCGTGACCTCATGCCAAAGGTATAAGACACGATCGGCATGCTGCGCACTTACAGGAGACTTCTTGTCGAAGCCCAATGTTAAAAGCGAGGAACTACCCCGGTAGTTCAACCGCTCCAACCATTTGACCTTGAACATTGTTACTGAAACGACACCATCACAGCATCAAAATGAAGGACCTGGTGAGTGTCATCAACGGGATCGCTGGCGGGTTGATGCTGACACCATGCCAGACCTTTGATGTCCGCTATGACAATGAGCTGGCTCATGTTTACTATGGGGAAGGCAGCAAGCTCTCGGATAAGTACAGCAGACCCTTCGCAACTGGACGGTCCAGGGAGGCTAACCATAAGGCGATCGTCAGGCTGCGTGAGATCTACCAAGACAAACATCTGGAAATTCCCAATGAATTTGATTCCACGTTGACCAGTCCCCCCATCCACTTCATGACGTACGTAGAGGAATGGTTCTTCCTTGAGCTTCACTAATTTTTCCACAGTGTGAGTGCACCCGACGATGTGGACACGGACGAGCTGAGACAGGTCCACGTGCCGCCGGGCTTAAACATTGAGATTCTGGACTTCGACTAAGAGGGGCATGGTTAGGATGATGGCTTGTATCTACTTTTCGAGCTCAGTGAAAATATAATAAGAAATCCGAGTGGCGAGGTTAATCCCAAGGCCTGGTTAGCGCCCGTCGGGGCTCGGGCCGATGTCCTCGACCATTGCTTCCTTTCTTCCCCCGCCTTTCTCCATTCTTCCTCTTCCCAACTCTCTCCATGTCCACAACTCCGTCGTCGTCACCGGACTTGCGTCCGGTGGCCAAACGACGCAAAATTCGAAAGGGCACCTTCTCCTGCTGGGAATGCAAACATCGGAAGAGACGCTGCGAGTTGGAGGCGGCCGGCGCCGCCTGTGCCTACTGCCAGGCCCGTGACATCCATTGTGTCGGCCAGGACCATCCAGATCCGAGAAGTAGTCGCAATGAGGATGAGCGTGTGCAGACGCGCATTCTTCACGTCGAGAAGTTGGTGGGCCAGTTGATCCAGCAGCGCGACCGCCGCCGACCCAGCTCGCTTGTGTCCTTACTTCCGCATCCTAGCACAGCCATGCGGATCTTGACCAAAGGACGTTTCTTCAGTCTGCCTTTTCAATCGCTTCAGTGCTTAAGCACCACTAGTGCGGATCAGTCGGACGCATCCACGCTACCATTGTCGACAGCCCATCCGATCCAGTTTGCCCAAAAGCTCATCCAGCTCGCCCTTGGCTTACAACAACTGGGACTTACCCCATCCCCTCAGCCAGAGCTCCAGCTGAATAAGCCTACAGAGAGCACGGCGCGACGCTATCTCGATCTTGCGACTTGCCACGTAACATCCCACGATGCGCTCGTAGGCTCGCTTGATGGTCTGGATACCCTGTTACTCCAAGCCCGCTATCACATCAACTCAGGGGATTTGGGCACGGCATGGCTGACCTTCCGCCGTGCTCTAAGTATCGCCCAGCTGATCGGACTTCCTTGGGGAGATCCAAAAACGAGCAGCCGGGCCGAATCCATCTGGGTCCAGCTCGTCTACAACGATCGCTTCCTGTCGCTCATGCTCGGCCTTGGCTTTGCTGTGAAGGATCATGCTTTCCCGAGTGACCGGGGATTGGATGCATACTCACCTCTCAGGAAGCTATATCGCATCCATGGGGTCATCGCAGGGCATATTATCTCTCGGAATGTCCGCATGCAGCGTCGCGGTCGGTTATCCCAAGGAGACACATACGATGACTATGGAGTGACACTGAGCATAAACGATGAATTGAAAAAGGCAGCCCGATCAGTACCTGTCGACTGTTGGGAAACCCCAACTCTAGACAGCACGTTATCTGACACGGACAAAATGGACCGGGTTTCCATGCTCATCACCCAAATGCACCAGCACTACCTCTTGATCCTCCTGCACCAACCGTACATCATACCTAGATATCCGCAGATTACCCACGATGCCGCACTTTCGTGTCTTGTATTGGATCACACATACAGCAAACAGGTTGTCGTCCCTGCCAGTCGCGAAGTACTCAGTCGCTGTCTCGCGTTCCGCAACATCCGCCCCATCCTTTCCTACCGGGGACTTGAACACAAAGCCTTCACCGCAGCAGTCACACTGCTTTTGTCCCACATCATGGGGCACCGCTTGGGCTCTGCGAATATTCTGGAACACCAGCGACCTCAAGACCTAGCGACCATTCAAAAGGTCATTCGAACCTTGGATGAGCTGTGTTCTACGGACGATCCCAATCGAGAGTCTGCGATCGAGACAAGACGCCAACTGAGTATGCTCCTGACTATCGAGGCGGACGCAGCAAATGGCGTCAATTACACTGCATATATTGAAGACGGTGTCGACACAGGCACCATGTGCATTACTCCGAGTCCTAGCTTGAGGTTACCTGTACCGTACTTTGGTGCCATCTGCATCATGCCTGATCCGGCAGCAGATCTGCAGGTGGATAGTCTTGGACCGGAATTCTCATGGGTAGCACAATCTGCGCCTGGCCATTTTGATTGCCTGCCCGCCGACAATATCCTTTCGGGTACTTTCTGCGATGGACTGGGGGTCCCCACTCCTGACTCCGGCAGCTTCAATGCACTTCTTACAGGTTTGGACGTCGAGCTGCAGTCACCTCACCCAGAGGCAGCTCATTCTCAGTCTTCCGAAATTTAACCCGTCTGTAAGTTGGCGTACAACCCCTCAATTAGCATTATACTGTGGCTGGTCTTCAACAAATGGGGCTGTGGTTTAGTGGTATAATATTCCCTTAGCATGGGAGAGGTCCGGGGTTCGATTCCCCGCAGCTCCATTTTTTATGTTTTTCCCTCTCAGCTACGGCTACGGAACTATGGACTATGGTGTTTAGATGGGGCACCCTCTTGATGCCTGGTGGTGGTTTGTTTCTACACATGCAGCGCCTGATCAATCGGCAGCTCCTACGGGTGGGACCTATCACCTTCGGAAGGCAGCGCCTATTGTTTAAATCACAAGAAACTCCATTCAAGTCTAAAGCTAGCTGCTCACAATTGCGGAGTGTTGCCAAAGTCATATCCCGTCAAGGCCTGGAAGCGCCCACCCGCAACGCTCTGCGCCAACCGACGGATCGACTGTTCCTCCTCCACCGTCAACTGAAAACTGAGGCTGGCCAGGTTTTCCTCCAGGCGATGGATCTTGCTCGTGCCGGGAATGGCAAAGATATCATCTCCTTGAGCGAACAACCACGCAAGCGCCAGTTGTGCCGTGGTAGCCCCCTTTCCTTTAGCGATCTCCGCGATTTGGTCCACAACTGCCACGTTCTTCTCGATGTTCCCCTCTCTCAGCCAGGGCAGCACGCCTCGGACATCCCCTGGCTTACTCACATCCTCCCGCGACCGGATCGCTCCGCTGAGGATTCCATTTCCAAGCGGACTGTACGCCACGATGGCAACCCCCAGCTCGCGTGCAGTCTGCAGCAACTGGAACCGCGGGGACTCGATTTCCAAGCAGAACACGCTGTATTCCACCTGCACGCATGTAATTGGGTGCACTGCATGCGCCCGGCGCAGTGACTCCGCACTGCACTCACTCAATCCGAGGTACTTGATCTTGCCCTCCTGCTTGAGGGCGACCATGGCCTCCATCGTCTTTTCAATCGGCGTGACCTTGTCCAAACGGTGGACATAGTACAAGTCCACATATGGCAGTCCCAGGCGCTTCAATGATTGGTCCAATGCCGCGCGGCAGTATTCCGGGCTCGAGTCCATCCAGTTTTTCCGGCCGTCTTTGGCATCAGGGTTGGTACGGATGCCAAACTTGGTGGCCAGGAAGACATCATCCCGCTTGTCCGGATTCTGGGCGAACCATTTGCCGAGCACGCTTTCGGATCCATCGTATTTGTCCGCTGCCGACCGTCAGAGATGCCTTGGATCAGGTGTATCCCGCACGTACCGGTGTCCCAAAAAGTCTCGCCTCTTTTGTATGCCTCGTCCAGGAAGGCCAGATGTTCGGCTTCGGGAAGGCCCTGACCGTATGTACCGCTGGCTCCCATGAGCCCGAGGCCGATGCGCGGAAGAAGAGGGCCGTTTTTGCCCAGGGGGCGAGTCGGCAGTTTGCTGAGAGTGGCCATTTCGTAGATGTGAAGCAATAGATTGCTGTAACTGGAGATTTAATGTTCTCGATGACACTACATTTTGGCGCTTTTATGCCTTGTGAATCCGGAATTTGCGGCGGGATTATTTTGCTCTGATGAGGTTGTAGATGCCCTGTTGGCCCGCCGCGTATGGTTTCCGCCGCTAATTCCGCCGCTATCTCCGGCGATCATCGGAAGCCAGTGACTAAAACTATCTAGTATTAGTGCTTCATAAAGGAGACAGTTATTGGTCCTCGAGTAGTAGCTGGTGGCGGGGTAAGCATTGGCCAATCAAAGATGACGAGGTGCTGTCACTGCCAGACCATCTTCTCCAGCATTCTCAAACATGCTCCAAGAGACAGAATACGTCTGAACCACAATACTTAAAGCGCAACATGGCTTTTACTGACAATCCAACTAAAATCTTCTGGTTACACGAGGGTACACAACAACCCCCGGCGGTTCCGGATACGGGTGTGGTGAGGTCATTCCCGCCACAAGGTTTCAGTGCAACCCCTTATAACCCACGCCATGGCGAGAGAACCCCCTCATTTCGGGCTGATTCTGCCAGACGAACAGGATCAATACCATCGTACTTAGGTTGCTAGTTTGAACCCGCAGAATGGTCCACCTGTCCACCGTCGCCAAAGAGTCCCATGGCCACCGGCGTCAGCGCGAAGAACGCGATGCCCAGGCAGCCGCTGTGTCACCTTACGTGTACGGCACCCGCTACGCCATTGAGGAGCTGCCTGAGCATACCATGTCCGAGCATGAGATGCCCGCCTCGGTCGCATACCGGATGATCAAGGATGAGTTGAGTCTCGATGGGAATCCCCTGCTCAAGTAATCTCTGGCCCTTGTTATGTGATCGAACCCCAGTGACCGTTTTAGTCTGGCGAGCTTCGTCACCACCTACATGGTAAGCAGCCTCGAGCGAAGCAAGTTCTCACTGACTGGTATCAGGAAGACGAAGTGCAACAGCTCATGTCCGACGCGATGAGCAAGAACTTCATCGACTACGAACAGTATCCACAGACCGCACACATCCAGAACCGCTGTGTCAATATGATCGCGGGCCTGTTCCATGCACCCACCATCAACGACCCCACCACCGAGCAGGATGCCATTGGGACCTCGACGGTCGGATCCTCCGAAGCCATCATGCTCGCCATGTTGGCCATGAAGAAGCGTTGGCAGAACAAGCGCAAGGAAGCCGGGAAGGACTGGGCGCGTCCGAACATCATCATGAACAGCGCGGTGCAGGTCTGTTGGGAGAAAGCGGCGCGCTATTTCGAGGTCGAGGAGAAATATGTGTATTGTACCGAGACCCGATATGTCATTGATCCCAAAGAAGCGGTGGATCTGGTCGACGAGAACACGGTGGGCATCTGTGCCATCCTCGGCACCACGTATACCGGACAGTATGAGGATGTCAAGGCCATCAATGACCGACTGGTGGCTAAGAATATCGACTGCCCCATTCATGTGGACGCGGCCAGCGGCGGCTTCGTCGTGCCCTTTGTGAATCCGGCGCTGGAGTGGGACTTTCGTCAGGAAAAAGTCATCTCTATCAATGTCTCCGGACACAAATATGGGCTGGTGAGATAGATCACACCGCGTGCCTCGCAATCGGGTGCTGACCATGACAGGTCTATCCGGGCGTCGGCTGGGTGTTCTGGCGCGCCCCCGAGTATCTCCCAAAGGAGCTCATCTTCAACATCAATTATCTGGGCGCCGAGCAGGCCAGCTTTACCCTGAACTTTTCCAAGGGCGCCCCCCACGTCATTGGACAATATTATCAACTGATCCGGCTGGGCAAACACGGTTATCGATCAATCATGACCAACCTCACGCAGATCGCCGATTATCTGGCGGCAGAACTGAAGAAACTGGGTTTCATTATCATGAGTGAGGGGGGTGGGCGCGGCCTGCCGCTGGTCGCCTACCGATTACCCGAGCAGGACGACCGGTTGTACGACGAATTCGCCTTGGCCCATGTGCTCCGTCGTCGGGGCTGGGTCATCCCGGCATATACCATGGCCCCGAAGAGCAGTCAACTGAAGATGATGCGGATTGTGCTGCGCGAGGATTTCAGTTTGCACCGATGTAACCTATTGGTGGAAGACATCCGACTGGCGTTAAAGACCTTGGAAGAGATGGACGAGACCATGATCCAGCGGTACAGCACGTATGTGATGCCCCCTCCCCTCGGACGACAACGGGCATAAACTGACATGGAGCAGCTACGTCCAGACACATGCCACGCGCGGCCCACAAGGTCATCCGGTCTATGGCAACGAGCAGCATTCACTCCAGGGGAAGTCGGGGAAAACGCATGCGGTCTGTTAGTGTTAGCCGGTTTGTGAGTCTGCATTGGATATCTGTCTGCCTGTGATGGGTCACACCATCAACGCCAAATCCTTGTTTCCAGCCTCGCTATCAATTTGTCATTGCCAAGTCATCACGCGGGGGGAACTCCTTGCTCTGGAGACTGTCAGCGGTAAGCAAGGAAATTAGCTTCTCGGTTGGCCAAGTTGCATCCACTCGTGCCCGTGTCAATGCAGCTGCCTGCTCGACCCCCTTACGTATAACCTAACCGTCTGCCGGGGGGGTATTAGCGAATATTCGATAGGCCGCGTAGGCCCCCGCAGACGGGCATCGTCGTGCATGAACGCCGTTGCTCCACCGTTCAGGAGTAAACTCCGGTGAACACTACCTGTGCATAGACCTGACCCTTGTATCCATCACCTTGTATCCATCACCTTGTATCCATCACCTTGTATCCATCACCTTGTATCCATCATCTTGAATTGAATCCAGAATGAAATGTTGGCAACTGCCTGCTGCACCAAGCTGACATACCCTGCATCCCGAGCCTCACCTCATCTGACTTTCTTGGTACCATCCGTGAAAGCACCCCGACCGGTTCGGAAACATGCTCAGACGACCTGTCATGTCCGTGGAGGCCCGAGGTCGCATTCACCGCGTCCTGAGCACCGTTAGGGTTTGAGATTCTCGGGTGGGCCAAGCCGCGGCGCAGCTGATCCATCACATCCGAGAAACAATTCAATAGTCGGATTTGCAATGCAGTAGTCAGACTCTGACTAGCAATAATCGCAGCCACCGTTCGGCTGTCACTCAGTCCGCCAGTGCACTTGTGACAAGCTTCGCCAGCGATACGATACCTGCACAGGTATACTTTTTACTCTGGTGTATTCTTACTATTTAATAGAACATTGAACTCAATCCCCCCACTGCGCTGAAGCCTAATCCTCCGAGTCTGACTGACCGCTAGAGTCCTGGCAATAATCTGTAGCTTAATCTCCTACTTTGACAACTGTGTTCGCAGTGGATTCTGTCGAGTAACTTTATATAGATCAACTAGTGATCAGAATGAACGTATAAATCGGTCACTTATATTTTACTAGGATTGAGTATTATGTATCTTCCATTTTTCTTCTCTCGCTAGATACCCAGCCAGCATGGCCACCCTCATCTGGCTGACCCTTCTGGGGTTAACCCTCCACGTCCAAGCCAAAGACGTCTTCGCGCACTTCATAGTCCGTCCCCATCCCAGTTACTAAACCTCCCCACTAACGAATCCAGCTGGACAACGGCGCCAACTTCTCCCAAAAACACTGGCAACAAGACTTCCTCACCGCACAAGCGGCCTCCATCGACGCCTTCGCCCTCAACACCGGCTACGGCCCCTCCAACACCTACACCCTCCTCAACGACGCCTTCACCGTCGCCGCCACCCTCAACTTCAAACTCTTCCTCTCCCTCGACTACTCCGGTGACGGCCACTGGCCCCCGGACCAAGTGATTAAAATCCTCCAGAACTATTCCTCCCACCCCGCGTACTACAAAATCCCGGGGACGAATAAATCCCTCGTCTCCACCTTCGAAGGCTACGAATCCCTCAACGACTGGACAAATATTAAACAGAAACTCCCCGATCTCTTCCTCGTTCCGGATTGGTCCGCGCAGTCCCCGTCCTCGCTTGTGCAAGACGATGTCGTCGACGGGTTACTCTCCTGGGATGCATGGCCGTATGGCTCCGAACCAATGAACACGTCCTCCGACGAGAAATACATCTCCCCCCTGAAGAGCAAAAATAAACCCTATATCATGCCCGTCTCACCCTGGTTCTACACCGACATGGTCCGATACCAGAAGAACTGGGTCTGGCAAGGCGACGGCTTATGGTATACGCGCTGGAACGAGGTATTGGAATTAGAGCCGGAGTTTTTGGAGATCCTGACGTGGAATGATTTCGGGGAGAGTCATTATATTGGGCCCCTGCATGAGAATGAATTGGGGATTTTTAGTTATGGGCAGGCGCCGTTTAATTATGCTGAGGGGATGCCGCATGATGGGTGGAGGGAGTTTTTGCCGTTTCTGGTGGGGGAGTATAAGAATGGGTCCGGGCAGGGGAGGATTCAGAGTGAGGGGGTTGTGGTTTGGTATCGGTTGACTCCCGCGTGGGCGTGTCAGGCGGGGTTGACCACGGGGAATGCAGTGAGTCAGGGGCAGCGGACGTTGCCGCCGGGAGAGGTGTTGACGGATACGGTGTTTTTTGAGGCCCTGTTGGAGAGTAATGCCCAGGTGGAGGTGAGTATTGGGGGGAAGAATCAGAGTGTGGATTGGAGTGCCACCCCGGATGGGGGGAGGGGGATATACTATGGGAATCTGCCCATGGATAATCGCACCGGGGAGGTGGTGGTCACCCTGTCGAGGAATGGACGGTTGGTGGCTCAGATGAATGGGGAGAGCATCACGACTAATTGTCCGAATAAGTTGACGAATTGGAATGCGTGGGTGGGCAGTGCCATGTCGAATAGCTCGAATGCCAGCGCGTCCAAGGCGTCCGTGTCGGAGAACGCAGGGGCTGCCACGGGGGGCAGCTTAGGCTGGTTCGGATGGTTGCCGGGGTTGGTCTGGCTGGGGTTGTGGGTTGCGGTCTGAGTGGGGTTGACTGGGTTAGAGTGGATAGAGGTTAGAGGAGTTGCTCTATATACGGTAATATCTAATATATTGGACTATCATAGACTTGAAACTTGAGCTTATTATCGACTCCGTGGAGAAGTCGCGGCGGGTTCTGCACCGGCGGAGGGAGCCGCCAGAAGATGCCCCCTTGCGGTGCGGATCGACACTGTCCATGATTCAGGATGAATGCCACCTGCCGCATGCGGAAGGTCAGATTCCAACCGTGGATTCAACTTTGGGTCGCGTCGGAGTCCCCGACGGCCGTGCACGAACAGTGGATGGTTCAACTTGATGATGGGGTCAAGATAGACGAATGCCGACGAGGACCATTAGCTAATCGACTCACTGCAGATGTCTATCATTCCCTTGTGGTGATCGTCGGGGAGTATCCCATCGTCTGGGGTTAGATAGGACTTTACCCCTTTAGTCTGCAGATAAGAGCATTGGCCATGATCTTGACTAGCGCAATACTCTTATACCAATTACTATTTTAGGCTGGGATCAGCAATCCAGATTGATGCGCAGATCTCGATGTCTAGCTCATTGATTATGTGTTTCTCGTCTATCTAACCTGATGTCAAAGAACTGATATCGTATGATCCCTGCACACTCATGTAGACTCTAATGACCTGCCTAATCGGACAGGACCCCAGACTGCCTTCCCCCCGGTGACAGACATGCACGTCCAATAAAGTTCTTCAAGGCTGCCCATTTCCCCGTGAGCATCTCGCCAAAGATGCCAAGCCAACTCGGATAGACTCAAGCTTGCCGAGGCTGTGTCCGCTCCAGCCCATCAGCGGTCGCCGTTTCAAGTCTATGACGCATATATCAAACTTTACTCGCCACAGCCCGGCGACGCCGACGACGCCAATGGCCTTGTTTCACCTATCTGGGCTGGCCTGGGGTTCGGCCGGAGCCCTCCCTGACCCTGCCCGGGCTAGACTGAGTCTATCTGGTTGACAGCTGTGGGTGTCTGCACGGGCGCGGGCCATCGGGGCTGATGCGTGGCGAGGTCTAGACCCACGCGATCAGAAGAAAGCAAGCATCTGCGAGTTTCAGTATAGGATTGACTCGTGCCAGGGCAGTATAAGATACCCCTGAGTTCCCTCCCCCTTGCCCTGAACTCAAACAAGACACTCACAAGACATTCACCCATCCACCTCATGCAATAAACGATTCTTCCTCTTTGCTTCTCTAAGTCAGACAAGCAACCACCATGACTGGCATCGAACTTCCTCCTTCCTTGATGCGTCAAGCATCGCGCACCAACACCCGGGTTCCTCCAATTGCCCGTCGCGCGGTCTCTCCCTTTCCCTGTCGCATGGCCGTCCTCTCCCGCGACAAGCTGCAAAAAGAAGCCTCCACGAAAAGCCCCGATCTGCGACGGTGTCTGGCTCACCACAGCCTCCTGAATCGCTCGATTGAAGCCGCCCAGCAGGATGTGCGCCGCCGAATGGCCAGCTTCCACCTGGATGAAGATGAAGATGAGGTTACGCCCTATAACCCACCCGCGGAAGCCACGGCGATGCCCATCATCCGAGTGCAGATCACCAATGCCGTGCGGGCAATGGTCAAGCGTCGCGCGGCGGATCAGGAGCTGGGAGGCGGGCTGGCCCGTGTCCCCTTCCCATCCGACAAGGCTGCATCCAAGCCAAGCACGAGCCGCACGAAAAAGGGGCTGAAGAATGTGCCACGCGTGGTGTTTGGACGACGTCGCTGGCCACTCTACGGGCCGCTACAAACGGGGATGGTTAGCTGATCCCATGCTCACCACCACCTCACTCGCATCGAATACCCTTGTCTTCAACACGACATAAATTCCTGCTTCGGATTAACTGTGATATGGATACCATGTGCCACGAGATATGATGATCGCTGTATATAATTACCTTCTGATCACCTTTTACTACTATATACAATTTATTTATCATGATGAACATTCCCTGTAATCTGAACATAGGCTATTTGATAGCCGCCGATCCGTTCTGCACGAAGGATCGTTGCACCAATCAATCCCCTCACCTGGCCCCGATCGGGTAACTCGCTCCACTGCAGCTCCGCTGACTCACCGCATACCCTCGCAACCTCAAATCTACCCCTTCCCCGTATTTTCCAATCTCCACAGACACCAAAAATGTCCACCACCTCCCTGCCAGAGGGCTGGCACATCCCCATCACCCAATGGCTCGCCGTGCAATTCATCACCGGCACCACCATAGCCTTCACCGCGGCCACATCCCCCCTCCGCAATGCAGCCGCCATCCTCGCCTTCGCAACGGCGTACTCAGTCCAACTCAGCGCGGCCACATACCTCCCAGGCACCCGCTTCGGCGCGCCCATCGTGGCCATGTGCTGGGTGAATGTGCTCAATGCAATTGACCTGTTGGTTCTCAGTCGTGCATCTTACGAAGCGCAGCGAGAATATGACTCTGCCAAAACCTCAAATGGGAAACCCAAATCCGCACCGCCACAACCCCCGAGAAACCCAGGTTTAATACAGAGATACATCTGGTCCCTCTCCCTAACATTCAACTACCGCCGCATCAACACCCCCTGGCAAATCCCCGCCCTGACCCCCTTCCATTCCCACTCCCCAGCCCGAATCCCCTCCCGGACTCACTTCCTCGCTACCTCATGCATCAAACTCCTCTTCTCCATCGCAATCATCCACCTCTTCACGATCGAAACAGAGGATCTGTACCTCGCGCATGCCATCTCCCATCTCCCCACCCACCCGGGGGAAATCCTCTTCCCGTTCCTGTATCCACATCGAACCGGGACGGGGAGTTGGGAGAGAGATTTAGTTCTAAGGGCCTTGTTCACGCTCTCGTTTGGCATTGTCGCTCGTGCGACAATAGTAGCGGGGTACACTCTCGCTAGTATGGTCTTTGTAGGCACCGGACTACAAGAAGTGAGTATGTGGCCGCCCGTGGCGGGGGGAATTAAAGAGGGATGGAGTGTTAGAAGGTTTTGGGGGTATGTTTCCATTCCTTATTCTTTTATTCCCTTCCCTATCTTCCCCCTTTCTCCCTATATATACAATACCATGCTAATTATACATGATAGAAAAACATGGCACCAAACCCTCCGCGCGCTGCTCGTCTCCAACGCGGATTTCCTCTCTGCCATACTGCACATCCCGGTATCATTGCATCTCCCCTTCCGGTTCTTGTTTTGCTTTACGGTCTCGGGGGTCGTGCATTTACTTATGGATGTGGGGTTTGGGGTGAGTATTCGGGAGAGTGGCGCGTTGTGGTTTTTTGTGTTGCAGGTGGGGGGGATTTTTGCTGAATTGCTTGTGGGGAGGGTGGTGGGTGTGGATTTAGGGTTGGGGAATGGGAATGGGAAGGGGGGTATGGGGTGGGTGAGGAAGGGAGTGGGCTTTGTTTGGGTGGGTGGGTTTATGCTCTGGACGGTGCCGGTGTGGGTGAATCCGATTTTGGTGCGGTTGTTTAAGGATGGGGTTAGGATGATGTCGCCGTTTTTAGGGTTTAAGGGGTGGGAGCTTTGATATTTCGTTGGAGAGGGTTATAGAGTGGAAAGTCTGGGTTGGGGGTAGATTGTATTAATTCTTGGTTAGAGTTAGATAAAGGTGGTTGGATGGGTAATTCTAGAATAGAAGAACAGGCTAGAACGATACAAGCCGGTAGAAGACTACGCAGCATCCCAATCCACCCACCCAAACGTATTCAACAAATCGAGATGGGGATACTCCGCCCCCGCAAAATCCTGCAACACCATATCATCCAATGCCGTCGGACTACACAGCGAGGCTGGCATACTCAGAATCCGATCCAACGAGCGACGCAGAATCCCCTTGATTTGGCCCGCGGCGAGAATGTCCGACCCGGATGGTTTGAGCCAGTCGAGAAATGCAACGAGTAGACTGAGGTTCTGGATGATGTCGGAGCGAGGGAGATCCAACGTGTAGGTCGATGGGGCGGTGGCTTGGCGGAGGAGCTCGAGGCAGAGAATGCCGCTGCATGGGACGGCGTAGGACATGGCCTGATGGTCAGTATTGATCTACCGTGGATGGGTGATCTTACCAGCCAGGAGAAATCGATGTGGTTCTGGAACCGGTCCTTGTGTTTCCAGTATTTCAGGGTCAAGCCTAGCATTTCGTGACTCACGTGGATCAAGGCCTGCTCGGAAACCACTTTATGGCGTGTCAGAAGACGCTCCAGGATGAACATGTTGAGTAAATAGTCGAGTCGCACGAGGATGCGCAGGAAGAGCATCTGGCCTGGGATGTTGGGATCGTCGATGTATGCTTGTCTGAAGAGGAGGGTCTCGGGGAATTGGGCGTGGATGTCCATTGCCTCGGATTTGAGTTTACTGTGCTTGTTAGCAGTGGACGTGGCTCTGGCTGGCAACGTACAGGCATGTTTCTACGGCAGCGTCCGTGATGCTGTCTTGTGAGGTTTCCAGAACCTCCAGCAGTGCTTCGCGATTCTTCGCCAGCATGGTGCGCGCCCGGAGCACCGTCGTCGGATACAGCTTCCGCTCGTCGCTCCGGTCCCATCCATTGGAATCCAGGTTGGTCACCGCGTCGGATATACCACCCGAGAGGATATCCTCGTCGCTGATTTCCAGCGGCAGCTGCGTTGTCGAGTATTTTCGGCTCAGCAGCGGTGGTCGCCCGGTAAAGGTGGAGATGACCTTGTCGAAATTGTAGATCGATGCATAGATCCGTCTCTTCAGCTCGTGCTGGAATGATACCTCGTTCCAATCCGTGGAGAGTTCCCGGTGGAGGCCAATGGATGTCGTGACAGCAACAACATCCCCGTGTTGTCGCCAGCAGGATAGGCCTGTTAGTCAGCAACATTCATTGATAGTAACTAGTAGCAAACTTACTCTTGTCGCCGCTGGCGATGCTCTCAAGGATATTGTGCTTGAATGCCATGTGCACGAAGAGAATGTTGATAGCACCCAGCTGGCTGCACAAGTCGATGCACATGGATGCACATCGTTTCAGATGCACCATCAGTTCCTTAGATCCTTTGATCGAATGTCGCCGGCAATACTGGGTAATGGCCTCGTGTTCCACCGACATCTGCGACGCCGCCGACGACCAGTACGTGAACAGCGTCCCCAAAAACTCCCATCGTGTCCGCCTCCCCGAGAACGACTCCACCCAGCGCTGCGGGTTCTGTTCGGCCGGCAGAGGCGTCATACTCGACTCGGAGATACGCCTCGCAGCCCCGACTAAATTCTCAGTCGTACGCGACCGCAGTACACCGCGATACTCATCCCACATCAGATCCAACGCAGCGCGATACGCGTGTCTGAAACACGCATCCATCAGGTACGTCTGATGAACGAACAGCAAGTTGCCCGTATATTCGTCAGGCAGGTTCTGCAAAACCTGCACCCCCAACTGCAGCAATCTCGGCGTGACGGCATTGTTTCCTTGCGCAGAGGACTCTACACCAGCACCAACTGCAGGTTCGCCGGTCGGCGTTCTCAAAGCCTGATCGACCTCGAAACGATCCCGATGTTCCACAAACACGGATGAGAAACTCGTGGGTCCGAGGTACTCCGCAGAGCTTTCCAAAATAGGCGTGGTCGATTGTGCGCCCGGACAGGTCTTGGTGCTTGCGACCTGGTCGCTTTCGCTGCCACTTATGATGTCTGGCGAACCATCCGGCACGCTTCTGGCACGGGCTTTGGCTAATGGATTGGCCAGATAGACGCATTTCAACGATAGCTTGCGACACCGCTGACAGGCAGGGGTTTCGTGGTCGCAGGCCAGCTTGCGGCGACGACAGGCTTCACAGGCCGGTTCGCGGCCATTTTTGCGCCGGAGAGGAGGCATCCCTTGGATTAATGAAAACGACCGGGATTGATGTTGTTGTCGATGTCGTAGTTGCTGTAGTGGATTCTGTGGCGGATTCGGCTTCGGCTTCGGCTTCGGAGTGATGGCACCATGCGGCGACCAGACTGCCAATGCGGGAAATCTCCGTGGACTGGGGACATGGTTTGAATCGAGAGTGAATATTTTGGGGCTATGCGTCGAAACAGAAGGGAATAAAAGAAAATCAAAGATGCTACGCTCGAATAATAGAGAGGCAGTGCGGAAACCTCCCAAGGAGGGAGGGAAAAACAAAAACAATGACCAGACTGGGGCTCGATCCCAGGACCTTATCGGTATTAACGATACGTGATAACCAACTACACCATCCGGCCAATTGATGGGATACACAAGACTACTTTGGTAGATGGGCAGAATACAACGCTCCATCTCCCTTTGACATCTTCAACATGCTCCTGTCAGTGTCTTGACATTGAATTTCACGATCGAAATCCTGAGGTCGTAATTCCGATTGATCTGATGTGTCTTCTTACCGAGAGGAAGAGAGACGAATTTGGAGATGTCGATGGTCTCTCCCGGTTGGAGTGGATTCCCGGAGAGAAATATATATTCCCCAACAGGCCTCATTGGGATACTCTATATTGATCCTGTTCGGATCAAAGCAACCAAGCAAATGCCAATTCATCATATCATCATAGCTAAATACCATGCACATATCATAACTTTTCATCCCTCATGCAAGCACCAAGCAGCCGTCAGCGTATTGCCTCTACCACCCAACAATCTATCCAGATTCCCAGAGTATGCCAAGATCGGCAGTCGTATCACTCATTCTCCAACTCGATCGTAATCACCACAGACAGAACAAAGGTCGCCAGAATAATCTACCCAATCAGTAACCAATCAAATTTGACACGTCAGATACTCACCAAGCCAATCATCACCCCAATGCAATTCAATTCCCACCCCCCCGCATACACCGTTCCCAAAGCCACCACATTCTGCTGCTTCCAGAAGCGATAAGCGCCCATAAAGGCGATCAGGATCGCCACGCCATAGCAGCTAACAGCCAAGGGAACCCCCACCTCATAAAACCCCAGGGCATTATCCGGCGACGTCAAATGTTGCAGTCGAAATAACTGGGCGATCAACACGCCTTGCATGGCGACCATGACCGAGGTCCGAATGTAGGCTAAGAAGGTTCGCTCCAATGCTAAATAAAGTGGGTGTTAGTGAGTCTGTCCTGCCCTTCCGATTTGTCTGACCGTGTCGGCACGCGCCATCGCCACGTGAGATTGCGCCATTTTAGTGGTGTCAGGCAGCATGTAGTGCACCGCCGGAGTAAATAATATATAAGAGGGAATATGTCCTCACCGAAATGATCCCGGTTACTCTTCTGGGGTACCGTCAACACCACGTTTCGCGTCCAGAAGCGTCGGATGCGTCCCCAGACCCCCTTGCTTGTCTCCCGACTGGTATGGACGGGTCGGGACACCGTTCGCTGAGTCCGGATTCGATATTCTCCCGAGGAGATCGACTCGGTTGAGAATCCGGCTTCATCGTCGCCTTGGGTGGCTATCTCGCGGAGCTCGAGGGCGTCTAGCTCGCTGGTGCTGTCGTTGTCGTCATCGGGGCGAGGCTGGGTGGTTGGGAGGGTCGCTGGCGGTGTTGGGTCCTCGCGACCGGTCGCTCCGACGGGCTCCTTGTCGGGCGCGGGTTGATGGTCCTGGCGGTCGACCATGGTGTGTATCTTTAGCTTTGGCAGGGGAAATTGTGCGACATGCTGAGGAGGAGGACGATGCGGTGTGAAGATGCGTCACCGTTGCTGCGAGGATCCCTGGTTGCTGGTCGGCGAATCCCGTCGGTTGACGCCCGATCGATAAGCGGCGCTTATCTGATGTCGGGTTTTGCCGGACACACAGTCTCACACAAGTCTGGAGGATGCTGTTAGATTCAGATTCACTTCCTTGATTTTTGGCTATATGACGTCATGGACGGGCTGTGGAGATCAGTGTATATCCTATCTAAACTCACACACATACTATGATAGAAACAGCTCGATTACATTCACACATCACATGCTATCAACTCCACTACCCCAGACTCCGCCCACGCTAACCAAACCACGGAATTGACACTAAGCCATATGGATCGTCACCCACTTCGGCTGCCGCTCTTCAAACACCACCAGTTCCGGCCGAGACACACTCTCAAACAACGCGGCCTTGAGATAGGCCTTCCCCGGCACTTTGGGGGAGAGTGTATACAGCGGACTGACAGTCAGATACACACATCGCTCGAGGATAAGTTTGACTCACCTTCCACAGTTGGAGCAAAAGTGACGCTACAAAGACAGGTTAGCTTCTTCGACACAACATCAAGAGTGACGCACCTTGATGGTATTGCCCGAAGCGGTATTGGGGTCATGGTACACTTTCAATGCCTCGTTGGGATCCTCGACCGTCATATCATCTTCATCTACAAAGTAGTTGACGGAAAATGCTGAATGGTATAAGCATGCTGGCAACTAAGGTGGGGGAAGACTTACAACCGCCTCCTGCTTTTTTGCAGTTGGTACTACAGATGCCCGTTAGCATGGGAGGCACAGTACTGACAGGCCGCAACGATACCAGTGGCAGAGAACGCTCCTCTCCGGCTGCTCAGGGAGAGTGATGGAGATACTGGCACAGTTACAACGGCCGGTGTAAGACATGATGGAAGCAGATGGTTAAGGTCACTCACTCACTGGGATGGACATGGTGCAGGTACGGGATTTAAGGATATCGTCAGGGGCAGAGAAGTGGAGCTCATCCACCGGGATTTGGGCGCCACCGTTGAGGTGGTCTGGAGAATGGGGATTAAATGCTCCACTAGAGCGGATCTCCCCTGATGATTGATAATCGCCAAGAAGACAATTTAATTGAGGATCATTGTTGGAGCGGGCTATTGTATTTCCATTCCGGGATATGCCTGAAGATGCCTCAGGCTGAGTGTATAGAAGATGCCATTATAGGGGATGGCCTACCTTTAGCCGAGCGCTCAAGGTTGTGGTGAGCTAGCAGCGTTTGGCTATGATTCTAAGCTGTTCGTAATTAGGGAGGGAGGGAGAACAGGCTCAACTCGGGTGTAGGATCAGCTTCTCAATGATCTCAACTCTCCGAAGGGTGCAAACAGGCAGATTTTCAATAGAACCAAGTCTAGTAAACAAACGGTATATAACATGTCATTATTGCGTCTTTCTTTTATTGGTTGTCACATTCATTCCGGTATCAACTTCCAACCCGTGACCCTTGCTCAGTTTGTCTGCACAAGATCATGCTTGCCATTGGTGAGCGCGGATCCATTGAGAGCAGACCCGTTGACAGCAGACCCGTTGACAGCAGACCCGTTGACAGCAGACCCGTTGACAGCAGACCCGTTGACAGCAGACCCGTTGGCGTAAGCAGATCCATTAGTGTGAGCAGACCCATTAGTATGAGCTCCATTCAGAGCCGTCCCATCAATACTGGATATCCTAGTCACACACTCCTTCGCGCCCACAGAAATCAGATTCGAGTCCACATGACCCAGAATCAAGCGTACTCCCAACGTATTGATAGCCCAATCCTGAAACTTCAAGTCACTGTAGTTTCCCGCCAGCCCAAACACCTTATTATGACGCTTACACGCCACACTAACAGCCTCCAACGCAGCCCGGAACTCCGGCCGATCCACCTGTCCCGGGATGCCCATATCCGTCGACAGATCGATGCAGCCGACAATGAGCATATCGACCCCCTCCACCGCCGCAATCGCATCCACGTTGGGAATACTATCCGCCGCTTCGATCATCACGCCCACTGCTGATGCGTGCGCGTTGATCTCCTCTGCCATCTTCTGCATCGGGAGGGGTTTCAGGCCCACTGCGGCTTGCTGCAGCCATAGGGAGCGCTTGCCCAGGGGTGGGAACTTGCACATTTTCACGGACCGTTTGGCGTCTTCGACGGTCACGATGTGTGGGAACACCACGGCCATGGCGCCCGAGTCGAGGACTTGCTGCACGTAGCCCATGCCGCACTCGTAGGGCACGCGCACGATGGGCGTCAGGCCGGCCATCATTCCGGCGCTGGCGAGTGCGCTCGCCTCGGTGATGGAGTAGGTCGAGTGTTCCATCTCGACCCAGATGACGTCGAACCCGGCGTTCTTGGCGAATTGAACGACCAGGGGGTTGGTGACTAGTCGGAGGACTAGGGCCTGTGGACGCTTAGCTTTCTCTTGTTTTTGCTGAGTGTAGCGAATGACTGAGACAGGTAACGTACCTTGCAGAGCCGGCCAGCGGCTGCCTTGGTGTAGAGAACATTTTCACAGATAACCATTTTGACAAAGATGGTCGTAGTATTATAAATTGGATGTGAAAAGATGAATGGGTATGGAATCTACCTCCAATGTTGAAATGTGAGGAGAGAGATGCGATATCGATAGAAGAATAAATTGCACTTGCTGGCTACATGGAACCAGATATACTTATCCTTTTGAGCCTCGCTAATTAATCCCACGTGTCGCCTTACATGCCACCCCTGTGGAACCACCCCCAGCCGGATGCTTGAGTTGGTCGTGCGGATCCGTCACATCGCGTGGTTGGGTCCGGGGAATTTCGGAGCATTTCGGCCACTTGCCCTAGCCCCCAAATGGCGATGGTGCGAATGTGCAAAGCAGTGTCATACATGTCGGGATGGATTAGTGTAGCCGACAAAAGCCGATTCTTGTTGTAGCTGATGATGAAGTTGTGTGAGTTGGGTGTTGGAGGGTTGATTCCGGCTGATCCTTCGGCATGGGATGTTCTCGGTTCTTCGACATTGTCGCCTGGAACTATTGATGACGTAGTTTTCTGTTGGACCTTACTTGGGTGTTGATAGACAGCTTGGGCTTCGTAATCGGACTTTGTGTAGGTTTCATCTAGGGTATGGAAGTGCTGCTGACAGGCGATCAGGAAGGCTTCCAGCCACAGATAAAAATACTTCTGCGGCGGTCGCTAGATAGATAGATAGATAGACACTTTGCAGATGCAGGCGGAGCGAATAAATAATCAATGAATCTAACGCTTTAGGATCTCGGTGAAGTTTGGTAGTATGTAGCTAAGTAAACATCAAGATGCGCATGAGGTGGGTATCCTCGGTGACAGGGTAATTAATCTGGAAGTACTATATGCCTGTTGCCAAGTCCGATCCTATGAGAAAGGATACACTAGGTATTGCAGTCCGTGGATTGATCTTTGTTCGCGATCCTTGCCCAAGACTGATTGAAGGATGGACACCTGTCACACGCACGACTATGCAATCTCACTTCTTGGTCTGTATATCCTCCTTCACTCCTCTTCCTACGTCCTACAATATCTACTGAGTCCAGCGGTCTACTAATAAGGTAACCAGCAAAGGGCTTCAATTCCTGCAAACAATTGACATCAAACAGACCAGTAAACATTATCATATCTAGGCAACCACAAACTCAAGCACACCAAAGTCATCAAACTGGCCATTCACGCTCTGGAACTCGGCATTCAGACGGAAGCCCGCCCGTGCAGCCAATTCGCTGAACATGGCCGCATTACGTCTCTTGCCCGCCGCACACATGAGGCAGATATCCAAGCCAACATTCATCGGGATCCGCTTAGGGTTGAGCATCTCCTCGATGATCAGAATACGAGAGTCGGGCGCCACCGCCTTCCGAACCGTCTGGAAGGTACGCACGACATCCTCGTCCGGAAAGTCGTTGAGGACTCGACGGAACTGGTAGATGAGCGCGCCCTGGACGGCCTCCGGGTAGGGCTCGAACATGCTACCGCCCACCTTCTGGACCTTCTGTAGCGCCTCGTCTTGGTCCTTCTCCACGTTCTTCGTGGTGTTCTCGATGACCTGGGGCAGATCGTAGAGAATGCAGCGTTCCGCGGGGATGAAGCGGTTGTTGGTGACAGCATCGCGCAGAGCCAGACCGTGACTGCCACCGACGTCGACGATGGCCGGGCGGGATGAAGAGGCCAGAGCGTCCTGCATCCAGCTGAAGTCGTAGACGCCCTTGAGGGAGTACATCACGCCGAGCTCGCGCAGAGCTTCGTTGAAGCCCTTGTGGACGACTTTGTTGGCCACGATGATGTCGTAGGCGGGCCGGTTATCGTACCCGTGGGCCAGACCCAGCGGAGTGACACTGGCGCTCTGAGGCGAGGCGAGACCGTACTTGGCGAAGTAGTCGGGCATCTGGGCGAAGGAGCGGAAGACATTGTTGAACATGTGGATGTAGAGCCAGGCGGTGGGCTGGTCGAACTTGTAGAGACGGGATTTTTCCGTGTGCGCGACACGGCCGGGGGCCGTCGATTTCAGAATCTTGCCGGAGATGAAGAAGGTGCAGATGCGGTCGACCACCTCTTCCGAGCCGCCGATCTGGGCGGCTAGCTCGGAAACAGCAATGTCGCCCTCATCCGGGATGACATCGAAGGCTTTGTGGTCGATAAAGACCTTGATAAGGGTAAATTCGGCGGCGTTGAAGACAGGCTCGCCGATGTCGTGGTAGGCCTGTTGGATGCGGGCGCGAGCGATTTCTGCTTGGGAACTCATCTTGATGTATTGATTGCTGTGTCTGGAGTGGACTGCTGCAAGTCTGCAAGAAAGGTAGTTATATGGAGTGACTGAGCATGTTATCAGTCTTCAACATGTTGAGGTGGATCGGAGCTTTTCGGGGGGGGGGGGGGGGCACTGTAGTGTACGACCAATCTTCCGAGCTTACCCATTGTGGTATTCGCGAAGATCATTCTGCACGCATGAAATGCTTATTCCATAAGGCAAGAAGATCTGACTTGATCGGTAGAATTCGGATGCGGCCAACGCCCGTGGATTATACCAGCGTTGCGAACCGCTGGCGATAATCAGCTGGCCGCCAATCAGCTGGCCTGGTTACCCAAGTCTGATCAATCCATAACCACTGATCCATCCACTTCTCACGATGGAGTACGGGTGGGGCCGACGGGCCGTGATGGTTTTGGCCTCACAGTTGACCGTCACTAATCGGAGCTGGCAATCTAGCCCGGGCCGGCTAGATCTGAGGTCGGCAGGTACGGGGTATGTACCCTCTACCTTCTACTCCAATGGGTCCTACAATGGGCGAACCCTGAAACAGATCCATCAACAGCGGATGGATGGTGCTGGCGCCGAAATACTCCGGCTCCGAACCGCAGTTGAACCCCAACCCACTAGGATGCTGATTGCATAACCCTAACTATAATTATACACTCAGGATACAGTCCATATTATCACCATATTGGGTATCACCATGTCCCTATTCGAACAGATCCCTGCCGTGCCCGCCGATGGCGCCTTTGCCATGATCGAGGCCTTCAAGGCCGATCCTAGCGAGAAGAAAGTGAATCTCAGTCCGGGCATTTACCGCGACGAGGATGCCAACACGTGGGTTTTACCCTCCGTTAAGAAGGTGCCCATCCCCAATACCCCTTATGTCTCGAGGGATTATTCCTCACGATGGCAATTACAGGCCCGCTCCATCCTCGAATCCAACCCCAATCTCAACCATGACATCTCCCCCCAACTGGGCCATCCGGACCTCGTCTCCGTCGCCCGAGAAATCACCTTCGCCGATACCCTCGCCACCCGAACCATCGTCTCGATGCAGACCATCGCCGGTACGGGCGCCAATAATACCATCGCCCGATTGATCTCCGACATTCTCCATCCGAAACACATCTGGCTGTCGAATCCCTCCTGGGAGAATCATCCGAAGATCTGGGCCCATGTGGATGCGGGTATCGAGCAGCGGTTGTATCCGTATTATGATGAGGAGACATCCACGCTTGATATCGAGGGCATGGTTGCCACGCTCCGGCAACATGCCGTCAAGGGAGATGCGATCGTGTTGCAGGCTTGCGCGCATAATCCTACGGGGATGGATCCCTCGCGTGCGCTCTGGGAGGCTATTGCGCAGGTGTGTGAGGAGAAGGGCCTCTTTCCGATTTTTGATTCCGCTTAGTATTCCCCCC